CGTCCCTCTTGACTAGTGTCTTTGACTGCCTCTCTGCTGTTTCTAACTGGATGGCTGCCCACTTCCTTAAACTATACTTGACCAAAACTGAAATTCTGGTCTTTCCTCCCTCAAGAGTTGTTACTCCTGTGTCTGTCTCTCTCCAAGTCAACGGTGCTACCATCAGCTCCACCACGCAGGCTCGCTGCCTAGGTGTTCTCTTTGACTCCGACCTCTCCTTCAAGCCTCATGTTCAATCTATTGCCAAATCCTGTCATTTCCATTTCAAAAACATTGCGCGCATCCACCCCTACTTAACACCAGATGCGACTAAGGTGTTGGTCCATTCCACTGTCCTTTCTCGCTTTGACTACTGTAATCCACTTCTCAGTGGTCTTACGTGCTCCCAACTAGCGCCGTTACAGTCCATAATGAATGCGGCGGCGAGGCTCATCTTCCTGTTCGCCTGCACCTCCCATGCCTCACCCTTCTGTCAGTCCCTACATTGGCTTCCTATAGAATATAGAGCTCAATTTAAAATTCTGGTTCTTGCTTTCAAATCTCTACATAATGCTGCTCCCACCTATCTATCCTCCCTTATACACAAGTATGTCCCGTCTAGGCCCTTACGATCTGCTGAAGACTTACGTCTATCTTCTGTCCGTACTCCCACCTCTGATGCTCGCCTTCAAGATTTCTCGAGGGCTGCACCGTTCCTGTGGAACTCGCTTCCCTCCTCCGTTAGATGCTCACCCAGTCTCCACTCCTTCAAAAAATCGTTAAAAACCCACTTCTTCATAAAAGCGTATCAATTAAACTGTTAATAGCTCCTGACTGATTCCTCTTCTGCAACTGTCACTAGTCCTTACCTTTTTGTCTCATTTTACCCCACTCCCTCTAGCATGTAAGCTCATTGAGCAGAGCCCTCAACTCCTCTGTTCCTGTGTGTCCAACTTGTCTGGTTACAACTACATGTCTGTTCATCCACCCATTGTAAAGCGCTGCGGAATTTGATGGCACTCTATAAATATCATAATAATAACTGATCACCAAAAAATCCTGTGTATACATGAAAGTCAAATCTGGTCAAAAACATTGCCTCCTTTTGGAGTTATGATTGTAGCTTGTGCTGATACAAACCCTAGAAGGTTTATTCACTAGACTCCAAATATAAGAAAATTGAAAGCCAAATGGCAAAATTTTGTTGCAGAAATCTCCAAGACAGCTATAATCACAGCTTGGTTATTTTAATTTTTAATTTGCATTTCCACTTTCAGTTTTCTGCAGTTGGGAGTTTAGATGTTAGTCATCCCTATGTATTCCATTTGATGCATTTTAAGATGAAGAAATAAAATTTAAAAAAATTAATTTGAGGGTGATGCTATTTTTTTTGGCATTCCCCATGCGGGGTCTGACGTACACATGCATTTGTAAGCTTAGGAATCTACAGTTTAGGCTTTTTGTAATTTGTAAGCTTTTCCGAATTCTATATTTGTTAACTGAACTTTCACACAACTCCCACGTACAATGTACAATTTAGTAAAAAAAAAAACTAACACGCATCCCTTTGAAAGCCAGAGACTTGGCCAGTGCTTTCGCTATATATTAGCTCTGGAAGTCCAACGGTTGAACATAATAAAACAAAAAATAGCATAAATGCATTTTTTTCTAACAATTCAGGTTGTACTAACTGAGCAGCAAATTTGTAAATTTGTAAAAAGTTGTAAATTAAAAAAAAATAATTCAAAAAGTAGGCTATAATAACCAAGCCATGATCATAGCGCTTTAGCAGATTTTTAATTTTTTTTTAAATCAGCACTTTATGCCTTATATTTTTCGTTTCAGTTTTCAATTCACTATAATTATCAGTGTGATGTATAAACCACATTGTAATGCTGCTACAGCTGTCGTTCGCACATTTTAAACAACTCATACCAGCGAGGTTGTGGTCAATAAATTTCCCTGGGAGATGTTATGAGCCATTACATTACTATTACGTTGACCACATAAAAGCATGTGTGTATATAACGTTTTATAAATAGTATGTCATATACAACACCTCTCTATAAATATATACATATGTGAGCCTGTCTTAGCATTAATATTTACAGAAGGGAGAGATAACTAGGAGGAAGCCAAAATTATCTCATATTTTAATCAGTTATACATTAAGTTACCGTATATATCTGAGGAATATTTTAAAAGAGCAGTGTATTTTAAGTTACCTGAGATCATAATATTTATATTATTTATACATCATGTGAGAGACTGTTCACCAATATATTTTCATACAAATACTTTGTTATCCTCTGTATTTATACAGTTTATTATAATTGTAATCTAATCTTTTATTTTATTTTTGAAGTTACTTGTTTTTTTAACAATTACCAAATTATCTGTAACATATTACAGATTTATTATATTTTTTATTTTATTATTTTGCTATTGTAAAGATCTAAGATAAATCAGGAAAAACACACACTCATACACACTCACTCATTCACAGTTACACTCACAGTTACACATACACTCACATTCACTAACAGACACACATCTACATTAACTGACAGACACGCATTTAACGACAGACACATACACACTCACTGACAAGACACACATGCACACTCACTGACAGAAATACATACACACTCACTGACAGACACACAATCACTCAGTGTCAGACATACACACACTGGGACATGCAGATACATACTGACAAACACACATATACAACACCCACTAACAGACATATATACACTCAGTGTCAGACACACACATTGACTGACAGACACACATACACTAGCTGACAGACACACACTAACAGACATACACATTCACTGACAGACATACTCTCAGTGACAGACACGCATATACATACTGACAGACATGCATACACACACTGACACACTGATACAAATGCTGAACACGCATACACACACTGACACATGCATACACACACTGACAGACACACACTCTCAGTGACAGATACACACACACACACTGACAAACACACATACACATTCACTGACAAAAGACGTATACACTCTCACTAACAAACACACTCACTGACAAACACATATATACTCTCAGTGACAGACACACGCACACTAACACACACACTCTCACTTACAGACACACACTAACAACTCCACTAACAAACACACACACTCACTAAGAGACACAAACACTAACACACACTAACAGACACACACAAACACTCACTAACAGACACACACACTAACTAACAGACATACACTAACACTCACTAACAGACACACTAACATGCTCACTAACAGACACACACTAAGACACTCACTAATGGACACACACACACACAATTCTTGTGGACTCTTTCCTGGGGTCCAGTGTGGCTGCTAATGGGTGGGCTGGCAAGCACACAAGCGGGCGGGCAGGCTGGCTCATAGCGCCGGAGCCGGAGTGACATCATTTCCCAGCTTGCATCACTGTGGGGTGTCCAAGGTGGCTGAGCAGGGAGAGTTCAGGGAAGAGTGCTCTCTCGCCACCCACCTACATCAACGCATGCCGCCCTGCTGAAAGTGCCACCCAAGGCAAATCCCTTGCCAGCCTCGCGGTAGATACAGCGCTGCCTAAGCCAACTGCATATTATACTGATCCCACCCAAAAGTGCAGTCCAGATCCGAAATACCGGCCAGTTCTCTCTGCACGAGAGATAAAGTAACCCCAGATGATCATTTCAGACTTGTTAGGCTTTATCTGTGAGGTGTAGCTGATACCCTTCTAGGCACAGTGAGAAGGGGACCACGTGGGGATTATATTTAAACTTGGGGTGTGCAAAAAAATCAACAGAGTGGAAGAGACTGTTGAGAACGGACAACAGCTCAAGTACCTTGTCTTTCAATGGGTCCCTGCTCAGATCTCAAGCTGGTTTTAGCTCATCTTGTGCCATTACAAAGAGAACCAGGGCTATTTACATATCAGACTGATCCCACCCAAAAGTGTGGTCCAGATCTGAAATGTAGGTCTGCTCTCTCTGCATGAGAAATACAGCAACTCCAGATGATTGTTTCTACCTTGTTAGGCTTCATCAGTGAGGGGTGGATCACACACACATAGAAAGACACATCCCACAATCCTCCCTCTCCCTGAGGTCCCAGCGCGGGAAGGGACTCGGTTCTCTTTGTCCCCAGAGTCCGCCACTAAATCTCTTCCCACGTTCTGGAAGCAAATGATTTCCCTTTGTACGCACTCCCGAACTGGGAGCGGGCATAATATATGAAAGGATGGGGAGAAAACACATAATATAAATTCACAGACAGGCAGCAGTCCCACCACACCAACACTGTCCGAAAGGATTGGGTAGGATCAATGTCACGAAAAGATTTAAAAAAATATATATATTCCAAACTTGGCAAGCCTATATTAATTCACTGGGTGACAGCACACACAGGACTAAATTTTATTGTTATCAATTTGGTATATACACAAAGTTTTGGATGGTCCAGGCTCTCATCACGGTTTGGCTAGTGAGTCCATGTAAGCTGGAGTAAATGTTTGAGTTATTCTATCGTTTTTTGTGACTCAAGTGACATGGGACTCCCTATATTATGGCTCAAAATTAATTATTAGCCTCTCAGCTACAACTGAAATTAGGAAAGAATTGTCAGATCTCCCCTGGTTTTTACAGGATTCTAGAAATGGAACTCTGAAAGTATACTCTGCATCTTATTAACTATGGCATTAGAGAAGCAGCAGGAGCATCGTATTAACCCTCTCATAGAGGACAGGGAAAGGGACAGACTTTTGGACGTGATTAATAAAAAGGTGACTGGTGTAAACTGCTTTCTCTGTCTCTTTAACACGTCGTAATATCAAATACACAGCAAATACATATAAAAACTATTTCAGGATAGATAAAGTAGTAATCTCCTACGAATAATAATATATATATTTTTTAAAACAGAGATAGAGTTTGTTGATGTAAGCAGGGTGTGCTTCATATTAATCCACCTTTTTAAACTAGGCATACCACTTGGTGCTCTGTTAAAGGTAAACCAGATTGTTCGCACAATACATAATGCATTTATTTCTGTCTTGGACAATTTTAAAATAAGGGAAAGCAAGGAGTTGTTCATCTCTCTGGCACCCAGAGGGTTAAAAAATAATTTCCCTTGGTTCTGTTCCTGCCCACTCAGGGTAGACTGATCGTCTGCTGCCTCTATAGTTTTCTCCTAATACAGAAGCTACTGTAATGCCTCAAGTTCAGCACTAAGTGCTGAGGGCTTTGAATCAGAGGCAGCAGAGGACAGGGGAATCTGTACTGCTTCTACACATCGTATTCCTTCTCATTTTGAATCTACAAGAGCACCGAGAAGCTTATCGTATTTATGTGGAGCTGATTGCTTCTTGGGAAACTTCTGAAATCTGTTTCTACTGTCACTACAAGATATATATATATAAAAAAAAGAAAACAAATTTACTCTCCTTCGGCTTTCTCGTCACAGCCGAAACAAAACAAAAAGTGTGCACCTCAATCAAGATATCATCAACTCTTCGGAAAGTAGAAAATAATTTGCCAAATCTCGACTCTATGCGGTTGGATCTGATGTATTTGAATGACCACCCAGGATTTTTTGCGACCTGATTTATTAGGAATCATGAAGTATATTTCACTCTTGTTTCTTTTTACATTTTCTCGCTTGCTTTTTGTAAGTATCTGGTTTTTGTGACCTTTTCGTGAATATATACAGTGCTCTGTGAATCACTCCTGACTCTCCAGGAGCCTTTTGATTGTTTAACAAATTGAGTGCCGAATGGATTGTGACAGTCTGATTGATAACATTACCATCCGGCTCTCAATGAGTTAAAAAAAAAAAAGGTGTTTGTTGTTTTTCTCTCTTTCTTAAAGACAAAGTGTATTGTGAAATTTGTTTATGCTTAAATTTCTCATAGTGTTTATGTAGTCTTTAATGAAGGTTCCATTAGTTTCCAAAATGTATAGAGTGTGGGGTCTATTTACTAAATACTGAGTTTTGGTGACTTGAGACTCAACTTTAAAAATTTGGGACCAAATAGCTAAGCTATTTGCAACATTTGCCGAGTTCAGGAGCTTTTTTTCTGAGAATGTTTTATTTGAACCTTAAAAGAACACTGTTAGGAATACAAAAATGTATTCCTAACACTATAGTTACCTGTTCAATGTTTAGGTCAGCGCCCCCCCTCCAAGTACCTTTTCTCCAACACAGTGCTTGTCTCGCAGTGGCTGGCCCTATCGCTGAGATCAATCTTGATGACCCTACACAAACGCATTGGGAGGCTATTGCGCTTGCGAAGCAAAACATCATGCTGCATCAGGGAGCATTGTATCAACGCATTTATATGGGGAGCGTTCAGCGTCTCCATGCAGAGCGTGGAGATGCTGAACGTAGGTACTGCTTACTGTGCAGCACTAAATTAGGAAGCACCTTTAGTGGCAGTCTGAGTGACTGCCACTAGAGGTGTTCCTAGCCAGAAGTATAAACACTGCCTTTTCTTTGAAAAAACTGTGTTTACATTAAAATTCTGCAAAGTTAGGCTATATACTCAAGAACAACTACAGAAAGTTGTGCTGGTTCTGGTGACTATAGTGTCCCTTCAATGTGGGAAATAAATCCCTTAATGTCTAAGTTGTTATTGTATGTGAATGGGAGCTAGTTTATACTGTCATTTTAATCAATATTGGTACCACTAGGGTTTAAAAGGGATATCTATGCGGTTACAAATTAAAGGAGCATGTTTCCAAAAAATTTAAAATGTATTTTTAAACGTACTATTTTTATGAGATGGTAGATAGATAGATACTGTTATCATTTAAGAGTATTATTTAATATGTGGATAGATTGAGAGAGATAATTTGTATTACTATTTTTGTGATCTTCATAAAAACAGTATGATCAATTCAGTGTAGTGGATTCTCTGTGTGGGGGGTGGAAGAGGGGGATTTTGCTACTCAAGATTACCATTAGAGGGCACTAGTGAACTTAGTTGAATATGACTTTACTCACAGGAATTCCACCTTGTTTTTCCTTAATGCTGGTGATATATATCAAAGCGGGGGGTTGAGTCAGCGCTAGAGGGGCTCTGGACACTTACTGACACATTATTGGTGTCGGCATCTAACTCTCTGCTTATCTATTGCTAAATTACCGACATCAAGTTCATTTATGTCCAGCATTTCAGGAGTGCATATTGGAGACTCTTAACACTAATTTTGTGTACTCTGTACATACTTTATTTCTCTTTCTTTTTTCCTTTATTATGTGTATGGGGGGAGATTGATAAGACCAGGCATTTTATTAAGGGGTGCCCTCGAAGGCACAAGACTCAGGAATCTTTATTCTATATGCCTTCCTCTGTCACTGTCTGTATATTTTCTACTACCTAGGCAACCTGTTCAAAACTGTTTGTTAACCCTCTCTTTATACTTTGACCTATTATTTAGATGCAGCTAGCATTTAGGCAACTTGTGTGATTTGTAACCAGTTAACTGCTGCCTGTCAGCAGTCTTTCACAGGTGAGCTACTACTTTGTGCTCCACTGTGGTCAAGCATAAGTTAACATCATTCAGTGCAGGCAGCTGTTGTTACACTAGAATATACTGCTAGGTATCTTGCAGGAAAAAAACGGAGCCAGGTCAGCAACCCCTTATTTTACACTTTACTGCTTGACAGCAAGCTTTAATTTATTATCAAAATGCTGCTATGATCTAGGCAGCTTTTGTGATATTTAACTGGCTAATCGCCGTCTGTCAGAAATCTGTCTTAGCTGAACTATTGACAGCACTGGTTTAGCAGTTGTCTTATCTCCCCCCCCCCCTTTTTGCTACAGCTATTAGTGATATATAATATAGTATCACTTCTATTACTTGGGAATACACTGATGTTATATTGTAGCTAAACAGTATTGCTTCAGCATTAGTGTTATTATGTATACACTTTTACAGCTTATATAAGTAGTCACAGAGTTTTACTCGCTGTATAGTCTCCATTTACTCCTGCTGTTCATATTATTTTTCTTTTTTATATTCTTGTTTTAGATTTATTTATTAAAAGTTACTTTTTAATCTACAATCTTCTCAGTAAATCATACACAGGTAGAATGGCATTTGTTTCTTTTTTTGTTTATTCTCTATGATATTTAGTGAATATATCCCACAGTTAAACTCAGCAATGGCTCCCAACTATTGCCTACATCCGGCATAGGCAACCTTCGGCACTCCAGATGGTTTGGACTACACCTCCCATGATGCTTTGCCAGCACTATGGGTGTCAGACAATTATGGGGGATGTAGTCCAAACCATCTGGAGTGCCGAAGGTCGCCTATCCATGGCCTACATAATTACCAATTCTATTTTATTTCCTGCATAGAATGTGCAGTGAGCTTGTTTAATAAGAAACAAATAACCTGTGTGAGCTATGAGGACTGGCTTTCTCTCCAGGTAGTAGAGTACTGTTTAACACGCTTAGCAATGCTATGGATTTATTAACTACAGCAAGACTTGGAGAGTTAACATATGACTTTTATTAAGCCTAAATTTACTTTTTTGTTTGCTAAACATTATTTTAATATGCGTAATAATTAAATTGTGTAGATAATAAATTGCTAAACAGTTTTTAGAGGAAAAATAAATAAATAAGTGGTGTATTAAATAGTAGTATTTGCTTGAATGCAATGTGAATTCTTTACGATACATACTATCACTAATGCAGTAAAAATGTAATTTGATAGATATAAGATAGGCTTAAACGTTTATGAAGAAATGTCAGTAACAATTATACCAGGCAGTTTGTCTCTCTTACTAACTCTGCCTATTTTAGTCTGGCATTTAAAGTGTTAAACTTTGCTCTACAAAGTTTGATCAGCATTGATTATTCGTTTTGTGGGGTTGGCTAAACTAACCATGTACTTTTAATGTTTAAAAGGTGTTTATTGTAGAGATTAAGATAACTGGTGCAAATTCAGCATCTGTTTAAAAGAATGTCAGTCTGAGTTTGGCATGTCACTGGCTGCTCCGTTAGAAGCTGTATGAACTGACACAAAGGTTATAAAACAGATCACTAACACCTTACTGCGGACAACGTTATAATTCTTTTAAAAAAATGAACAATGCTTCGTGATAAACGACCAACCCTAAATTGAAAAAAGGAAGACTGAAGTGTGTTTAATCTGTCTAGATTTAGAAGGATCAGCACTCACTGAGAAATTGAAAAATGGGGGAAAATGTCCATTCAAATGGTAAACCTCTGCGTACCAATATGGTTGGTAGTGTATAAATGCTAGTAAAAAAATTATGTGAAAATTATTTTATATATACTTAATCTGAGTGCATTCGTAAATGATATGTCAATAGAGATAGTCTTTAATACCATTCGCATTTTACTTTTGATTTGTGCTATATTAACTCTATATAGTTTGTTTTCTATGAAATATGTTAAAATTGCGCTACGCAATACATATTTTATCATAACAATCAGCTCTTAAATATTTTTATTTAGTTGGATATAAATCCCCAGAAACGTAAAAGGCATCCATACCCTTTGTAAACTTCAAAGTAATCTTCCCATTAGCAGAGCTTACAGTGTGAACGGAGACCATTAAAACCAACTTCTTCTAAAGATTGCCCCCAAAATGTCCAAGTGACATTATTATGCAAATTCACAAGGAAAGCTTAGATACCTAAATCAAATGCAACTGTTTTCTTTTAGATCAGTACATCAGTTTTGGTAAATCTGTAAGGTATTTATTGGGACAGGGAGAAGAGGGGGACAGTTCCACCAGATAATTGGCAGGGCAAGGGGGCGACCAGTAAGATATCCCCCCCAGTCGTGATTTTGCAGCTTTTAAAGGACCACTATAGTGCCAGGAAAACATAATCTCTGGGGAGAGGAAGGGGTTAAACTTACCTCTTTCTCCAGCGCCGGGCGGGGAACTTTCCTCCTCCTCCCCTCCTCTCCTCCTCTTCGGCTGAATGCGCATGCGCGGCAGGAGCCGCGCTCGCATTCAGCCAGTCCATAGGAAAGTATTCACAATTTTCACAGTGAGAAGACAGCCACTGGAGGCTGGATTAACCCTAATATAAACATAGCAGTTTCTCTGAAACTGCTATGTTTATAAAAAAAAAAGGATTAACCCTAGCTGGACCTGGCACCCAGACCACTTCATTAAGCTGAAGTGGTCTGGGTGCCTATAGTGGTCATTTAAGATTATATGTTTTACTGTTGACGGAAGGTGAGGAAAGCAAAACACCTTTATTCAATATGTATTTAAAATAATTGTTTTAATAGACCATGAAAATATCAAAATCCCATTATACCTACTGCTTCTCCGGTAATAATGTATCCTTCTGCCTGTAAAAGCTGCATTGTATAACGGCAAAGCTCTGCCCAGAAATGTATGTTTTGAATGCATATTATATGTTTTTGCAAAAAATGTACCTTTCTTTAGCTGCAGTATTAACTTATAGAGATTATGGAGATCTGTTCCCCATCAGTCAGATCAAGTATTAAGCAAATTAGATCACTGCCTTCTCGTGCATGTCCTGTACGAGGCTCCTTTTTGGCGTGTATGAAATTTTTTGCACATTATACCAGCAGTTCTCATATTATAGTAACTGGCTTCACTTGATATATGCTATGACTGCAGTATCTGTTCGAACCACAGGTAGAATTCCTGCCATGGCCTTATCATTACATCCTCCTGAAATTGATAAAATAACTACCATTAAAAGACAACTGTAAACTTGTATACATATTAAAAAAAATGATAATAAGTTACATGTATTACAACCTCTGTGTGTTTTATATTGCAATGCATACAGTTAAAGTGTTCACATCATAACCACTACTGCTTTAGTGGTTATAGTACCCTAGCACCATTTTTAACAGTTACCTTGGTTCGCCGAGTGCATGTCATCCAGTCCTCTCTTCAGATATCACTAGAACAGAAGCGAATACTTTTGCATTAACAATGTCAATTCCGCCCATGTTGTGATGGAATTCATTGGTAGAGAGTGAACCAAACTGATATATCCAATAGGTACATCAGTTTTTGCCATATTTAGGAGTTAAATCACTTTGTTTATGCAGCCCTAGACACACCTCCCTGTATGTGACTTACACAGCCTTTCTAAATACTTCCTGTAAAGAGTCATCTAATGTTTATACTTCGTTTATTGCAAGTTCTGTTTAATTTAGAATTTCTTATCTTCTACTCTGCTAATAGCTTTCTAGACCCTGCAGGAGCCTCCTGTGGGTGATTTAAAGTTTAATTTACAGTTCAGGAGATAAAATCCGTTAAATTAAGTTACATCTGTTTGAACATGAAACCATTTTGTTTTCTTGCAGGTTTTGTCAGTTACAGCCAGGGGAGGTGTGGCTATGGCTGCATAAACTGAAACAAAAGTGATTTAACTCCTAATGGCAATGAATTGAGTAGTGAAACTTCAGAGGCATGATATATATATAACAAAACTGCTTAATTGAGCTAAATTTGTTTTGGTGACTATAGTGTCCCTTTAATTTCTCTTTGATCCAAGGTAAAGACTGGTCCGTGCAAGTAATCAAGTCCCAGTGCCAGTTCATGAATCCACACACCCTAGCAAGGATAAGCCAAGAAATGCACTGAAAGATTATATTACCTTTAATTATCCATCCATTAGAAAATAATACACAATGATTTATTACCTGTAAACTTTTAGCTCGATTTTTCTTCGAGCTAAGTAATAGTAAGTTATTCAGTAACTGGAGGCTAGTTTGATTACGTCTAGGAGTGGGTGTTCCGTATTTTGCAGAGCTTACTCTCAATAGTTGGTTATTATTAAGGCTGTGGTATGTAATGTTCTTTTTAAGATTAAAAATGTGAAGTCTTTCAGGCTGGCCAGCTTTCTGGTGTACTATATATAGTTGTACCTTTCTGGGATATTTATTATCACAGCTGTCAAGCGAGGGATGCAAAGCTTTCTTTTCTGAAACATCTTTCAAGAAATAAAACTTGATTTTATAAACATTACAGACAAGTTATTTCTATTTTTAACCGGCTATCATTTAGATCCTTGGTTATAGAAGAGTGTACATGCAAGACGTTTAGTGTGGGAAAAGAAACAAAATATACAGTTATTAGTAAAGATGATTTGACCATGTGTATACCAGTAAAGGTGTAAGGACTGTGACAGTATCCCGAATCTGCCAAATCCTCGCAAAAATGTAAATTGTATAATAACAATATTCAACACACCAATAAAACCCACACTTATTAAAAGGGCATTGATGCAAAAACAAACCAAAAAAACAACATATAGACATATAACTTGGAATTTTTTAGAGAAATCTCTGTATATATACACTGTACATATTAAATAATAATATATAAATTATACAACAAAGTATGATGGGGGGATGGCAGAATGGGTTATATATCATATCACTTGGCATTTGATCTTAAAATAAAAAAGATGTATTCTTTTATGGAAGAGAAGCAGTCAAACTCATCAAAATGTAGAATTGCTCATCATGGGTCATTTCCATTTCAGGACATGTCTGACAGCTCAAAACATGCATTTTTTGCACATGCACACAGCAACTACTTTATGTGGATCCTCATTACCCATGCCCTGAGTATGCACAAACACACCGCATTCCAGCTAATTTCTGCATGGCCACCATGTTTTTTTTCAAGCAGCACACACTTTGCCTCATGCTTCAGTTGTCTTGTATCTTGAGCAGTTTGCTCTGTTGTAAATGGCTATAAATCTAAAATGATTGAACTAATTTTGCTGATATCATTTTTCTATGATTTCATCAATGTAGAACATGTCAGAAAATCCGATGACAGTCTGGCCAGGATCCAAGGTTCCCTAAACACAAACACACTTCCCCTATAGATCTCTTGGCATTTGGTTGGTACGAATTGGTATTTGGGAGATATTTTGCTGTGGTGGCAGTGGCCTCTACTGGAGGTATGTGTAGACATCAAACGCAGCACAAAATTCTTAAAATGGAGTTATCACCATGGAAATCAATACAAAGTTTCTGCTGGTAGCTCCACTTTTGGAACATTGCCCCAGAATTGTCTTTATGATTTACCTATTCAGAAAACATAACCATGATAAGAGATTACCATTAGGTTAAACCAGAAGCAGACACCAAAATCATCTCCTACAGGTAGCATGACAAAACTTCAAAAATGAAATACACAATGCAATTACAATTTTGGGCACAATTTAAAATGTTTATGGATATAATTATCTAAGTAATAAAATGCTTCCTTGGAAGAACGTAAAATATCGTTTTGGTGATATTATAATTATTAGTCGGAAACTATTTGAAATCACAAAACATTCTGTTATGCATTTTTTTATTCCACTTAATCTCAGTGCTAATTATTTAATTTGTTCTAAATGTATATTCCTTCCTTAAATGTGTTCCAGTATTATTTTAAAGAGCCTAAATATGTTCTTGCATTGTACAGTGGGTGGACAAGACACATTTTTACAAAACATGTTTTGTTTTTGTTCATCAATATTTTTCTCGATGTACCGGTCCAGCTGGGTCTTCCTTCATGGTGATGCCATCTTGAAGTATCTAAGAGGATGGCACTTACAACTACATATACTAATATCATTTTGTAATGAATGTCATGTTGCAGTAAACCACAGTACACACGTAAAAGAAATATTCCAATATATTTATATATGTTTTTTTATTATTAGTATTTTTTTTCAAGCATCATTAAAAGTATTGGACAGCCAAGAGTGGGGATTTGGAACATGCCTATAAAAAGTATAAAGTGATAGACTTTTTACATACTGGGTAAAAAGTTGTTGAGGTTCTAGATCGAACAACCTTCCATTTTAGAATTAGAATATGGAATAATAACTAATAATAATGTAAATCAACAAGGATTGTCCAAGAGGTATAGCTCAAGGAACTTAAACATTTTAGAAAAGTAATGGTTTCATTCCAATAAGACATGATAGTATTATTATTATCATGTTTGAGATCTTCCTTCCTGGATTTGTACGTTTTCTCAAACAAATTCATACACTTACAACGCAGTTTTATGTAATCTCGAAAAATTATAAAAGTAAGATAAACTAAGGAGATTTGTTTGTCTTTCTGAAAGGTGAAAGGATTTAATCCAGAATGTAAATTACAACTGGAAATAAAAGAAGAAGAAAGAAAATGTTTGGACAAGCAAAACAAGCAAAAAACTATTGGCTTTAAGGGTAAGAAAAAAACATCAAGTATTACTTTACTCCATTGGGGCTATTACGTTATATGTTATGAATCCTGACTGTGTATGCTGATTTGTTATTGTTGCATACTTAGTTGGGGTATATTTTGCGAGTCCACTAAAGTGCACAAATGAAATGTTTCATTATGAGGTCAGAGGGACACCGCTGATAAAACGAACCCATCAATTTGTCTTACACACTATAGAATAGATAATGCATTAAGAGCCAGCAATATACCTAACCATTCCCTCACCAGGAGAAGACACTTTTTAATGCACAATGCATCATCTTCCCCTGTACAGTTTAGGATGTGCCACGAGCATTCAGGGGAAAAAGATTTGATACAGTACCATGCCGGCACCATCACCACTACAGCAGGCATTAATGGTTATGTTACTTAGAGTATCCCTTTAACCCTCAGCCTGCAATCTTTCACAGATTATTCTGTTCCAATAAATGATGTTGATGGTTTATGAACGTTTTTTGATCATTTAGTTTATTTTCTCTAAATGGATTTCATAAAGTGAACTGCAAAATTGGATTCTGATTTTATGTAGCCATTTGCATTTTTATTCTAGCATGTTCAACTCTCATCTGCTGTAGTTTTATTTTTTTTACCACTTGTTTTCCAAGGGTAAAATGCTTTCAACTCAACCACCCTACGTGTATGTAACGCATGCACATGTAACTGTAACTTGATTTTAGCATTTGTTATTTCTAGAAAGGAAGTAGGGAGTGGTCCCTATTCTGCTTTTTAGGTAATTGTATAGGCTGTAAAAAGACTCAGGTCCATCCATAGCTACCCCCGCCACTGCACACTATTTCAACTTTCTCAACACTGAATTTGACCTCAAATTGTGCATTAGGACTACTGCACACTATGGGGAGAGCAAAGAAACAGGGTGCAGTAGAATACCAAGAACGGACAACAGCTCAAACAGCCTGCCTTTCTGTGGGTTCCCAATCAGATCTAAAGCTGGTTTTAGCTCATCTTGTGCCATTACAAAAAAAAAAACTAGGCAATTTGCATATCAATCTGATCCCACCGAAAACGGCAAGCTACTTGAGCTGTTGTCCATTCTCAGTATTCTCTTGCATTCTGTTTTTGTTTACTACACACTATGGGATGTGGACATTCTTCCACAATTCTTATCCAGGGTTCTATAATATTCTTAAGTGAACATGATACATTAGATGTAAGTCACATAGATATAAAGAAACTACTGGTCTGTGAACCATTCCCATTATATCCATTACTTAAACGATTGCTCGTTACATATACTATAATGTGAGTCCCGATGCCTAAATAGCTGTTAGTACATCTAGATCACACATTGCCTAGAATGAGTTATTTGAAAATATGCAGATGTCCCAGTGTAATCCCACATATGATGAACATATTTTGGGCATTAAATGTAAAATTCCAATAATTAATATGTCTTTAGCCATATTTCAGTTGAAGAGAGTGACATCTAATACATTCTCATACATAAACTAAAAGCATCAGGGACGAAACCTATTTGGATAACAATAATTCGATTCAGCTAAGTACCAAATGTAGGGTTTGCATTCTATCACTGAAAAATTTAACATGAATGTTCTTCATCTAGTCTAGAAAAACATCAGGTAGATTAATCTATGCCATTTGATTCTGATTTAGAACTACACACCTTTGTTATTTTATCTGACACTGTTTTAAAAGTACAGGCGGGTTAAAGTCTAACTGACATGGTACACAGAAGATGAGTTTAATTGAAATTCATATATAAATTGTACTACCAGACCACCTCATCAGTGAGTGTCCCCGGTCAAGATATATGTTTGTTTCAGCTCTTTTTGTTCTGCTGCCTCAGTTGAAAATACTTCCCAAGCAACATCCATATCCCCAGAGCCATTCTGTGCCATTCTGACATTACTTCCTGAAACAGTGTGTAACTTGGTGGGGACCCCCGCAGATGAGCACAGTACATATTAGCAGATCCAATGTTCAGCAATCACATTCTGTGAGTGTCTGTGGCATATAACCTATAACTTGGTTGCTTTTGCATTTTAATATAACAGTAGTTACCGTTGACAGCGACACACACTGACATGGCAGACACATGGCAAACACGCAATGGATGAGCATTGCAGTTTGTTATTCTGAATCTTGCCTGTGGCTCCAAAAGAGATGATTGATTGGAAAAAATATGTAATTGATGGTTAGGGACAGTCACTTAATGTTGATTAGACTAAGTGAGGAGTGACTTAATGTGGTGAAAAAAGGAGGGGCAGTTCAAAAATAAAAAATCATCTATACTTATATAATATATATTGTGATCCTTGTCAGCAGGTAGCACGGTCCTCTAGGGCAAAAACATGCACAGTCTTTTAATGCAACTTCATTCTAGGCACTTTATTTGTAAGTTTATATATGAGGCAGCAGCAAATGAAAACATAAATATAACAGGTTTCCCTTTAAACAAAAACCTAGCTCGTCTGAGCACTGACTCACTTTGAATAACCCTCTCTATCAGGGTTAAACTAACAAAACATACTGCACCAACCTTATTAGATAGCAACACTCTGCTAGCCTGTTGCACTCCCAGTGCTCCAAGCCAGCCTTGCCCTGACTGCTTTCCTTTCTGCACTCCCAGTGCTCCAAGCCAGCCTTGACTGCTTCCTCCGGCACTCCCAGTGCTCCAAGCCAGCCTTGACTGCTTCCTCCTGCACTCCCAGTGCTCCAAGCCAGCCTTGACTGCTTCCTTTCTGCACTCCCAGTGCCTAGTCTCCTTGACTCTCTATCTGGAGAGAACAGCCTCTCTCCTACCTGCTTCCTGGGAGGAAGCCAGCAATCCCTCCTTTACCTGCCTAGCAGGGAGGAGTTTATTCCCACTGCAACAGCTCATTAACTGCAGCTGAGCAGTGGGTTGGAGACGGTCCAAAAAACCCTGGCCTGGATCTACGTCTCCCCAGAAAACCACTAAACTGTGGAGTGGAGCATTGGCCCACCCTTCTCTCCAAATGCTCCACCCCAGGGGCCCATAACTAAACAATGCGTTATGTTGTGCAACACACAAACTACACGTACTTCCCCTGGGGTTAAAAGGCCTATCTGCCTTCACTTTATCACAATATACATATAGATTGCTTTCCTGCTCTTCCTGTTTCTCTATCTTTTGGTTACGCTTTCTCACTTAATCTGTGAAACAAATTGTGGGAAAACACTCCTATTAGTGTACTGCAAAATAAATGCATAATTCGTTTTTCCAAATTAGTTTTTCCCTATCGAACTTTTAGCTAGCTGAATCGACATTCAAGTAAAATTCCGGTGTTCCAAAAAATGTTTAACTTTCAGGAAAAATTATTTGGGCAAATTTCCCACAGTTCAATAAGTCTATTCAATAGTCATCATCACTGTTATTTAGAACTGTGGGTTAATGCTACACATACAAATTGTGAGAAGCTTTGCACATTTGATGCTAAATATTTGTAAGGTGTCAAGTACATGATCACTGGTCAAGATTGCTGTTTAATTGGTTCAGTTTGGTAAAAACATCTCAGAAATTATTGCTTCAGCACTGCAGAATTATCACATGGTGTTTTCTTCTTCCACTGTGTTGTAGTTTAAGTAAATGTCTATGCAGGGAAGCAGAAACACTACTATTTTGATAACATGCATAAAAAAGACTGGTTCAACAGATAAAAGGTTGCACTTAAATGAGTTGTATCTTTCTTTCTTGCCTCATTTTTGGTTTGAGTGTTCAATCGTTTCTTTCTCAGCACTTAATTTAGCTGAGTCTCGTAGAATGTGCACATCAGTTTGAAATAAATATCAGATTTAAAAATCTGGTGAAATATAGTAAGTAACCATTTTATCTAATGATTAGCCTTTAGTGCAGGGCTTCCCAAACTTTTATGGGCCGAGACCCAGTGCTGTATTCTGAATTTGTGCTGCCCTAGACATGACTAAATTCGGCACCCACCAATTAGTGTCAAGACCTTTTTTTTAACTGACAGACACACACACACACACAAACACACCAACAATGACAGACACACACACACTCACTGACAGTCACAAACATACTCACACACAGATATTTTTTCATACACTCAGCAATTATTAAGATCTTTAATAATTATCTAAAAGGACATATCACCCTCACCGCCCGGCTAGAATATTAGTACTTTAACACCTATGGGGGTCCCTAAGGTGGCAGCCAGCTCTTGGGCTCCACCAGGACACAAGGCAAACAAGACATTTGCCTGGGCACTAGGTGTGGCGTTTTTTGCTGCCCCCCCCCCTGAAATTGCCGCCCTAGGCAAATGCCTTGTTTGCCTTGTGGTAAATACAGCCCTGCCGAGACCCACTTTTGAAAACGGTAATTTTTCAAGACCCACTTGCTTTTAATGCATATTTTAAAAAAATGCATAAACTTGGCAAATGATGGCAGCTTTAGAGGCAGAAAATTAGGACAACATGGAAATCAGCTTTAGATACATACAATTTGCACACAATGGTAATCAGCTTTAGATACATACAATTTGCACACAATGGTAATCAGCTTTAGAGGAATACAATTGGCACATCATGGAAATCAGCTTTAGAGGCATACAATTGGCACACAATGGTAATCAGCTTTAGATACATACAATTGGCACACAATGGTAATCAGCTTTAGATACATACAATTGGCACACCATGGAAATCAGCTTTAGAGGCATACAATTGGCACACCATGGAAATCAGCTTTAGAGGCATACAATTGGCACACAATGGTAATCAGCTTTAGAGGTATACAATTGGCACACAATGGTAATCAGCTTTAGAGGCATACAATTGGCACACAATGGTAATCAGCTTTAGAGGCATGCAATTGGCACACAATGGTAATCAGCTTTAGATACATACAATTTGCACACCATGGTAATCAGCTTTAGATACATACAATTGGCACACAATGGTAACCAGCTTTAGATACATACAATTTGCACACCATGGTAATCAGCTTTAGATACATACAATTGGCACACCATGGAAATCAGCTTTAGAGGCATACAATTGGCACACAATGGTAATCAGCTTTAGAGGCATACAATTGGCACACAATGGTAATCAGCTTTAGAGGCATACAATTGGCACACAATGGTAATCAGCTTTAGAGGCATACAATTGGCACACAATGGTAACCAGCTTTAGATACATACAATTTGCACACCATGGTAATCAGCTTTAGATACATACAATTGGCACACCATGGAAATCAGCTTTAGAGGCATACAATTGGCACACAATGGTAACCAGCTTTAGAGGCATACAATTGGCACACAATGGTAATCAGCTTTAGAGGCATACAATTGGCACACCATGGAAATCAGCTTTAGAGGCATAGAAATTGCACACCATGGAAATCATCTTTAGTGGCATACTATTGGCACACAATGGTTATCAGCTTTAGAGGCATACAATTGGCACACAATGGTAATCAGCTTTAGAGGCATACAATTGGCACACAATGGTAATCAGCTTTAGAGGTATACAATTGGCACACAATGGTAATCAGCTTTAGAGGCATACAATTGGCACACAATGGTAATCAGCTTTAGAGGCATACAATTGGCACACAATGGTAATCAGCTTTAGAGGCATACAATTGGCACATAATGGTAATCAGATTTAGATGCATACAATTGGCACACAATGGTAACCAGCTTTAGATGCATACAATAGGCACACCACGACAATCAGCTTTAGATGAATACAATAGGCACACAACGACAATCAGCTTTAGAGGCATAACATTTTCACATCATGGCAATCAGTTTTAGATGCATAAACTTGGCATATTATGCAACCAGTTTTAGATGCATACATGGCATATCATGGCAGATTTAGAGACATCATTTTGGTATATCATGGCAGTTCTAGAGGTAGAAACTTGATATATCATGGCAGTTTTAGAGACATAACTATGGTATTTGGCAGTTTTAGAGGCAGAATCTCGGCATATCATGGCAATCAGTTTTAGAGGCATACAACTAGTTAAGCACAGTCTCAGGTAGAATCAGAAGCGCTGTGTCCTGCTCTTTAACCCAGGCACCTCACATTGAGTATCCCAGTGGTTGATCCCCATCTGATGGAGAACTCCAACAATGCTGTGCCAGCTGGGGATCTACCATTTGTCCACCATTGCAGGGTTGTATTTGTGAGCAGTGTTTGAGTGTTTAATTGTAAGCATGTTTTTGTATGAAGTATATGTGTGGATGTATGAGTGTATTTGTATGTACTGTTGCCATTGGAATATATTGGTGTACTTGTGTGTAGTGTTTGCGTCTGAATGCAGATGTGTTTGTATGTAGGAATGCATTTTAAATACAGGTGTGCTTTTGTGTGTAGTGTTGGTGTTTGAATGAAGGGGTGCTTGTATATAATTTTGTTTTGTGTTTCGCATGGTTGTTCGGTAAATTGCATTCATCTTCCATATTAATAGTATTATTTTCGACAACTGAACAAATCACTGAACGCCAGACCACCCATATGTGGAGTGTGCCGCTTGTTGACCCCAGTAACCTCGGTTAACACCTCCATTAACCGCAGTAACACTAATATTATAAGCGGTCGTGCGAACATGTGGTGGTGGCCATTTTTAACCATGAACAGAGACAGCAGTGTTTGGTCTTCGAGCCGATTGAACTAAAATCGGACACCCGACTGTGCAAACCATACGAACAGAGTGACGTTCGGGGGGGCATACCGAACAAGATACAGGAGATGAGCTTACACACAAACAGCTAATTTTTTAGTTTTAGTATGTTTTGTACTCCCGAAAGAGACCAACCACACAGCCTGATTTCATGGTGCCCTTTTAGGCAGGAGCCTCGTGTTCTGTCGGTCTAAACTATACCCCGGTGGCGTTTCGGCTGCGTTCATAGAATTTGAGTGCTTTTTGGATATGTTGGGTGCTCAGACCCAGGCTATAAGGGGATATAGGACATGAGGGGGTATCTTATTGTTAACTGTATGCTTTAGGATGTTATTACTGTATATGTCCTGTACCTGAGAGTTAATCTAATTATGTTGTGTATTTTGTCTCAGTCTACTCCCAGGTCCAGTGGGGAATGCCCCTGGAATATGTGTCAGGAAACCCCTTGCATGGAGCTTCACATAAAAGGCCATGTGTGGCTTCATTAAAAGCAGTTATATCCCCACAGCTAAGCGTCGTCCATTTACTGGGAAAAGGTGGGAGATTCTTGGATAATTTTACTGTGTTTGACTGTTCTTTTGGAGTGTTATACTTGTTCCAGAGTATATTTTGGAGTAACCAATGGAGGAGAGTCCCTCCTAGGACTAGGGCTCTGCTACAATTGTCTTGTAGGAAGGTCAATGATGCACAAGCTTCCACAAAGGTGGCATAGCGATTTCTCCTAGGATTTTCTGATACTTTATTGAATCCATCTTGCCTTCCACATGCTACAGATTTTGAGTGCCAGAAGATGCAAAGCATCCAGAATATCATCGAGCCACCATCATGCTTAACTGTAGGCAGAGTGTTCTTTTCAGCATATGCTTCATTCTTCTTCCTCCAGACATACCGATGATCAATGGGGCCTAAAAATTTAAATTTTGTTTCATCTGTTCACAGAGCAGAATCCCAAAATTTCTGTGGCTTATTTATATGATTTTGAGAATGTTGGAGCTGACGTTTCTTGTGCTTTTGGGTCTGTAGTGGTGTACGTTTGGTAATCTAGCATGGAAAATGTCTGCGTTTAGTATGCGTCTTACTGTGCTCACTAAAAACTTCAGTGCCCCAGACAATCCAAGGGCTGAGCACCCCTTTTTAAGTAACAAAGATACACATCCATCTACCAAGAAGAAGTGCACTCAAGGATTCGTATTGAAAACGAATTATTTGCTGTTTACTCAGCTAGTGCCTGATACAATCGACGTTTCAGTCTCAATGAGAGACTTTTTTCAAGAGCATCAAGATATACATACATACAATATTAATTATTGTGCCTCTCATAACTTCTGACAATGTGTATGTTTCCGCAACTGCAATTTCATCCTTTATTGTATTTAATGATTTTATTTTCTTCATCTTTGTGCTTTTATGTTTGACATAAGAATTCTTTTTGGGGGCGCTATAGGGTCAGCTACAGCTCAGACACCATATTTTACAGTTTTGTGCACAAATCTCCAAAAACATCGAAAAACTGTGATAATACCAGTTTATCACCAACCAAAAGTGCTTGCCACAGGTGGGGGAACTCCCACTGACCCCGCTCGTGCCCTTTCAATTCGGATCGCCCACTGCGTCACCCCGCAAAATCTTACAGAAGCTTTGGCCTGGAGGCCTGAGGGCCGCAACCAACCAAGTCGAACTCCTCAATAACTGGTGCGAATACCTGCCTCCCTACCGGAGAGACCCCAACATTGCAACCATGGGTTGGAAGACGCAGAAACCGACCACAGCGCCATCACGAGAGGCGAGATATATCATCTCACTCCTCAAATTCCAGACACTCAGCCAACAGAGAGGCCTCTGAGGATGAAGAGGGGAGCAGGATGGAAAGCATGCAACCCGTAACAGCGGCCGCCACAAGTCCCAAAGACTGACGCCTGCAACTAAACAAAACATATCAGACCTCTATGAAAGAATCAGGTTGCTGTTTGATGCTGGTAAAAACTGATGTCCCGGCTGTCACAGACCGCATACAGGCCACTGAGGAAGACATGATCGATCTCAAGCAAGGCCTAGGAGCCCTGGGGGACACTGTGCAGCAAATGAAAACCTCACATTCCTTCCTGACCCACAGAGTGAACACCCTGGACGACAGGAGCAGGCGAAAACACATCAAAATCCACGGAGTCTCTGATGCAGTATCCACAGAGGAGTCACCGCACTTTGTCAGGTGGCTGATATCCACAGTCCTGCCCACTAAAAAGGCTAAACTGCTCCTGCTGGATGGGGCCTATCAGGTCAACAGACCCCCATGGGCACCAACGAGCTTGTCCAGAGACATTATACTCAAATCCTAGTCCTTCGCGGACAAGGCTCATGAAAGCTCTTCAAGACAAGGTCCCCTTGGAACTTTGAAACTCACCATCTTACTTTTTTTCAAGGTGTCACCCGGGCCACGTTACTATGGAGAAAGGCTATACAGGCTATACAGCTGGAGTGGCATATTGCTGGTCTGCATCCCGCACACTGATGGTTGTCAAAGAAGGGAAGACATATACAGCATCATCTCCGTCAGATGCCCCGCTTTCCTCACAGCACTTGTTCTCACGGGGGGCGCAGACGCTCCAGCGGGAATGCTGACCACTCATCAGTGGGATGTCTCAAATGTGACACCCTTTGTTCCATACTGGGTCCAGGACTCGGTGACTTAGACTCTGAACCAACGGCACTAACTCAGTACACCTCACCACTATTGGTAGCAAGGAGATAATTACCAACGAACCACATAAAAGTGTTACCTCAAGGAATGGGCTGTATCGCACATTTATAACCTGTTTTATAGTTTTATATCAGTTTTCTGTTTTATTTCGAGGAATGTTAGTTGTTAAAATAGAAAGGAAGCACACGCAAAAAACTCCTGATACTCTCCCCCCGCTGCCCTCATAGGTTAGGGGTACACACGAGCAACAGAGGCACCAAATATTGCCACCCATCATCCCGTGAGGCACATATTCACTTGCACGCATCACACCTTCCTCATGTCAAGCTGCACAGATTCCACATTAGGCTGTTAAATAGCAGCAATCTCTATTGAGACTGAAAGCAGGGCTGCCATCAGAAATGTTGGGGCCCCTGACACAGCTCAAGGTCTGGGCCCCACCCGAGTCCACCCAAAGTGCTGCCCCCCCCCCCTCTGAATCCGCCCACAGGGATGCAGTGTCTGCAGGGCTGGTGCAAGGATTTTTGCCGCCCTAGGCAAAAGTAAAGTTTGCCACCCCCCCATGTGACATCACAATGCCCCACCCATATGATTTGCCATGTTAACTAACACCAGTGCTGCAGTGCCGCCGTGTTTACATTAAAAGGCCTGAAGGGACAGGCTAGACACCAGAACCACTACATTAAGATGAGGATGATGATGGGCTCTAGCAGCCGTCTGGCTCCACTGGTCTGGTGTACAACAGGCTCTCTGGAGGCGGTTTGTAACTGTGGTCACAAAAATCACTGTTCTGGGAGAATGGAAAGCAGCTCCATTTTTTTGAGGGCCCTTTACACAGCTAAAGGTCTGGGTCCCAGGGTCCACCTTCATGTTCCACCAATGAGTTTGTTCACAGGGAGTGGAGTGTGTGTGTGGGGGATGTCCTGATGTGTGTAAGGAATGCATTGTGTGAATCTGTGTTTGTATGTGTAAGGGCTGCAAGATGAGTTTGTGTATGTATGGGATGCAGTGTGTGCGTCTGTAAGGGATGCATTGAGTGTGTGTAAGGGGTGCATTGTGTGTTGCTGTGTGTAAGGGATGCATTGCTTGTGTATGTGTGTCTGTGTGTAATGCATTGTGTGTTTTTCTGTGTGCAAGGGGTGCATGTGTGTGTGATGGATGTCAATCTCTCCCCCTCCCCCCGTCAATTTCCTTCTTCTTCTCCCCCTCCCTCCCTCTCTCCAATTTCCTTCTTCTCCCCTCCCTCTCCAATTTCTTCTTCTCCCCCCTCCAATTTCCTTCTTCTCCCTCTCATTTCCTTCCTCTCCCCTCAATTTCCTTCCCCTGCCCCGTCCCTCAAATTTCCTTCCCCTCCTCCTCTCCCCTCCAATTTCCTTCCTCTCCCCGTCCCTCAAATTTCCTTCCTCTCCCCCCTCCCTCCCTCAAATTTCCTTCCTCTCCCCCGTCCATCAAATTTTCTTCCTCTCTCCCTCCCTCAAATTTCCTTCCTCTCCCCCTCCCTCAAATTTCATTCCTCTCGCCCCTCCCCCTCAAATTTCATTCCTGTCCCCCCCTCAAATTTCATTCCTTCCCCCACTCCCATTTCATTCCTCCCCCTCCCTCCCATTTCATTCCTCCTCCTCCCTCCCATTTCACATTCCTCCTTCCCCCCTTCCCATTTCATTCCTCCCCCCCGACACCTGGCGGGCGAGCGCGCGAGGGAGCACTCTCTGTGTGCTTCCTCTTCAGCTCCCTCGCGCGCCGCGTACTGATGCCGGAGCCAGAAGATGACGTCATCTTCCGGCTCCGGCATCGGTACGGTGCGCGAGGGAGCTGAAAAGGAAGCACACAGAGAGTGCTCCCTCGCGCGCCGGCCTGCCGGGTGTCAGCAGGGCCAGCCTCTGGGGGGCCCTGAGGTGACCGGCTGCTGGGCCCCCCAGGAGAAGAGGCTGGCCCTGTGGGTACATACCAGGTCGCAGGGCCCCCTGCGACCCGGTATGTACCCACTGAATGTGGGGCCCGGACGACCTGAGCAGTCTGGGCCCCCCAGGACTGCCGGGCCCATGACAACCGTTGCGGTTGTCGTGCCCTGATGGCGGCCCTGACTGAAAGCATATTACGCACAGATGACAAACTCAGATTACCACCAATCACATATGTATATGAGCTATGTTTTCCTCACTACTATGTTGTTTGACTTAACTTTTCTTTACCTTGTACTGTATGATGCTATAACCACTCAATAAAAGAAAGAATATATTAAAAAAGAGTTCTTTTAATCCAGCAAGTAACAATTATTTTTTTTTTTTTTTAGAAATTAGTTTATTTTTCACCTTGCAAGCGCCTTCTGTAAAGGCATCAACATGGCATTATGTGATCTGATACGTTGACATTCTATTCACATCTTTTGCTTAATTTTGCTCAGCTGCCAATTTTCTGAATTCAAAAGTTTCTACTGAAGAAATTGAGTGAAACACCTACACTGTTGTTATGTATGGTGTGTTTTTAACTCACTGAATATATTTAGAAAAATGATGCCATATGTTAAAAAATGTTTTCGCTTCTTTAATGTGCTGATTCAAAAAATAGTTATTATAAGCATGGGAGTTCCTCTTTAACTATATACTATAAATTCTTTCCTACTAAAATATTCCTGTAAGATTTCCAAAATGAGGAAATGCTGGCAAACAAACTATGAAATACAGCTAATATGATATAATCCTCAATGGCAACTCCGAGATTATAAATCAAAAAGTGCACTAAAACCGAGTACGGAAATGGATAAATGAAAAAACACGTAAGCAAAGGTCTGTTCAGTGCAATTTTATTAATATTTAAAGGTTAAAGAGAACATGCAAATATATCAAATTATAGCATTCTAGCATTTGTAGAACTTATCATTTCTGATAAATTTGAGCTTCAGCTTACTATGGAGTTCCTAGTATATGAATGACAAAAATGAAATTGTATTATAATCTACCGTATATACTCGTGTATAAGTCGATCTCATGTATAAGTCGAGGGCAGTTTTGTGACCAACAATTGTGAAATATGCTATGCCTCGTGGATAAGTCGAGGGTAAAACTTGGGCCTATGAAATTCTGTGATTTTTAGAATTATATACACACACACACTCATACAAACACACACTCTGCATTATACACACACACACTCATACAAACAATCTGCATTCTACACACACACTCGTACAAACACACACACACTCTGCATTATATACACACACACTCTGTCTGTATATAATGCAGAGTGTGTGTGTTTTTGTATGAGTGTGTGTAGAATGCAGATTGTTTGTATGAGTGTGTGTGTGTGTATAATGCAGAGTGTGTGTTTGTATGAGAGTGTGTGTGTGTGTGTGTGTGTGTGTGTGTGTGTGTGTTTGTGAACTGGGTGGGAGGAGGGCATTTTTATTATAAATTTTTTATTTTAATATTTTAAGTTTTTTTATTTTATTATTTTATTTTAATATTTTAAGTTTATTTTATTTTAATATTTTACGTTTTTTATTTTAATATTTTTTATTGTATTTTTTTTATTATTTAATTACATTTTCGTCCCCCCTCCCTGCTTGTTAGCTTGCCAGGGAGGGGGGCTCTCACTCCCTGGTGGTCCAGTGTATGGGCTGTGTAGGAGGGGGGGCTGACAGTGAGCGGTTACTTACCTTCTTGCAGCTCCTGTCAGCTCCCTTCTCCTCCGTGCAGCTCCTCTGTCAGCTCCCACTGTAGGAGCTGGGTGACCCCGCGGCTCTCGCGAGACTTACAGTGGGAGCTGACAGAGGAGCTGCACGAAGGAGAAGGGAGCTGACAGGAGCTGCAGGGAGGTAAGTAACCACTCACTGTCAGCCCCCAACAGGACCGCCGGGCTTGTAATGAGCCCGGCGGTCCTGTTCTGTATTATGGCAATGCAAATTGCCATAATACAGACATTAACTCGAGTATAAGTCAAGTGGGGGGTTTTCAGCACAAAAAATGTGCTGCAAAACTCGACTTATACTCGAGTATATACGGTATACAAAAAAAAAAAGCAGAGCAGTGGCTGTATAGTTTAATATATGGTTATATGATATGTTTATATTACTCACGGTCATTCCCTTTCTGATAACACAACTTTTGCTGTGTTCTTTAGCTAACCCATTTGACTGAAACTAAAGTCTTTATCTCGGTATTCACATAGTGCAGTAACACACCTGTTTCGTTAGGTTAGTAAGTTCCTAAGCTCCCTCAAATGGTGTCTTTTCAAGTGTTGGTTGACAAGCATTGCCAATGGTCTATCTCACTTGCAGTGAGGGTATACAAAGGAAATTTTGTTTAATTATTCTGTTAGATCAGCAAAGTGAATGGACTAATATCAGCGGGGCTACTTGGAATCCAAAGTTAAGATGCTATTTTCTGTTTGTGAAATCCCGAGACATCTTAGAAAACACCAGTTCTCTCTTGTCTGTTGAGTTACACATCCCCTTTTAGGATCAAAGTTCCTGGACCTGGCTGTTCTCATTGGATCCATACCTAGGGGTGCATGGGACAATTCTCCACACCAAGGTTGAGTATTCCATACTCCATAAGTCAATTTTTGTGTTTGTTTACATTTTGAGAAGAAGCTGCAGAAACAAATCTAGAAACAATTACAATCTCCGTGGAAGACAAATAGAAAAATTATTCTAATTTGTAGAACTTTTTTAACTTTACTATAGAATTAATCTTTATACATTACTCACTCTGTATTAGTAGCCTGCTTCTTACCTTCAGTACAATAAGTAAACTCCGTAGTATACATGAGTTCATGGTGGTAATCTAGTTGCTTTTGTCAATAACGATACTACTAACATCATCCTTCTAAGATGTAAGGGTGCACGTACAAGTTGTTCTAAGTGTATAACATTGGAACACAATGTTCTAAGACTGGTATGCTGTTGATAAAATGTTTATTTGTATAACAGATACCAAAGGGTGGTGTTTCACCCATTTTTTTGTATACAACGATGAAAAGGTTAGCCGAGGAATGCTCTCATTTATCTGTCTGATCCAACTTCCACCAATAAACTGTGCCGGATTGCTGTTTAAGCTGAGTTAGTTTTCACATTTTACTTAATTCTTTTCTTTACAAATTAGTTTTGCTAAAGGATAGAAAGTAAACCTCAAGATGGGGTTAAATGTGAGTATGCACCTTACATTCTGTATTGTTTCCTAGGATTTTTATATGGATTTTATATGTTTATATGAAATGGTTATTGTTTTTTTTCCCACTCCCATCTTTTATAGTTATATCCTCCTAGTGTAGTATTATTTTATGTGTTGTGGTTTATTATTCTGCGTCTCTTAAATGCAGGACTGAAGTTTCAGAATATGAGAGCATAGAATCAATGTGGAAACGTAATGGGAGAAGCTAGAACTGATTATTTTTTCTCTTGAGTTAATTTTCATTCTGAAAACAAAACTAAGTCCATTTGCATGGAGAGATAATAGGTTGTGAATGCAGAATTCACTAAGGAAGGTTGTTTAATGTATAGCACAGCAATTCATTCTTACAAAAGTTCCTTAAAACTTCTCTAAACAGGAAGTACCACTGTCACACTTCCTGTCATCTCTAGATACCTGTGTAACCTCTCAAAGTCTTGTCTTCTGTCCAATGTAATGCATTATTCCAAGAAAAAAGTGATAATTATTTTTATGCTTGGCGTTGCCTGGCTACATCTTGAAGCTCATTTTCAATGCAGTCTCCTTACGTGGTTCTGGCTGCATGTCAATAGAATAATCCCTCACCTAGCTTGTATTTACGATTTTGTGTTTTTAGCCCATTAGTAAAACCATTACTGTTTCCATGGCTTATTCACACTGGGGTTGAAGGCTGTTCCTACCATTATTTTGAACAATTTTCATTGAAATTGTTTAATAACCAGTTGAACTGTAATGTTTGAGTCCCAATGCATGTCTCTCCGGGGAAGCCCTCTAGTTTCAGCAGAATGACAATAAGCACTGTGTGACTGATCCAGATTCGAAGTCAGTTCGCTATTCGGAAAATCAACCCCATGAACACACACACTGTATATAGAATTATACATACTTTATGTAGATTTTGTTCAGTCTAAATGGATTTGAGAAAATATATTATATATCAAGTCAAGGCAACTTTCAATACTTTCTATAAAACTGATTTTCAGTCACCTCTGCTACAATCAAAGGGTCAGCAAGACATTGTATAGCCTGATGAAGGATTATTATTACTTACAAGGCTTTTCTCCTGGTCAAAGATAAAACACACTACAGTTTAACATTGCAAGGAGATCAGATTAAAGTTAATAACTTTACTTATGGATGACTGGCTGGTTGGTTGGGTGAGGAAAACAGATAACCACTTTGTGCTTATTTCCACTTCCATGTACTCATTTCCACTAAAAAAGCTCTTTATTTTGCAGACAGCAAGTTCTACCGAGTACCAACTACCTGCAAAAATAACTTAAGAACATAATGTTGGTAAACAGACAATAGATTTATTGATCGAAATTGGAATTAAGATGAGCAAAATTTATTTTAGAACTTTAAAAATGAGCTTCAATTTTGTAGTGTATTCATTATGATATTGTTTTGTATACATTTTTTTTTATCTCAGCATTTTGTATCATTTCTTACAGGAAAAAAAAATGAAAATCTTGCTTACATTTTTTTTTTTTTAAATGTCTCCAAAATATTCACATTATTCTGTTAATATATTGGCAGGATGCCGAGTACACTGGGATAACATAACGTGCTGGGACTCGGCAAAGGTCGGAGAAATTGTTACACAAAATTGCCCTGTGATATTCCGTCACTACTTTACTAAAAAAGGTGAGTATTGCGTATTTATGGGCGGTGGGAGGGAAATAGGGCACATAAAATCTAATATTTTTACTGTTATTCCAAAATGTTACATCACCTGTTACAAGATTGATCGTTGTGGTAGATGAAACTTGAGGAAATGAAAACTGTATTATATAAACGTTTTTTTTTGTGTGTCAGAGAAGGAGTCCCTTAGTTTATATTCTGGGCCCTTTAAATCATTGAGCCACTTTCAAAATGGAAAATTAAGTTTAGCCCATAGCTCTCTTATTATCCTATTTTGTCCTGCATTGGTTTTCTCGCTGAAAGAAAACAAAAACTCTCACAGAACTTCATTCTGCACTTTGTTTGCATAAGACAAGCCATGGACATTGAGCTAAGACTGGGTCTGACACAGCTTTAAATCAATGTCAGAACTGAACAAATATAAACTGATCCAAAACAGGCATAGTTTAAATCCAAGCAGAAAAGGGGACATAGAGCAAAAGGTCAAAAAGCTAAGTTCAGATGTCCGGGTAGATTGATAAACGGAAAAGTCTCTGCTTAAATTGGGCTAAAATCCAACAAATCATTTTTCCTGAAACAAACTGAAGGACACTTTCCCTGAATGTAATATGATAATATTTATCACTCAGCATAATATATATCACCGTCATCTTTATTAAAAACAGGCAAGAAATTATCGGGGGAAAGTAGAAATCATTGGGTTAAATTTGAAAGTAAAATGAGTCCTTTTTAAACCATACAAACTTTTTTTTTTTTTTCTCAACAGGAAATATAAGTAGACAGTGCCTAGGGAATGGTGTCTGGTCTGAAACATATCCAAATGTCGCAGATTCGTGTGGATTTAATGACAATGTAACAGCTCATAAGGTAGGACATTAAAGTGAAACTAGTGACTAAAGTGGCTACCTGATTTAAAGCCATACATTAAATGCATGAAAGGGACATGTATCGTTTTGAGACAACAGTCTCATTCAAAAGCATTTGGAATATTATAGTAAAAAATATTAATTATTAATAATATTTATAAACGTGCTCCTTGTATCCATTTAACAAATCTTATTTGTCATTTAAATGGGAAAAATGCACACATATTAATTGGTTGGTCTTAAGTTGTACTTATTACCCCAATTCCTCTTCAGACACACAGTACGTTTCCCAAGTTATGTCTCATATAGGAATGACATTAATGTACAAAGCAATTTGCATCTAAATTTCTAAATCTCTAGATTCTAAATCTCTAAACTTTACTCCACCTTCTTATACCATTGACTCAGCGAATTATATAGTTAAATTCTCACGTTTCAGCCTGTTTTGTGCTTCTTCTGGGGATTTTAGTATTAACAGCTTGTCTTCATCTGTAACAAACAGCTTTGTGGGGAAACCTCATCTGTATTTTATGTTCTGTTTGATTAATACTGAAGTAGTTAAATTAAAGAGACTTCTCCTATTCCTTGTTCAATAAGAAAGACCTGGAAATTCGATTTCTTTGTATTGGCCGTCCTTAGCGGGTGATAATTAATTCTTTATATAAAAAGGAATGGCAACAGATAATAACGTCTCTATGTGCATTATTTGGCAGCAACTTTGGTTTGGCAATTCTGTGCAGGGCCGGACTGGGGATACAAAGCAGCCCTGGAAGAAAAAAAAACAAAGCCAGCCCCACAAGTCATTGTGCAAAGTATTGTGTGTATTATAACAAACTCACTGACACAAACACACTGATGCACAGGTTCACAGACAGACAATCTCATTGATATACATACGCTCATTGACATAAAAACACAAGCTCACTGATGCACAAAAATAGGCTCACTGACAGACAATCTCACTGACACACACAGACAAGCTTATTGGAAGACAAACAAATTTAGTACAGACAAACTCTGACACGCAAAAGCTTACTACAGACAAGCTCACTGTCATACACACATGCTCACTGACACCCACATGCTCACTACAGACACACACTTGCTCACCACAGACAAGCTAACACACACATGCTCACTACAGAAAAGCTCACTGTCACACACGTGCTCACCACAGACAAGCTCACTGACACACACACATGCTTCCAACAGACAAGCCCTCTGACATACACATGCTCACTACAGACAAGCTCACTGCCACACACACAAGCTGACTCAGGAGCAGGCACACACACACAAGATCACTCAGAGCACACACAAGATCACTCAAAGCAGACACACACACACACACATACAAGCTCACTCACTAACAGGCACACACACACAAGCTCACCCACTAGCAGCCACTCACATACAAGCTCTCTCACTAGCAGCGACACACACAAGTTGTCTCACTAGCAGGCACACACACACACGCACACACACACAAGTTCACTCACTAGCAGCCCCCCCACACCCACACAACTCACACTAGCAGCCACACACACAACTCATTCACTAGAAGCCACACACACACACACACACACACAACTCACTCACTAGCTGCCACCACACACACAAGTTCACTCACTATCAGGCACACGCACACACACACACACACACACACAAGCTCACTCACTAGCAAGCACATACACACACAGACACAAGCTCACTCACCAGCAGGCACACACACAAGTTCACTCACTAGCAACCACACACACACAAGTTCACACACTAGCAACCACACACACACAGTCTAAGCAAGCATCACACTGAGCAAGCATCAACCTAAGCCAGCATCAACCTAAGCCAGGATCAATCTAAGCCAGGATCAATCTAAGACAGCATTAATCTAAGCCAGCATCGTTTCCTGCACGGCTGCATCGCCTGGCAATGAAACACAGCCGGGTTAAATACACTTTCAGACAACGATATAGAGTTGGGTGACACATGTTGTCATGGTGTGCACAGTACATTACATTAAGGTTTGACTATCATTGTCTAAACTTTACTTCAGAAATACTCATTTACAAAAGGAGGTATATGGAAATATGTTGGTTTTATCTCCAGTGATAACAAGGTGAGCAGAGAAATACTGTGATACATACAGAGTCTGTTTCATAAAAACATAGAGAGCTAACTCGTGCTCTCCTAACAGTGCCCCTGGTGACCCAGCCAGGAGACAGGGGAGACAAGCTGGCCATGCACTCAGCCACTCAATAGCAGCAATACACACACATACACACACACACACACACAAGTTCACTCACTAGCAGGCAGACACACACACACACAGACAGTAGATGAAGTTGCCATATTGTGGCCTCTTCCATCCAGCGAGGTCAGCAACGTGTGAGGGGGCGGGGCTTGTGGGAAGGAGGCAGAGCTTCCATTCAGGAGGAGGGGCTTGTGTGCAGAGGCAGGGCACGCAGCCAAAATTGCTGTAAATTTTGAAGGGAGACTGACAGATCTCCCTCCGGCTGCACCAGCCCCCAGCTCCTCCCTCTTTACTTCCCTCGGACTGACATAGCCTGGCACAGTCCGATGGGGAAAATCATTTCAATGACATTAGCATGATGATTTGGGCTGTCAGCCCGGCCCCAAGTGCCGTGACCCAATTTCCAGGTATTACGGTGGGCCAATCCGGCCCTGATTCTGTGACATCTAGCTATTCAAGTAGTTCCTTCCTGTTATATCCACAATTCCTAATTCTATGAAGAAGTTTTTTAAGAATGTTTCTAATTTATCATTGTGATTGTTTCTGGAATATTTCAGAACCTGCTTGCACGGTCCTCCATGTTTGCCATTTGTAACTCCATGTCTTGAATATTCCGATGCTTGTCCTCAATTTTATCTTTTTGTGGCATTGAAATATATTCTAGGTGTTCCATTCTTTCTTCAATTGTATTGATTCTCATTTTCACCTCTGCAAGATCTTTTTAATAGTTCATAAGACTATCTTGAAAAAAATCTTTGGTAATTGTTTGTTCTTCTTTTTCCGCAAGATGAGGGTCTAATGAAGCCTTTTCCATATTGGCTTGTCCTTGATCTTGAGTTTCACTCAATAGTTCTTGTTGAGAGTGCTCAAGAATGCTTTTTGTCCATTTGCAGGATGAAGCTAGAGAGTGTTTAAACATTTTGTTTTCTATTCTTTTTTTAGATGATCTTGAGATATTTTTGTAGACATTGAATTTCCTTTTATATATATATTTTCCTTCTTTATTCTGCTGCCATATTATTTCTTAAAAAACAGCATTATGAATAAATATAAATCTGGTCATGCACTTGCTTTGACCGTATAGAATACTTCACATGCAATGACATATTCACTTTAATTATGCTAGTAGCCTCGGGGGCTTAATAACCTTAATAGGAAAACCACTGAAATTGCCCTTCTCAAATCATGACATTGCTTCTACTCTCATCCAAAATATCATTTGTGTTTAATTGTATATTTGTTGCTTTCTGTGTTTCATTGACCTTACTTTTAAACAAAACATTTTTAGTTATTTAGTTCATTTTTAGAGTGGTGTGAATATTCTGACATCATAAATACGGAGAGAATACATGCAACTATTTTTGTACCGAAAAGGTATACGAAAACACGCAGCAATCTGAAAAAAGTGACTATAGTTCTAGTCGTCACTAATTCACCAATTTTACATTGCCTTGTGTTTCCTTCATACATTCAATTTCATGAATGTGTAAATGTGTATGTAAAAATATATACATGTATTATATTATTACATTATAAATATTCTTGATTGCTAGGTGCTGTGTGTTTTTGCAGAGTAAAAAAACTAATCTTTCCTGTTTGAGTAGTGCAAAATAACTACAAACTTGTGTTAGAGACGGGGTTTTGCAAATCATTTTGAGTCGTTGCCAAGAATTGGAGTTTAGCTAAAGTCAAGAACTGAGAAAACACATCTATAATCAACAGCAACTTAGAATATCAAAAAATAAGTAACACATCCTGACTGTACTATACCATGAAACAAAAAAAGTATGTATATATATAAAACATCTGAAGAAGCAGTACATTTATGCCAATATTACATTCTGAAAGATTTAAGTCCTTCATAGAATGTATTACACTGCTCTAAACAGACCTACTGTTACTGGATAATAGGACCAGATAGCTATGATAGCATAGATAGAACATCGTTGTTCTGTCCATAATGTATGAAAATAACCAAGAGAACATGCTAGCTACTTTCCTGGTTATGTTTAAAGGTGAAGCTATATAATAATGGCATATACGCTAACAGTGTTATAATCTGTGCTAGGATTTGACAGTTTCACTATATATGTTTGTTTATTTATTTTATTTATTTATAAAATATTTTACCAGGAAGGATTCATTGAGATTTCTCTCTTTTTCAAGTATGTCCTGGTTCCACAAATCATTGCATTGTTACAATAGGGTACAATAAAATACAAAAACAATATTAATACTCAATATATATAAAATGTAACAAAGATAAAGTTAAGAAATATATAATCAACCATGACAGGTGCATTCTATTTTGAGGTATGTAGATGAGGTATGTAGAGAGGGATCTCTTAAAGTATTTTAGGCTTGGGGAAGATTTGAAAGTGTGTGGGAGGTTGTTCCATAATTGCGGTGCTCTGTAGGAGAAGGAGGTCTGAGCCGCTTTCTTTGAAGAAAGCATCGCAAGGATTAAACTTGGTGATTTTGTCAGGATCTGTTTTTTGGCAAATGCATTAAAATAGAATGTTTTTAAAGGCTGTAGATCCTAAATTGAAGGGTTTTACATACTTACTATGCCGCCCACTATAAATGAGCTTTCTAGACGTATAGTATAAATCAGTAATGCACTATGATTGTACGTTCTTTACAAACTCCGTTTACATTCCATTTATTTATTTTTTGCTTGGAGATTGCTGTGAGGGCAGACGCATTGAGCATAGTAAAGAAATGCAGGAAATGTAAACGGTGATAGTTTTAATAAATTCATCACGTTGCCTAGGTTTCTGTAAATTGGTGAGGGAGATATCCACTGACCTGCAACAAAAAATTAACAGTGATAATCCCAGCGATGCACAGCCATTGTTACTACAACCATCACGTTATATGGTTGTAATTTGCAGTATTGCAATAATATTGTGAAATTACATTTACCATTTTTTTAAATTTTATTTTATTTATTTATTTAAAATAATGCCTGTTGTAGTGCAACAGAGAAAAAAGATGAATTCTGAAACTGACACATTTTGGTGCAGTATATGTATGGGCATAGGGGAAGACGATTGGGACTTCCATTGTCATTTTATTGGTTACACACGTGCCATGGGGACTTAGCTGTCCACTGTATATAAGTACCGACCGAGGATGTGATTAGCTAGGGGAACTGAGTATTTTTTGACGCCAGGGGTTATCACAGAACAAGAGCTCTGATTCCCAAAAAATGAAAAAAAGTAGATTATAACGCTGCGGAATTTGTTAGCAGTATATAAATGATAATAATAATAACAATAATAGTGCAGAGCTCCATGCTTATCAGAGGGTCCAAATGACTCGTACACCTACGCAAAATTAAAACCCACAGTCTAAGGTGTAGGAAAGGAATAAAGGTGTTTCCATGTGTTCTTCTTGTTAATATAGTATAGATCAGCATTTCCCAATTGGTGTTCCTTGAGAACACAATTGGGGTTCCGCCAAAATTTGTAAAAATAAAATGATCTCCCTGCTTAGCTCCCTCGAACGCACATCAGTGATATTAATACACTATGTCAAAGGGTTCCACAGGAAAAATTAATAGGGAACCCCTAGTATAGATAATATGCAGTAAGAAAAAAGAGAAGACCACACTTTTTTTTTTTTAAACTGTCTAATATGGTAAAAGTTTAAAACGAAAAATAAAAAGTAAAAAAGTATCAAACAGATTTAGAAATGAGCGATATAATGTATGTGAAGTTTTTAATAATCAATAACACATCTAAACAAAATAGATCAGTTTCACGATTTTGACTTTTTTGTCTCCCTTCCACCGCTTGATATTTAGCCCTGCAGAGCCCTTTCCCCTCCCGGCCGCCTAACCGCATGTTTTAACGCTCCGGCCAATGGCCGGATCTATTTTTCCACACTTTCAGTGTGGCGGCGGCCATCTTGGATCTCGCGGCTCGCAAGACCCGCGGCCACCATCTTGGAGCTTCACCCACTCGGTCTGCCTCAGTTCTAGAGATCTACATCTGCTTTTGTCCTCCAAGGTAAGCATTTCTTTATTTGTATCTTGTTTGCATATACCTTATGTTAATTCACCTGTGCCACAACCAAGTTGGTCATTCATATCCTCTTACTGTTTCAGATTCCACTGTCAACTCCCATTACTCTCATCCAGGCAGGGGTTCCCACAGAAAGTCTCTGCTACTACTAATCTGCGCGCAAGAGGAATTCGCTGCATTATATACCTGGACAACCTCCTAATCTTCTGCTCTGTCAAGTCAAGACTCAGACTACACACATGTTTTGCCGTAGAGCTCCTAGAATCCCTAGGGTTTACAGTAAACCATCAGAAATCGGCTACAACTCCGTCCCAAACCATTCAGTTTCTGGGATTCGAAATCGACTCCAGCACACTCCATCTCCTGACAGCAAAGATAGCAGCTATCCGGAAGGAAATCCATGAGACACTCCGATGCCGGTTCCCCTACGCAATCTCGCTCGGATTGTGGGCCTCCTATCGGCATCCATCCAAGCCATCTTCCCGGGTCCACTCCACTACAGGGCGATGCAACGCCTCAAGACATCCTTCCTCTGCCGAAATCCTACCTACGACCAACCAGTACCGATTACGGCAGAGGTCAGGGAGGAAATGCAATGGTGGCTGGACAGCATGCAGGCCTTGAACGGCTGAGCTATATTTGGCAAAACCCCAGATTTCGTGCTGGAATCGGACGCCAGCCTTTGGGGCTGGGGCGCCACGAGCGAGGGAGTATCGACAGGGGGAGCCTGGACTTCACAGGAACTCAACCTGCATATCAACTGTCTCGAACTACTGGTGGGTTCCTTCACCATACGCAGCCTGGCAAGGGACAAATCAGATTGTTGCATTCTCCTCAGGATGGACAACATCTCGGCCGTCTGCTATGTCGATCGCCTAGGCGGAGCCCACTCACGACTCCTATCCGAACTCACGAAAGAGGTGTTCGACTTCTGCCTACCACGCAACATCTCCCTCAAGGCGGAATACCTCCCAGGGGAGATGAATCTCACAGCCGACTGGTTCTCTCGCCATTGGAGAGACAGCAGCTATTGGATGCTGGACCAGGAGATATTCAATGCCCTCATGCAAATGAGAGGACCCTTCCATCTGGACCTCTTCACATCCCGCAACAACAGACAAACCCCAGACTTCTTCAGCTGGCTCCCGGATCCAGAATGCAAAGGTGGACGCTTTCCTACGGGCCTGGCCGCCTTTCGGCGCCTACGTATTTCCCCCATTCGCTATGATAGCAAGGACTCTCCACTATCTGAAGGTACACCAGATTTCTCTGCTCCTGATTACCCCCCTATGGCACACTCAACCATGGTTCCTGGATATTCTAGCACTATCTTATGCAGACCCGCTCTTACTGCCGTCCCACCCGACTCTCCTTACGGATCCGAAGTGGAACCCTCACCCGCTAATACTGGAAGATAGACTCTCCCTGGTGGCTTGGACTCTTTCCGGGGCACCTGGCAAGTCGGCGAACTATCGCAGACTGCTAGGGACCTCTTATGGGATTCATGGGCACCGGGGACGAGATTATGCTACCTCTCTGCTTGGACCTCCTGGTCCTCTTGGTGTTTGGAACTGAACCTCGATCCACTTACGGCACCTATTCCCACCTTCTTGAATTTCCTGTTGTCGCTTTTTGCAAGAGGGAAATCTTATAGAACTATCAACATAGTTCGATCAGCGCTCTCAGAGGCCCATATCCCTATCCAAGGGATCCCGGCGGGTAAGGATCCTATAGTATGTTGATTACTGAGGGGCATGCGACTCAAACATCCTCCGGCCCCCAAATCACCTCTGGGATGTGGACCTCGTCCTCACCTTCTTAAGAGGATGGGCGTTTAATGACAGACTCTCACTCCGCCAACTTTCGGCCAAGATGACGATGTTACTTTGCCTAGTCTCTTTTCATCGGGTATCCGACGTTAGGGCCTTTCGAAGTCGATGCCTTTTCAATAGGTCCTGAAGGGGTCACCTTCCATGTCTCCCAACGCACCAAATCGAACTCCACCGCCATTTTTTACCCCATTTTCGTCACAGAATCTCAATTATGCATGGTCGCAGCCTTACTGTCACATATTCATCCGCTTATAGAAATGTGGTTAATGACATTTACTGTCCATACAGGAAAAGTTGTGCCGAGCAGCAACCTAATCCACAGAAGGGTTAATGCTGAGCAGTAATTGTGCAAATGAAACCTGGTGTCACGTATTCATCCACTTATAGAAAAGTGGTTAATGACATTTACTGTCCACACAGGAAAAGTTGTGCCGAGCAGCAACCTAATCCACAAAAGGGTTAATGCTGAGCAGCAATTATGCAAATGAAACCTGGTAACTAACTTTGGGGTCAAAGGCCGGTTACAGCCTATCAGAACTAAAGGAGGGGTATTTAGGCCCAGTTCTCAGCCTGCTCAGTGCCCTGTCGTGGTTTCCCTTGTGGTTGTCTGAGAGCGCGTTCCTGTTTATAGTTTTCTACCTGGTTTTTGACTTTGGCTTTGTTTATTGACTTCTCTATATTCTGGTATCCTGACTCCTGGCTTTCCTCATCGCTGTGTCCCTTTCTGTGTTCCCTGACCTCGGCTAGTATTTTTGACTATTCTTTGTACGTTAAATCCGGCCATTCTAAGGACCGGTAATACGTTACTTATTTGTCATCCGTGCTGTACAGTTCTACGTGCTGGATCAAACAGTAATCCTGACATTACGACATGGCCATAGATCCTGTAGAACTGTGTCAGCACATAGCTGCTTGCGAGAGGAAATTAGAGGAGAATGATCACCGCATGGATCAATTCACTCAGGCTTTAAGTACGCTTCTCGCTAGAACGGAGCATCTGCAGCCTGCAGCGTCTCCTCCTATAGCACCTCTACCCTGTGTACCTCCACCCACTGTTAATAGGACTCCTAGCATCTCCTTATCACCATCCCTACAGTTTGATGGCAATATCCAGGAATGCAGGGGGTTTTCTTAATCAGGTGGAGTACCATTTTGAGGCCTCACCAGGGTCATTCCCCACGGACAGAGCAAGAATTGGTTATCTAATGAATCAATTAAAGGGCAAGGCCCTTGCCTGGGCTAATCCGTTGTGGGAGAGTAATCGGAGCATAGCTCATAATTACCAGGAATTCCTTGCCGAATTCAAGCTCACGTTTGAGCCATTGGGTAGAGAGGATGACGCCTCCACTGCCCTAATGCACATCAGACAAGGTAACCGGTCTATCTCGGATTATGCTATTGAATTCCGTACCTTAGCTTCCGAGGTAGACTGGACTAACAATGGGTTAATCTCAGCATTCAAAAAGGGTCTCTCAGAGACTATACTAGATGAGATAGCCGCTAAAGAATTACCTAAGAGTCTTAACGAATTTATTACGTTTGTCATGCATATTGATAATAGGTTAAGACTCAGAGAAGTCACCAGAAGCAAGACCAGACGTACGGCTATGTCCCTAGCACCTCAATTCTCTAAACCTGTTTTGTCTAACCTCCCTGTACAGTCCGAACCCGAACCTATGCAGTTGGGGGTCACTAGACTGTCAGAGGCCGAAAAACAGTATAGGAGAAGGGAGGGGTTATGCCTATATTGCGGTAGAAAGGGACATATGATAACTAATTGTCCAGTGCGTCCGGAAAACTTCCGCACCTAAGAACCTTAAGGGGACAGATCTTAGGTGTGATGGAGTTGTCCTCTAACAAAAACAAAAGTAGATTCCTCCTTGAGGTATCTATTTCCCTTGATAACAAGAAGTTTTCTTGCAGTGCCCTAATGGACTCAGGTGCTGCTGGAAATTTTATTGATGTCCAGTTTATTAGGGGTAATGAGATACCGGTCAGGGAGAGACCTACGCCGCTAGCTGTAGAGGCTATTGATGGTAGACCACTCACACAACCGCTTATAACCCACGAAACTGTCCCTATTACGATCTCCATTGGGGCCTCCCATAGGGAGGAGATGACGTTTCAGGTTATTACTTCTCCATCATGTCCTATCATATTAGGGTTTCCGTGGCTGAGTAAGCACAATCCCTATATTGACTGGGCTAATGGGGAGATATTAGAATGGGGTAAAGAGTGTATGGGGAGATGTATAAAACCAGTACTAAAGAGATTGGATACTATTGACCTTCCCACTACCACTCCCCAAACTCCTGGAGTTCCCATACAATACCGAGAACTTCAGGAGGTGTTTAACAAGGCTCAATCCGATGTATTGCCTCCCCACAGAGCATATGACTGTGCCATTAACCTGTTTCCAGGCGCTATGCCACCTAAGGGGGCAGTTTATGCCTTATCTCCCCAGGAGAGTAAAATAATGGAGGAATACATCAAAGAATCCTTGAGCAAAGGGCACATAAGAAAGTCATCCTCACCAGCTGGTGCAGGATTCTTTTTTGTTGAGAAAAAGGGTGGTGAGTTACGCCCTTGCATAGACTACAGGGCACTTAATAAAATCACTGTAAAAAATGCATACCCTATCCCACTCATTTCCGAATTGTTCGATAGACTTCAGGGAGCTAAAGTATTTACTAAGCTTGACCTTAGGAGCGCTTACAATTTGGTTAGAATTAAAGAGAATCATGAGTGGAAGACGGCATTTAATACCCGTAGTGGACACTATGAATATCTGGTAATGCCATTTGGGTTATGCAACGCCCCGGCCGTATTCCAAGACTTTATAAATGATGTACTCAGGGAATTCATTTACTCATTTGTCTTGGTTTATTTGGACGATATTTTGGTGTATTCCCTGATCTTCAAACTCACCACTCCCATGTGAAACAGGTTCTGCAGACGTTGTTGAAAAATAAACTTTATTGTAAATTAGAAAAGTGCATATTTGACCAGCCTGAAGTCCACTTTTTGGGTTACAACATCTCTGCATCGGGATTTCAAATGGATCCTAAAAAACTAGAGGCTGTACTACACTGGCCATTACCCTCTGGTTTAAAAGCCATTCAAAGGTTTATTGGTTTTGCCAACTATTACAGAAGATTCATCAAGGGATTTTCTTCTGTAATAGCCCCAATCACAAATATGACTCGCAAAGGGGTTAGTAGCACGGTATGGTCCAAAGAGGCTGTGAATGCTTTTGAGACTCTTAAACAAAGATTTGCCTCTGCGGACATACTAAAACATCCCGACACTAGTAAACCTTTTATATTGGAGGTTGATGCATCCGAGACAGGGGTAGGGGCTGTTCTCTCTCAGAGAGAAAGCCAGGGAACACCATTGCATCCTTGTGGCTACTTCTCCAGAAAGATGTCTCCTACTGAGCGCAACTATGATATTGGCAATAGAGAACTGTTGGCCATTATTCTTGCCCTCAAGGAGTGGCGACATCTTTTGGAGGGTTCCAAGGACCCCCTGTTGATCATAACCGACCACAAAAATCTGGCATATATAGGGGATGCCAAACGTTTGTCTTCCAGACAGGCTAGATGGTCACTGTTCCTTTCACGTTTTAACTTTCTCATTACTTATAGACCTGGTTCTAAAAATACCAAGGCTGATGCCTTGTCCAGGCAATTTGATAATGAGTCAGCTCCGGAACAGGTGACATCTCCTATTATTCCACAGAGTGTATTATTGCTACTACTGTCCTCTCACTGTCTTCTCCACTGCTTGGCACCATACTGGAGGCCCAGCCTCAGGCGCCCAGTGGTAAACCGTGTGATAAACTGTTCGTTCCCCTATGTGAAAGGGTTAATATCATGAAAGTGTTCCATGACAATATAACTGCTGGACACCCGGGCATCAATAAGTCCACTGCCGCGATCACTAGATCATTTTGGTGGGATTCACTCAGAAAAGATGTAAAGGAGTATGTGCAGGCATGTTCTGTGTGTGCAGTTTCTAAGGTGACTCATGCACTTCCTTGTGGCCTGTTGCAGCCTCTTCCTGTTCCTGGTCCCACTTATCCATGGACTTTATTGTTGAACTTCCTAGCTCTGCTGGGTTCACTACTATTCTCATGGTAGTAGACTGATTTTCTAAGATGGCTCACTTCATTCCTCTCAAGAAGTTGCCATCTTCGCAAGATTTGGTCCTAATTTTCATACGTGAAATTGTCCGTTTGCATGGCATCCCCCACAATATTGTGTCTGATAGGGGCTCTCAGTTTGTGTCTAGGTTCTGGAGGGCATTCAGTAAACAATTGGGGATTGATCTCTCCTTCTCCTCCTCCTACCATCCACAGACCAATGGTACAGCTGAGAGGGCTAACCAGTCATTAGAAGTTTATTTGCGTTCTTTTATTAATAGCACACAAGACAATTGGTCCGAACTACTCCCATGGGCCGAGTTCGCTAGAAACAATGCTGTTCATGACTCCTCTGGGCACAGTCCATTTTTTGTCAATAATGGTAGGCATCCTACGGTTCTCCCTGCGGTATTTTCTGATACTGCCATTCCTGCTCTGGATGAGCGTCTGGCCTCCATTCGGGATACCTGGGTTAAGGTTCAAACTGCTCTAGGGGCTGCTGCTGAACACTTCAAACATTTTGCTGATAAGCGTAGGAGTGCCAACCCGGTGTACCAAGTGGGGGACCGGGTTTGGTTGTCATCTCGCAACATCAAGCTTAAGGTCCCTAGCATGAAGTTTGCCCCCAGATTCCTTGGTCCCTATAGAGTGCTTCGTAGGATCAATCCAGTGTCTTACTCTCTGGCTCTTCCTGCATCTTTAGGGATTCCCAACACTTTTCATGTGTCCTTACTCAAACCTCTTGTCTGCAATAGATATACTGTTCCTTGTGTTCCTCCCCCTCCGGTGGTGGTGGGTGGTCAGGAGGAGTATTAGGTATCTTCTATCGTGGATTCTAGGTTTTCTCGGGGCACTTTACAGTACTTGGTTGTTTGGAAAGGTTACGGTCCTGCTGATCGTTCTTGGGTTTCGGCTCCTGACCTGCATGCGGGCCGTAAGATCCACGCTTTTCACGCTAAATTTCCTCTCAAGCCTGGTCCTGTGCGCCTGGTGGGCGTTCTTCAGGTGGGGGGTAATGTCACATATTCATCCGCTTATAGAAATGTGGTTAATGACATTTACTGTCCATACAGGAAAAGTTGTGCCGAGCAGCAACCTAATCCACAGAAGGGTTAATGCTGAGCAGTAATTGTGCAAATGAAACCTGGTGTCACGTATTCATCCGCTTATAGAAAAGTGGTTAATGACATTTACTGTCCACACAGGAAAAGTTGTGCCGAGCAGCAACCTAATCCACAAAAGGGTTAATGCTGAGCAGCAATTATGCAAATGAAACCTGGTAACTGACTTTGGGGTCAAAGGCCGGTTACAGCCTATCAGAACTAAAGGAGGGGTATTTAGGCCCAGTTCTCAGCCTGCTCAGTGCCCTGTCGTGGTTTCCCTTGTGGTTGTCTGAGAGCGCGTTCCTGTTTATAGTTTTCTACCTGGTTTTTGACTTTGGCTTTGTTTATTGACTTCTCTATATTCTGGTATCCTGACTCCTGGCTTTCCTCATCGCTGTGTCCCTTTCTGTGTTCCCTGACCTCGGCTAGTATTTTTGACTATTCTTTGTACGTTAAATCCGGCCATTCTAAGGACCGGTAATACGTTACTTATTTGTCATCCGTGCTGTACAGTTCTACGTGCTGGATCAAACAGTAATCCTGACACTTACGCAGCTACGTGACACCTACTGCCTCTCTCTGCCCGACTTCCTCCGGCCAGCTCCTGATTTCCTACGTCAAACCTCACAATCCAGTTTCCTCTAACACTCTCGCTAGATGGGTACGCTGGATCTTGTTACTGGCAGGTGTGGATGCCACTTTCGGGGCTCATTCGGTGAGAGGCGCGGCTGCTTCTTCGGCCTATGCAGCCAGAGCATCACTATCAGATGTCCTTCACATGGCTGACTGGTCCTGCGAATCCACTTTTCGGACTTTCTACTTTAGACCGAACTCCTGCGCGGTGTTTTCCTTGTTACATAAGCGTTAAAAATGAAAAATACGAAGCCTCCTGTCATGTAATAAAATTGAAGATTATGCTAGCTTTAGTGTACTAATAATCTTAATTTTAATAAAGACAGGAGGCGAGTATTTTCCCACCCATACCCATCCCTTTCGGTCTTCAGGTATCTCTATGCTGCTCCTTCTTCAGATTCATCTATCCTTCTATAGGAAACTAAGTCTCTAACTCTCCCTTCATCATTCCGACTGTCCAACGTATATTGTGTATCTCTCGTATGTCATGATTCTTATACCTTGTTGTACCTTAGGGAGAGAAGTATCGATTACTAGTATATTGTCATTATAGTACTATAGTCTTACTGAAATATGCTATGCAGATGCCTTCCATGTTTTTCATGGTCTTACGACTAGTACCTAACCTATTCCACATTCTCGTTTCAGCGTAGTTCAACGTGGACCTACGGTTACCTTTATGCGGATTACCCAAGTTTATCCTTCACTCCACATGGATTATCCTAATTCGCTTGGATTGATCCTCCTGTTACAGGCCCAAGACTGGTTTTGATTCAGAATTGTTTGAACTTTGTCCATCTGCGATGTCGCTAGTTGAAATAGGAGGAGGAGCCTGTTCACTCGGAATACTATACCTCCTACTGTTTTTTGATTGGTTCTTACTACCCTTTTCTTTACTGCTATGGAGTTTAGTAAAGAGAGTTATGCAAAATACTCGCCTCCTGTCTTTATTAAAATTAAGATTATTAGTACACTAAAGCTAGCATAATCTTCAATTGCACTGGATAACTAAGGGGTGGGTACATGATCCTCGGTACTAATGGCTACAAAAAATATAAGCCTGCATGAGGCTTCTATGAGACACAAGACGTTAGAAAGTAATAAATATCATGTGCTGAATGCAGATCAATTACTTATCAGACCTTTTGTTTGATGTTTACTTATCAAAACCCTTTCAAGACTGAAAGTGAAAACGTACTTATGATCTGTTAAGTCTCTCTAAATAATGTTGTTGCTGCAGTAACAATGAATAACAAAAGAATTGTAGCAGGTTGGCAAGTGTACTTTAAGACTCAACTAGGATGGAAAGAGTGAGTCACTGATCGACGCTATGAAGCAAGCCAGCTTTTGTTATGGAATATCAATCTTCTTTAAGTGTGCCCTTGTATTTTTCATTTAAACATTTTTTTTCAAATTGCATTAAATAATCCTACTCATCTGCCTCCACGATTGAGCAATTTTATAAAATAATGATAATTTAAGCTGGTTAAAATAAATATTTTATTAGGAGAATCATTATGCTAAGGGATACTTTGTATTCATTTTTATCTTTCATCGTTATTTCACTTGAGAAATAAAGTTGGTGAAAAGATGAAGTGAGCAGTGGAAAAATTGTATAAAGAAGATTTTACATAGATGTTTCATCAGATTACATATAAGATTCAGTAGAACATCCTAAAACACCATATAGATGCTGAAATAAACCTAAAATGTTAGACAAACACTAATCATTTCCTATGTACATTTCAAGGAAAGACTCTAATGAGAGAAACGTTCATGTGGATGCACTGAGATTGGGTGGCTTTGCAAGAGATTTGAAAGCTTTCCAAAACAGGGCAGGGTTATAAAAGCACTTGCTGGATGAAGAGAGATTCCTTTTTAACCTCTCCAAACCAACTAAATTTTTTTTTTATTTTTTTTTTATGCAATTTGGCTTTTTTTCCATTTGGACTATTTTCCTTTTAAATTATTCTTAATATCTGTAAAGTTGAATTAGATTTTTAATAATTCTAAAGTGTGCCCATGCATTTTTCATTTAAACTTTTAAACTGCACCATTAAATAATGCTTCTCATCTGCCTGCATTATTGCGCAATTTAAAAAAAAATAATGATAATTTAGGCTGCAGAAAGCACTGCAGAATTATGTGCTTATCTTGGCCATATTTTTCCGTGAAGAGAGAAAATTGATCATTTACAAATAATGGCTTTGATTTAATAAGCTTCCCAAATGATTCAATACTGTTCAAAACAGTCGGCAAATTGGCCTCCATGTAAAATGAGTCTCTCACCCCATATAGTATGTGCAATCAATATTAAGAAAGGGAAGTAGGTCAGGAAAAATCTTTGTGAAATGGTTTTATAGCAAATTAATAAATGTGGTTTGTACCAATTTACCCTAAACCATTGTTGTGGTCGTGACCTAAATATGAATATTAATCTCTTAATACATATACGGAACAACATTAATATTTTTATAATTCATGGTATTATGGTCGAATATGTGGATAGAAAATACACAAAACGTTGTAATATTAAATGTATATTTAATATAACTATAATAAATAAACAGATGCTAGCAGAATGTCAATTTACTACAATAATGATAATACAAAACTACAACATATTACTTACAAAAGGTTGCACAACATTTTACTTACAAGGCCCCAGCCCTTTGGCTGGGGTTAAGTCAGAGCTGGTACTACATGATCAGTCAGGTACAGGCAAAAAGAGAGCTTGCTTCTCCTAACATCTGGTTTTTATTCAGTGTAAGTAGGCTGGCCTGTGATGTCACTGCCAGAAGCACAGGTCTTACTACACACTCCCCCTAGTGGTGCCCCCAAAGCATTACACTAAATATGCTTTACTGACATCTAGTGGTGCGTCTAAAGCATTAAGCTCATTATGCTTTTTTTATGACAAAAAGTCATTAATTAATAAATACCATTACAACCATACAGTTGTATATTTTTCAGGAGGTACACTCAAGAGCTACCTCTATTCCACTGTTCCTCCATTGTTTAACTGTTATAAATAATGAGCTGGTGAGCCAACATTACAAACAATTCACATGTACTATAAGAAACATAACAAGGGCACAATCAGTAACATTTAAATAAACAAAAAGTTGGGGAATATGAAAAAACCTGGCTCTCCTGTACGAGCCGAATGGTATAAATTTTAGACTGTCCAATGTTACAGCAAAAGTTGGTTGGCTGAGATGGTGATTCCCATTTGAACAATCAAGATGGAGTATTTTTCACAATTGTTCAAATTCAGTTACTAAATCGTCACAACTCACCGCTCAGCATATAAATCCATTAGTCTTACGATAATTGTACCCGATGTAGCCCCTATTCTATTGCAGTTATAATTGCACCATATTGTCAGTATTTGAATCCCGATCAAACCACCTAATCATAAGTGCCCCTGGGCCAGACACCCAAAGATACAGTATAAATATACATGTGCATTCCTCAACTTCCCATAGATTGTTAACTTGTTAGAGTAGAACCTTCTTAACGTTTTCCCCTTTCGATGATAGCAAAGCACTGGAGAATGTGTTGGCGCTATATAAATGCTCAGAATAATAATTTGGTGCATTCAGTTTTTGCTACTACTAGTACAGGATGCTTCTAAATGCATTTGGGATGGTGTGAGCCCCTGTTAATCCCCCCGTTGGGTTACTGGAAGGAACGTACTCTAAGTTATCCTTGGGAGCAATGTAACAAGCCCCTAGTGCAGGGGTTCCCAATGAATTTTTCCCGAGGAACCCTTTGACATAGTATACCAATATCGTGGAACCCCCGAAAAAATTTTTACACTGTAGCACAAACCTTTTAATAAGTGGCTTTTTTTATTATCATTTCCAAATATTTTGCTCATAAACTGTTTAGTCTTATGATACTCCTGAAGCTTTCGCTTAAAAAAGGCAATGTCTTTATCTTTGTACTCTAGGTGGTTTTGCTCAAAATTACGACGTAATTTAGCAGGTGCTAACGAACTGTTTGACAATATTTTCTTGCAAACTAAGCATTGTGCTTGAGGTATATTTTTATTTCTGGCACTTGTGAATCCAAATTTTAAGTAGCTGCCATCATATTTTCTTTTCTTTGTTTGAGAAGAAGATTGGCTAGCATTGTGTGCTTTTATTTTATTCTTTGACTTGTCACTTGTCTCTGCTGTTTGAGGAACAGTAGATTCAACTATTTTGGACTTTGTTGTCTTGATTTCATGTTGTATCGTCTTTCTCAGTTTCTAAAATTGTCGAACAATTAGAAGTAGTAATAAATTTTCTCTTGATCGTTCCTTGTTTGAACCAGTTGTCCAAATTCATGGTTGTTGGTTGGTAAAATAATACAAAAAACACTTCTCTAACCTGAAAAGCTACAGATCTCACTACCTGATGTCAATGGATGCTGTTTTTTTATAATGCTCTTAGATAGAACTTAATGTAACAAGGATTTTGGATCAGTCTTGGAGCAAAAAGATTAGAACCAAGGACCAAATTTCTGGAATAAAAGGGATTCATGACATATCACACATGTCATGTGTCCTTAAGGGGTTAAACAGGTCTCACTAGCTGACTGCAAAGGATGCTGTCATTTTTTTTTATAAAGCTCTTAGAAATAAATGAGCATAAGCAGGATATTTGCTCAATCTTGGAGTAAAGAGAACACTTTACTACAGATTTCACCAAAGGACGCTGTTTTAACAGCTCTTAAAATGAAAATCTTTTTGGTATATCACAGATTTCTACTGATAGTACGCAGAAAAAATTAAATATAAAAATACATATATTTATATATTTAAATAAAATTATATGCAAATAAGTAAAAATAAATAAAGAAATATTTTAAAATTGCCAAAATCATGTGGATACAGCGGCATACATACCGCGGTCACAGGGGTCGTAGCTGCGACCGGGCCTGCCACTCCAGGTGGCCTGGCCGCTCTGCAGACCCCTGTGACCGGGTATCTGCGCCATCATTTTCTACGGCCCCACGCGGGCCGCCGTCCAAGGGGTCCATCGGGTGGCCCATGCTGCCAGGGCCACCCAATGGATGTGAATTGTCAGGGAGCCCGGTCAGCACTGGGAGCTTTAACAGCGTGACTGGGCCCTCTGTGATTACATAACTGCTGGAAGGAAGTGACCACATGTCACTCCTGCCAGCTAACACTGAGAGCCTCGCGGGAGGATACAGAGGGAGTCAGAGTGAGAACTCTGACTCCCATCCACCTGAGCCAAACCTGGACCCAAGGGAAAGTCACCTTCCTGCACCTTAAAGGTAGGAAACATTGTGTGTGTGTGTTTGTATGTATGTGTGTCTGTCTGTGTGTGTGTCTGCCTGTTTGTATGTATGTATGTGTGTGTGTATGTGTGTGCACCAGTCTGTGTATGTATGTGTGTGTGTGCCTGTCTGTGTATGTATGTGTGTCTGTCTGTGTGTGTCTGCCTATATGTGTGTGTGTGCTTGTCTGTTTGTATGTATGTGCATCTTGTGTGTGTGTGTGTGTGTCTGTCTCTATGTTTGTATGTGTGTATGTCTGTCTGTGTGTGTGTCTGTTTGTCTGTATGTGTCTGCCTGTGTGTATGTGTGCCTGTCTGTTTTTTTATGTATGTGTCTTTGTATGTCTTTTGTAGGCATAAGGCTATCCTAACTATAAGATAAGGCTAGGGACTAATGAAAGTATTTAGAAAATTGGGCAGACTAGATGGGCCGAATGGTTCTTATCTGCCGTCACATTCTATGTTTCTATGTTTCTATGTATGTGTGTCTTGTGTGTGTGTGTGTGTGTGTGTCTGTATGTGTGCCTGTCTGTTTGTATGTATGTGTCTGTGTGCCTGTCTGTGTGTTGGTCTGTATGTATATCTGTGTGTGTCTGTCTATATGTATATATGTGTGCCTGTCTGTTTGTATGTATGTGTCTGTGTGTATATGTGTATGTGTCTATGTGTGTGTGTGTCTTCTGTAGTATGTGTGTGTGTCTGTCGGGGGGGGGAAGGGAGGGGGAGGGCACAGATCATTTTCGCACCGGGGCCCCATGGTTTGTGTGTACGCCACTGTGTGGATACTCTCATTTTACTCTTGCAATTATTTGGTAGTTAGAAGAAACTGCAGCTACTCCCATGAATACTATATGTCACTATGCAAGCAAGCCTCACTTCAAGCACAAGTCAAACCCCTGCTCTTGTGATTACAATAGGGAACTACATGGAGCGTTCATTATAATAAATTAGATATTGCACTTGGATCAATATGCAAAGTCAGTGTAAGACATCTTAACAATAGCCCAGAGAGGAATGGGAGAATACTGAAGGAGAGAGGAGTAAAAGAATACAGGGAGGAAAGAGGAGTGAAGGAATCCAGGGAGGAGAGAAAAGTTAATGAATGCTGGGAGGAGAGAGGAATGAAGGAATACTGGGCTGGGAGGAATTCTTTCCTTAAATGATGCTGGGCGGGCTGACGCTGGGCGAGCTGACACAGGAAAGGCATGCATAAGTGTGTAGCAATCTCACGATCTCTTTATTAGATCGCGGCCGCACGATCTCTGCTGTTTCCGACCTTCCAGGAACAGCAGGGAGCGGCGGCCATCTTGGATGGGGCAATTCACGGCGGAACCCCAATTTTGTTCTCGCGGAATCCTAGGGTTCTGCGGAACACCAATTGGGAAACGCTGCCCTAGTACAAACCAGGCTCAGATATTATAGCTATACAATTCAGTGGAGAGACCTCCAACCTGATAAGACATATCGGTTCTCTAACCACAAATTTAGTTAGATGAGATTATGGTTGTGAACAGTGAGGTTAGCATATGTAAATATCCTATAAAAGATTATTGATTTTTTATTATTTAATTTTTTTTATTGCACATGCATTTTCTTGTGCTCTACTTTTTACATGGTCCAGTCAGATGCAGGATTAGGAAATGAGCAGACAGTAATCTGTCTGTCCAAGGGGCCTGGCTGCAGCTTGGATGTGTCTAAACCCTCCATAAAGAATGCCTCTCTACTTGTAGACATGTTTTGTAACGTATTATGGGTTGAACTTTTATCACATGAAGTCACATTTACATCTTTTAATAGTTTCTCAATGTATTTGGGATCACGTCCATTCCTTCCCCACCTTACATTTTTCCCTGTTATCTCCTCTCCTGCAAATATAATTAATGCTTTATATGTCTCCTATATTACATGACAATTTTGTCTACACAATCCATCATCTTATGAACTATGTATCTGTGACAGTAAATTTGACAGTTTCAGAGCTATTTGAATAAATATGACAGCACTATTCATTCGCAATGAGATGCTAAACAGCTTGTGGTTATTCCTTAACATACATTTTCTGAGATCCCATTCCTATTAATTAAGACTGACCTTTTCTATGTACATGTATATTTAATCCAATATATTGTAAAATTCAATTGTCCTGGCCATCCCCATTACCACGGTATTGTGCAATTTCAGTTCACGTAAAGACAAGCAAGCTCATGACTAAATAAAACATTCTGCCCAAATTGTCTTTCACTTTACCCTTCAGAATTAGAATAAAGAAATATTAAATGAAATATGGGCTGCTGTTTGTGATTGGATTGTAAATCACATCACTCCTAGCAGTGGCTGTTGCTGATAGGTGTTGTAGTTCAGCAGTTGCTGGACTGAGATCTGGGCTTTGATTGGGTCACGCCATTCATGGTCTTAGTTTTAATCCCATCCAGTGTAGCTCTGTCTGTGCGTTTAGGGTCAATACCTTGATGGAAAGTGAACCCCTACCCCAGTCTCCAGTGTCTTGCCCAGACTCATTATTTTAGTTTTAAACTCTTTTTTTTGTCATGTAGCAATGACAAGTAAGCAAGTGTCAATTTACAACAATTGTAAAGCAATATAAAAATGTTTTGTAGTTGGCATATTTTGCATGACATTTTCCATATGTTTGAACGAAAACATAAAGATAAAATAAATAAAAATTTCAAATTTAAACGTTATTAACATTTCAACTAAATATAAAACATAAGTACTTGAATGCACTGGTTTACTATTTTGTGCTGATTAGCACTGTGAGTGAGGTCTACTGCCAAATCTAATCCACCTAGTGTAGACATTCTATTATCTTGCGATGTTGCTAAATCGTTATGGGGGTTGGCCTGCTATAACCCTGGTCAAGTACCAATCTGTAAATTCAAAACTGGAGTTAATCCAGTGTTGTAGAATACTCTTTTTTTTTGCGGCTGTCAAAATCAAATGAGCCAGTTTTGAAACCCAGTTAGTCACTTTTGGAAAGTTACACGGTCAAATTTAGCACATTACATTTTTTAGTTTATACACATTGAAATTTGCCAGACTGGTTACGTTGCCTTTGAGACCGTATGGTAGCCCAGGAATGAGAATTACCCCTATGATGGCATACCATTTGCAATAGTAGACAACACAATGTATTGCAAATGGGGTATGTTCTGTTTTTTTTAGTAGCCACGTAGTCACAGATACTGGCCAAATTAGCGTTCAAATCTGTTTTGTGCATTTTTCACACACAAACAAATTAGAATGCTAACTTTGGCCAGTGTTTGTGACTAAGTGGCTACTAAGAAAGACTGGACATACCCCATTTGTAATATCTTGGGTTGTCTACTTTTGCAAATCATATACTATCATGGGGGCCATTTTCATTCCTGGGCTACCAAACGGTCTAAAAGGCAACATAACCAGTCTGGCAAATTTCAATGTGCATAAACTAAAAAAATGTAATGTGCTCAATTTGACCATGTAACTTTCCAAAACACTATAAAACCTGTATTTGGGGGGTGCTATTTTACTTGTGAGACTTCACTGAATACAAATATGTGCATTTTATTGCAGTAACAGCTAACAGTATTATGACATTAAATACCATGCAGAACTAAAAAAATGTAAAAACAAATCTTAATTTTTAATTTTTCTTTAATATTTTATTCATATTGAATTATGTTACATATATAAATATTGATTTCATGATGTGACATGAAAGTTCTGTTTTGCCTGAACAAAATGATATATAATAAGTGTGGATGCATTTAATAGAAAGAGGTGAATTACGGTTGAACAGACATATAGCGCAAATTCAAGGTTTTGTTTATGTTTTCTTTTGATCACAACTTGTACAACTGCCTCAGTCCTTATGGGGTTAATTAGTGAAAACAACCTTAAATCCCTATTATGGACTAATTTCTAATACCGTCAGTAAACAGCTGCCTTATGCTGTCGCTGTTAACCACTGGTAACTAGTAGAGGCTACTAATTAATGACTGGTTTCCAACCTTTGTCACTATCTTGTACTTGCTAGCCGCCAATAATGTTGGTTGATTCACAAAGATTCTATCTAGTTTGAAATTAGCCACTGACAAGGTACAAAAGGCAGCAAGAGTAGAAGAAAAGTAGCAATGACGGTACAATGACCTTCTGATGGTGTCCACCCAGTGCTGGCCACCCCACTAACCGCCACCACACACATATATGAGCAATGAATGGAGAGGGTGTATTCATCTAATGGGGGGAGGTGAGACTTGTATTTCAGGCTGTTTAATTATTCTAATATTCCAGAAGAGTTATGACTAACCTTGAACAGCAGATGTTTTAAAACTACATTTCCCATGGTGCTTAGTGAGCCTCTAGGAAACATCAGTCACTGCCATCAATGTAATTCAAGCAAGCAGATTGCATAGATGAGTAGCTACTAGGTTCCGCTTGGGTAATAGGATGCGAAAGAAGGATGGACATCAAGATTTGATTAGCAGTAAGTGATCAGTGAAGAGTGTGTTTCAGAGTTCAGACCCAGGCTGTAAGCTTTATCTAAGGCTAAGTAAGCTGTGCCCCTCGGTTACCTTGTCTCACTGTTTAATGTACCAAATAACTCTTTATAGCTACTCACTTGCATTATGTCTTTAAAAACAATATGTTTTATTATTGATTTATTTCATGGTTACTTTCAGAAATGTTTTAAGAAACTAAATAGAACTGATGCCTGCTCATATTCAATTGAGCTGTCTTTATTCCAGCCGTATTATCATCTATGCGAGTATATATATATACAGTTGCAAGAAAAAGTATGTGAACCCTTTGGAATGATATGGATTTCTGCACAAATTGGTCATAAAATGTGATCTGCTCATCATCTAAGTCACAACAATAGACAATCACAGTCTGTTTAAACTAATAACACACAAAGAATGAAATGTTTTTATTGAACACGCCATGTAAACATTCACAGTGCAGGTGGAAAAAGTATGTGAACCCCTAGACTAATGACATCTGCAAGAGCTAATTGGAGTGAGATGTCAGCCAACTAAAGTCCAATCAATGAGATGAGATTGGAGGTGTTGGTTACAGCTGCCCTGCCCTATAAAAACACACACCAGTTCTGGATTTGCTTTTCACAAGAAGCATTGCCTGATGTGAATGATGCCTCGCACAAAAGAGCTCTCAGTAGACCTACGATTAAGAATTGTTGACTTGCATAAAGTTGGAAAGGGTTATAAAAGTATCTCCAAAAGCGTTGCTGTTCATCAGTCCACGGTAAGTTCAGCACTGCTGCTACTCTCCCTAGGAGTGGGCATCCTATAAAGATGACTGCAAGAGCACAGCGCAGACTGCTCAATGAGGTGAAGATGAATCCTAGAGTGTCAGCTAAAGACTTACAAAAGTCACTGGCAAATGCTAACATCCCTGTTAGCGAATCTACAATACGTAAAACACTAAACAAGAATGGATTTCATGGGAGGATACCACAGAGGAAGCCACTGCTGTCCAAACAAAACATTGCTGCACGTTTACAGTTTGCACAAGAGTACCTGGATGTTCCACAGCAGTACTGGCAAAATATTCTGTGGACAGATGAAACCAAAGTTGAGTTGTTTGGAAGAAACACACAACACTATGTGTGGCGAAAAAAGGCACAGCACACCAACATCAAAACCTCATCCCAACTGTGAAGTATGGTGGTGGGGGCATCATGGTTTGGGGCTGCTTTGCTGCGTCAGGGCCTGGACGGATTGCTATCATCGAAGGAAAAATGAATTCCCAAGTTTATCAAGCCATTTTGCAGGAGAACTTAATGCTATCTGTCTACTAGCTGAAGCTCAACAGAAGATGGGTGTTGCAACAGGACAATGACCCAAAGCATAGAAGTAAATAAACAACAGAATGGCTTAAACAAAAGAAAATACACCTTCTGAAGTGGCCCTGTCAGAGTCCTGACCTCAACCCGATTGAGATGCTGTGGCATGACCTCAAGAAAGCGATTCACACCAGACATACCAAGAATATTGCTGAACTGAAACAGTTCTGTAAAGAGGAATGGTCAAGAATTACTCCTGACCATTGTGCATGTCTGATCTGCAACTAGAGGAAACGTTTGGTTGAAGTTATTGCTGCCAAAGGAGGTTCAACCAGTTATTAAATCCAAGGGTTCACATACTTTTTCCACCTGCACTGTGAATGTTTACATGGTGTGTTCAATAAAAACATGGCAACATTTCATTCTTTGTGTGTTATTAGTTTAAGCAGACTGTGGCTGTCTATTGTTGTGACTTAGATGATGATCAGATCACATTTTATGACCAATTTGTGCAGAAATCCATATCATTCCAAAGGGTTCACATACTTTTTCTTGCGACTGTATATATATATATACATATATATATATTCCACACAGTTACTGTATTGACTGAACACACTCAAAACATGGTTTTAGTGTAAATGATTTGGGTTTAGTGACTTAGCAAGTAGCAAGTACGATAGCGACCATCTTCCCATTAACCCTTTCATACCTCATTTCCTTATTGTCACAGCCTCTGTTACAAACTCAGATCAGTTCAAATCCAGATGATACGTCTAGAAATGTTTTTATTCTTTATAGGGACACTATAGGCACCCAGACAACTTCAGCACATTGAAGTGGTTTTAACCCTGCAAAAGTAATTACTGCAGTTTTTTATAAACTGCAATAATTACGTTAGCGGGTTAACTCCACATCTAGTGGCTGTCTACCAGACATGAGGACATCCAGCGTTACCCAAAAAGCACTGTATAATCCCTAATGCGCTCGCGGCGCAATAGTTTTCCCCCTGCCGACGTCGGTAGAGGAGGAGTGGAGGAAAAGCCTAAACCAGCGCTGAGGGTCATTCGAGCTGGAATAAGGATTTTTAATCTTTTCTGTACCACGGAGGGGGGATGTGAGGGGATGTTTAGGCGAGGGCGCTATAGGGAGGTGTAGTGCTAAGAAAACAAGGTTTCCCTTTAAGGGTTGCTTTGAGAGGTGATTATCTTGATGGGATTAAATTTATGTGCGCTAATATAGCATGTATGGAAGAGGGCGAGTATAATATATTCATCTTCATATTCTCATTCTTTATCCAGAAACACTTTGTAAACATTTCATTATTCTTCCATTCTAAGACTAACGAGTGCCTTGGGTCTACCAGTGTGGCTCTGGGCATAGCATTTCAGTAAAATAAACCAATTGATTTTCACGCAGTGACTTAAAATGACAAGTATTTCAGATCTGGGCTCTCAGCCAGGAAATTTTACATTCTAACTAGTAACTGGTGTATCTCCAAAGGTCACCTTCACTTTTCAATGGACAGATTGTCTCTAAATTTTCATTCATGCCTCTGGTAATGAAATGCATCAAGGCCTCGATATATATTTTCTTTTTTAATGCTTTTAGTCCATTTCATTTTTTGTTTTCCAAGAAACAGCTAATTAGCAACATATTTTCAGGGACAGGTATAAAAACGACAATGACAAATAAACTGTAAATAAAAGTGTGTAGAATGTAACAGATCAGATGTTTGAAGGATAATTTAGGGATTTGTTTAATAACCTTTGGGAAATGTGGCAGAATGTGGAGCCACATGAATTATGATTCAACAAACAAGACTTAAAAAATTCATTTTCTGTATACCTTGATAAGGACATTAAATTCAGTTTTTACTCTTCAGCACTAAAACATAGCAAAATACGGTGTAACTTAGAACCTGCCTAAAACAAACGGGAGCTGGTAAATGTATAAAATATTATATTGAATAGAATGTATATAATGTATTTAGACATACTGTAGATGCATTATGTGTGTGCCTTGTTCCTGCATGGATACTGTGATAATACTTTGCCTATCAAATTAGTTTCAAGGGTAATTTTGTCTTTTCTCAGCGGGCATTCTGAAAGTTTGAGGTTTATTAGTGTTCAGAGATACTAGATTTACACATCTTGGCACTTTCATGGCTCACCAGGAGCCACGCTGGTTTTGAGTGGCTGTATAATAATTTCTTTTAGATATGAAATCACAACTGACTGCTGCTAAATGTCATCTCAAATCCCATTGGTGTTGGGGAGATCTGACATCTTATTCAAGACCCCCGGATAGTTAACACGTCTTCCAGACCATTAACTTTCTAATCTGGAGCAACAGATTTTCTGTGACATTTCAGGAACATACACAAATGGATTTAATAGATTACAGTCTTCTTGAATTCAGTAAGGACTTAGTTATTATTCCTTATGATTTTACATTGCTTCTAAACGTGACTGTAGAATACAACACCAGCAGACCGTGTTTGCTACGAGAAAACAGATTTGTACATAAAATTGCAAGTAGTTAAAGGACCACTCTAGGCACCCAGACCACTTCAGCTTAATGAAGTGGTCTGGGTGCCAGGTCCAGCTAGGCTTAACCCATTTTTTAATAAACATAGCAGTTTCAGAGAAACTGCTATGTTTATCAATGGGTTAAGCCTTCCCCTATTTCCTCTAGTGACTGTCTCATTGACAGCCACTAGAGGCGCTTGCGTGCTTCTCACTGTGATTTTCACAGTGAGAGCATGCCAGCGTCCATAGGAAAGCATTGAGAATGCTTTCCTATGTGACAGGCTGAATGCGCGCGCAGTTCTTGCCGCGCATGCGCATTCAGCCGACGGGGAGGAGAGAAGGAGGATCGGAGGAGTAGAGCTCCCCGCCCAGTGCTGGAAAAAGGTAAGTTTTAACCCCTTTACCCCTTCCAGAGCCCGGCGTGAAGGGGACCCTGAGGGTGGGGGCACCCTCAGGGCACTATAGTGCCAGGAAAACGAGTATGTTTTCCTGGCACTATAGTGGTCCTTTAACTTGGACAACAAATAAAAAGAATTTTACAGAATTCTCCAAAGTTATCACAGAGTTGCTCCTGTTTTATAAATGTTTTTTTAATTATGTTACAATTGTGAAAGAGAATTAGCACACAACCAGTTAGAGTTTTGGGCTCTTACTTAACTTGATTGGGAAAAACAACCGTTTAAAAAAAAGAAAAGGATAAAATGGCCTTCCTTATTCGAGTCCTTTTGACTTTTGGCAAACATGTGGTTGGATACCATTTGCAGTTATGTAATCTCTATATAAATTGAATATAAATTGGAATAGTACTGTAAATGTTGTGACCCTGATTGGATTAGGAGAAATGCCAATGAATATCTTGCCCGCAGAGCCAGATATGATAACTAATAGCGACATAAAAACCTTCACAAAACACATTAAATAACAAAGTAACAGGTAACCTATGGTTAGAAGAAAGAGAAAAAAACACACAAAAATAAAGGCTTCTTCAAATTTATTTTTTAGAAAAGACAGATGAAAATATCTATTTTTATTGACAACCCTTAATCAAATATTTTTCAATAACTAAAACTAATCAGCCCGTGGATCATGACAAACATTCCTACATTCACTGACCTGTTATATTTAACGCTATAATGCTTAATGTTATGTTATTTAAAGAGCAATATGCATTGCATCGAATGTGCCATACTGGATTAAGGGAACCTGCAGCGAGACACCTCAATAATGTCTTGTTAAGTTAAATCTTTGCCCCTAACACCAAAGTAAAAGGCATCAACTATTCTATTTGAATTTGAACAATTGTTTAGCTTGTGTAATAATATTATCTAATGCATATTTGTATTTGGTAAATTCCAACGACAATTGGTAATGATTAACCTGTCATATGGGAACATATTTATTTACAGAGTCGAATAAAGACTGCCCTGGTACTGTCTGTTGAGGAGTTCGCTAAGTGTGCCTTTGTGTGCTAGTTGAGAGTTGTGTGTGGTGGTTGTATTTTATGTGTAAAGGGGAATTTGTGGCTTTGTGTTGAGTGTGTGATGTTTGAGTGTGCCCTTACACAGCTTTCCCTACTTTTTTCCCATATGCCCCCCTCCTGCTTACCTTGTGGCAGCAGGGGATGTTATCCCAAGTGACCCAGTTGAGTGCACTCTTGGACTCTATCGTGGTCTGATGTTGGAGCATCATGGTCCGCACCTGTCTCTAGTGCAGATCACTTTAAGTGCTCCCTTGCAGTTTCCTGTGCTCATTCAATGTCTATGGCACTCTGAATTATTGAGTAACGCTGAGGGGCCATGAGGAAGTTCTTAACGTGATCTGAACCCAAAATATGCTTAATTTTAATAAACTTTCCAAATGATCCAAGAGTGTTAGAAAAACTTAACAAATGATTTATTTAAAAAAAATTCCATGACATCTGTGACTTCTGTAGATAAATAATTTAGGCAGTTTTTATAACAGTACTGAACAACTTGGAAAGTTTATTAAGTCGAGACCATTGTTTCAGACAAAGATCCATGAGAAAGTAAGGGGGCACCAGGCCAAGCAGGGAGATCGACCTGCTATTTTAGGGAGGCCCTCCCCCCAGAGACAGAATCCCAGAGTATTCAGGGAAGATGAGGAGACAGAGTGCATTGATATATGGGGAAGAAAAAAAAAGTGAGTTAGGGGCTTATCCCCCGTCATGTTACCCCACCAGCACGCATTAACTCACATAACACCCTATTCTTCTTTGCACTTATTATATGTTTCAGTACCTACATTTATATTGTGTACTATTATAGAAATGATATGCTCACAATTTGTAATGTTACGTATGCATTTTAATGTTTATTTTTGTTCACTAGTGTTTGATTCTTTTTACACTAGTTGTGTTTTTTTTGTACTTAATATAAATCACTTTGTATTCACTGGTTGTGTTTTTGTTTTTGTACTTAATATAAATCACTTTGTATTGTACCTTCTAAGCTGTAAATTTAAACTTTCATTACTAAAAACATATTTATACATAAGACAAACACAGTTCTGAAATTCAAAGGGTTAATATGAATATGTCATTGCAAAAATATAGTAATGACATTTGTATAGAGAAAATGTTTGTATGTCACAGAAAAATGAGAGGGATTTAAAATGATGCTTATTCATTCAGACTTAATACCATATCTGACAAAGCTTAATTATTCTTTATAAACATTCGAAAAGACAAGGCGCCACGCTTGTTTAATTATGGCAAAGAACACCGAATACAGAAGCTTAGCATGAATCCAGCTTCAATAATTCTTATGCGCAAAATGGATTGTGGGGACATTTCGTGCCTCAAATTCATAGCTGCCATCTTAATAATGGATTGAAATAAATACATAGATTCCATTCTAATAATAACACAAATGTTTATCTCTTGTCCTGTTACCTCTCCCAAATGGAGACGGCTTTCCATGATTTTTAATTATGTGAGAGCTACAAACCTTTCTAGTTTTGATGACCTTCTCAAAGTGTTTGCTTCACAATCTGCATCTGCAGGATACCTTGTCTAATGTGAATTCCCTCTGTGCTTTCTTGGGACAATAGTACCGCTACAAACATTGGAATCACATTGCTTTCCAAAAGGACATACTGAAAAGGAGACACAATATGACTTGATAATCTACTGACAGCTTAAATTACTAAAATGCCAGGAAGGAGAATAAACGTAATGATATGAAAATGCAAACATACAATATTTAAAGAGGTTCACAAAATATCACAAATAGTCTTCTCGCCCTTACAAAGTATAGTAAAATGTCTATTCCTTATACACTGCTAAAAAAATAAAGGGAACGAACACTTAAACAACACAATGTAACTCCAAGTCAATCACACTTCTCTGAAATCAAACTGTCCACTTAGGAAGCAACACTGAGTGACAATTAATTTCACATGCTGTTGTGCAAATGGGATTGACAACAGGTGGAAATTATAGGCAATTAGCAAGACACCCCCAATAAAGAAGTGGTTCTGCAGGTGGTGACCACAGACAACATCTCAGTTCCTATGCTTCCTGGCTGATGTTTTGGTCACTTTTGAATGCTGGTGGTGCTTTCACTCTAGTGGTAGCATGAGACAGAGTCTACAACCCACACAAGTGGCTCTGGTAGTGCAGCTCATCCAGGATGGCACATCAATGCGAGCTGTGGCAAGAAGGTTTGCTGTGTCTGTCAGCGTAGTGTCCAGAGCATGGAGGCACTACCAGGAGGCAGGAAAGTACATCAGGGGACGTGGAGGAGGCCGTAGGAGGGCAACAACCCAGCAGCAGGACCGCTACCTCCGCCTTTGTGCAAGGAGGAACAGGAGGAGCACTGCCAGAGCCCTGCAAAATGACCTCCAGCAGGCCACAAATGTGCATGTGTCCACTCAAACGGTAAGAAACAGACTCCATGAGGGTGGTATGAGGGCCCGACATCCACATGTGGGGGTTGTGCTTACAGCCCAACACCGTGCAGGATGTTTGGCATTTGCCAGAGAACACCAAGATTGGCAAATTCGCCACTGGCGCCCTGTGTTCTTCACAGATGAAAGCAGGTTCACACTCAGCATATGTGACAGACGTGACAGAGTCTGGAGACGCAGTGGAGAACGTTCTGCTGCATGCAACATCCTCCAGCATGACCGGTTTGGCAGTGGGTCAGTAATGGTGTGGGGTGGCATTTCTTTGGGGGGCCGCACAGCCCTCCATGTGCTCGCCAGAGGTAGGCTGACTGCCATTAGGTACCGAGATGAGATCCTCAGACCCCTTGTGAAACCATATGCTGGTGCGGTTGGCCCTGGGTTCCTCCTAATGCAAGACAATGCTAGACCTCATGTGGCTGGAGTGTGTCAGCAGTTCCTGCAAGACGAAGGCATTGATGCTATGGACTGGCCCACCCGTTCCCCAGACCTGAATCCAATTGAGCACATCTGGGACATCATGTCTCGCTCCATCCACCAACATCACGTTGCACCACAGACTGTCCAGGAGTTGGCAGATGTTTTAGTCCAGGTCTGGGAGGAGATCCCTCAGGAGACCATCCGCCACCTAATCAGCATTATGCACAGGCATTGTAGGGAGGTCATACAGGCACGTGGAGGCCACACACACTACTGAGCCTCATTTTGACTTGTTTTAAGGACATTACATCAAAGTTGGATCAGCCTGTAGTGTGATTTTCCACTTTAATTTTGAGTGTGACTCCAAATCCAGACCTCTGTGGGTTGAAAAATTTGATTTCCATTCTTAAGTTTTGTGTGATTTTGTTATCAGCACATTCAACTATGTAAAGAACAAAGTATTTCAGAAGAATATTTAATTCATTCAAATCTAGGATGTGTTTTTTTTTGTGTTCCCTTTATTTTTTTGGAGCAGTGTATTTCTAAATCTGTTTCGAGTATTTTTATTTTTTTAAATCCAGTTAAACCTTAACCATTTTGGGCTCAGGGTCTCATCAGAGAGTCAAAAAAACAAAAACAAAAACAACGCATGTGCTGTTTCCAATGAGAAGCTCAAAGGTACTCTGAAAATAACGGACTCTTATCAGTAGCCTTGTTTTTTTAATAGTAAGTTTTGCAAAATGCAATTCAACTCCAATATGGAAGCCTCCAGGGTGAAGTGGACAGATCTTCCAGTGGTAAATTCTGCTAAGCTTACTATAGTTTGGGTACATGAAATGCTAATTTCTACAACAAAGCATACAACTGACAGTGCCCCTTTAATGAAAGTGTCATGTAATGTACCTTAACCAATATAATGCTGTCTTTGAAAGTGTATACAAATTAGCACAATTCTTTTATTTCTGTATTTTGGTATGATTACAAAAAATCAACATGATGGTTTAATCACAGATAGGAGGCTCATGCAGGATTAATAAGGCTTTCAACAGAGTAGGATATAATAAATTCTAAATTAAACTGACTGTGGAGGACATTTAAGGACATTTAAACATTAAATCTCTCTTTATAGGAAGTGTTTAGGAAGGCTGTGTAAGTCATGTGCAGGAAGGTGTGGCTAGGGCTGCATGAACAAGTGATTTAACCCCTAAATGGCAGAGAATTGAGTAGTGAGACTGCAGGGGCATGATCTATACACCAAAACTGCCTCATTAAGCTAAAGTGCCTATAGTATATCTTTAATATCTGTCTTAGTGGTACATTGTATTGATTTTTCATTTTTAGACGCATAAACTGCAAACGAACTGGTTTGGTGATGTAAATTTCTATAAAATATGGTGTATTTTTGAGCAGAGAATAGAGGCTTTGAAAAAACTAGCAATGTTAATCCCTTTTTCTTTGTGTCCACAGGTTTCTTTTTATGTAATAGTTAAAGCAATCTACACGTTTGGACACAGTGTCTCATTGATAGCACTGACAATAGGGAGTACAATTCTGTGCCTATTCAGGTAGGTGCCTTGTGATGAATCATTTAATTTCTGTTGGATTTTATACACTTAATATAGACTTATATATACATCATACTAATGGGGTATTTTAATTAACATATCAAGCGAAATTCTCAACTCAGTAACACACTATGTGTCCAAGTACTTAATGGTACAATCTCAAAAAAGAAAACAATAACGAGGAGAGAAAGCGAGCCAGTATAAACTTTATTATGGATGGGAAGTGTCTTAGTAATTTTGTGTTGAAACCATTAATATGTCATCCTTCAAAAGGGTGTAGTGGCTTCTCAGGAGTCACGGTAGCAAGTTCATGGGGAGCAAATGAAGAAATGGTTCCAGTGATAGGTGGTCTCCTCTGTGGAGGTGAATGCAAACAGATGTGACAACAGACATGATGCCCCACAGATTGATATGAAGAGACAACAGGGTGGGCAAACACAGTCCCTATATGAATAGCTTGAGGCCGAGTTGGACGTGTAGGGCAGTAGATGATGGAGTGCTCTCCCTAACCACAATAAAAGCATAGGTCTTTATTCCACCAGCGAGCTATTTCCTTGAGGGAAAGTGCCTTTTCACATGGGTTCCTCAGAGTTCAGTGTTGATTTATAAGACATTCCAGGATAGTGAATGCATCGGGTATGTGTGCTTATAAGGTCCTCTGGTATGGAACCACTTTATCAATTAACACTTCAAATGGGTCAATATGACAACGTTGTGTCTTGTATCAACAAAAGATCCCTGAAAATCTGTGCTGTGTTCGTTTTCTTCAAGACACCGTGATTCGCGGGAACGGAGAGAAGTAACTGAAGGTTGACGGAAGCAGTCAAACATGGAGTCAATAGCTTTCATAAATAAGTCCCTGGTGTCCAGATCAGGCTTTTTGCAAGAAGCAGCTGGTGTGCCCAGGGTTTAAGTTGCCCAGATAACAGGTTGATAGCAGGTCACACTTCAACAAACTCTGTAGCATAGGTACGTGGTTTCAAGGAGAACAGTCCATCTTAAAGAAGCTGTAATTATCTTGTTCAGCTATTTTGATTTCATTTTAATGTACCTATAATTACTTTGTATACCAGAAAGTTCAAACTTTAGTGCATAATTCAATAATCTTGACAGCAGAGAATCGCATAAATACAAAGAAATACAGAGAGGGGAAAACAATTACAGTAGAGAGGTATAATCAAAGACACAAAATATTTCAAACTGTTGACAGTTATTATAACTGTAATTTGAGATTATTTTACCACTTACTATAGTGTCATGTTTACATCTACAGACTGTTTATGCTAAACGGTGAAATATAATGAACTAAGAAACAAATTCCAAAACAGTACATACATACAAAAGGATGAGTTTGTAGGTTCTTGGGTAGATGGTTTTAGGTGATACAAAAATATATAACGATGCAAGCTGAAAAAATAGTTGTTGTTAATAAAGTATCTCTTGCACTTTACTTGCTGTCCAGTGGATCTGTAAGGTGGACCAGAAGACGTGAAACCAACAGGGGTACAAGAAGGGAGTGGGATCCACTTAAATATTCCCAACACAACTACATATTGAGCCTAGTCATACTGGCACCATCCTTGTGAGTACAAGACTAGAGATTTTCTTTACTCACACTTTCATACTTGGCAATATCGCACTATGATTTGGTTATCCCCTTTTTTTCAGCTTGCATCGTTATATATTTCTCTATCACCTAAAATCATCTACCTAAGAACCTACAAACTCATCCTATTGTATGTATGTATAGTCTTTAATTTATTTGTGTGGGTAAAGAGGATACCACACAGGTGTATAGAGTGTGCTGGGACTTTTTGGGCTACACAGCAGGACTTTGTCTATATTTTGTCAAATTTCAAAACAGGTTTTTGTTTTTATATTCTTGGGTAATTTGACCTAAGTTAGATTCCAGTTTGGCACATTATTTAGTAAATAAACCACTTGATTGTCATCCTACTGGGGTTTATTTATTTAACTCCAAATTGTACTGAATTGAAAAGTTAATTGCAAAATTTAGACTAAAATCACCTAGTTGTTACTATAGCTTAGTTAGTGAACTTTTCTGAATCATATCTTTTTTCCCCAAATTTACTAGGGATAGTCAGTTTTCTATTTTGTAGTTTGTGTTTGGCATTTACATTTGTCTAGCTTGTTGTATATGTTAGCTGCAAACATGCATTAGCTCGTTAATAGAACTGGCCTACCACACAATTAACACCCCAGAATGAAAATACAACAGAACATTATTTGACTGTGATTAATCTAATATGTCCTTCGAGGTTCATTAGATAAAGACCACGCTTCAGTAACCATCGGCAAATCAACAATTAGTATGTTTCCTCATCTGAAGACAAATATTAATAACATTGCAATATTTTTGGAAATCGCTTTTGGCAGTTTTACATATCTTTATCTCCTCTGAAATTTTTAAAGGGACACTATAGTCACCAGAACAACTACAACTTATTGTATTTGTTCTGGTGTCTGTATCCTGTCCCTGCAGGCTTTTTGCTGTAAACAATGTTTTTTCAGAGAAAAGGCAGTGTTTACATTACAGCCTTGGAACACCTCTAATGGTCACTCCTCAGACGGTCACTAGACATGCTGAACTTTCCCCATAGAGATGCATTGACTCAATGCATCTCTATGAGGAGATGCTATCTGTCTAGGGCGCCCTTTGGATCTGCACCAGCCCACCTTCTGAGCTATGAATAAGAGAATTGACCATTGTGACAAACCCCCCTTTTTAAGTGAGTTTGCTACGAGTTCCTGGAGGAGCCTGCTTGCCAGCCTCCTACCCACAGACTATGGACCTTGTAAAATGTGATGGAAAAGTCTCCGTTTGTGTATTTGGACTATATGGTTCGGAAACGGAACAGCTGCACGAACCGGAGACCACCCTGGAGCTTGTTACCAATTTCCACCGCAGTGTTCTAAGTGTTCGACTGGGTGGCCGTATTTCCTATGGACGACCACGAGGTGGTGGCCATCTTGTTCGCATGAACACAGGCAGCGGTGTTTGGTCTTCGAGTTCATGGAACTATTTTTCGGACACTGAAACTCCTGAACACCGCTGGACTTCCATGATCTCTTGTGTTCGGTTCTACAACACTTAGAAAGACACTGTTCAGTGGAAACGTTCCCACGAACAAGGGAAACAAGCTCCAGGGAAAGAACATTGACTATGTTCGGTAGTTTGTTCGGTTTTTAAACTACTGAACTAGACTGAACGCAAGCCCTGATTCTCTGGAACTGTTTTGGGTATGGGACCATGCATGCGGTCGGTCAAATAATGACTTCCAGGAAATTCCTGAACCCCTGAACTGATCTGGGTGATTTTTGGATATGTTGGTCACCCAGATCGGGGCTATCAGGAGATGTAACGTTTGTAGGGATTTTGTGTGTTTTTAGGTACTTTTGGGGAGTTTGGGAAATGTGCGTTTTTTGTACCTGGAGATAATTGAGTTTAATACAGTGCTTGACTCAATTATCTCCCAGGCACAGGGGAGGGATTATCTTATTATATATGGGAGTTTCCTGGATCTGAGAGCCAATGTAATTGTGTATTTGAAGCTACTCAGGTCCAGGGGGGAGTGCCTCTTGCATGGGGACATGCATAGAAGGCCAGTTGTGGCTGCCAGTAAATGTATTTTAGTTTGTACTCCCAGAACTATGTGTCGTCTGGTTACTGGGAGGGGAAATGGCTAATCACTTTTCCAGCTTATTCCAGTGTGGAGGATTCAACGGGGAAAGTCCTTGTAAGGACTAGAGCTCCCAGGACTGAGTGTCGTCCAGTGCCTGGGGGTGTCTAGAGTGATTCCCCATTTGGCTCCAGGAGGGAGCAGTTCCAGGACCCCAGTCAACCCAGGCAACTGTTGGCAGAAGTGCTGTGGTTTGTCCCCTGTTCCAGCTAGGAAGCAGTTCTTGGCAGAGGTACCTATCCAGGTGTACAGGGAGCTCCGTTACAACCATCTCAGCCAATCCAATGCTTTCCTAGCAAAAAGCATGGTGATTGGCTGAGATCATCAATTCTGATGATGCCAGCCAAAGAGGCAGATCAGGGCAGAGCTAGCACCAGCAGACCCATGTTGCACTGTAAATAATGTGAATTTGTACTATATTTAAGGGGATAAGGGGGGGCATGGGGCTGAATAGTGTTTTAAACATTATAGGGTCTAGAATACATGTTTGTGTTTCTAACCCTATAGTGTTCCTTTAAGTAACATAAGCATATTGTTGTTTTATTTTCAATACATTGTGGTTTATTCACTAAATCGAAACTGCTAAGACCAAAAAAACTTAGTTCGAGAAATAACTGATTTGAAGAATTATTACAACTTGATTATTTTGGCTAAAATGTGTATTTCCGGTTTTCTGATAAAATCCAGGCAGATTTAGTGTGACTTGTAAGGTATTCAAAATGAATTAAAAGTGAATTTGAGATAAAAATCCAAAATAAAAATAAAGGGGATTTGGATAATTTATTCAACTCTTTGACAATTAATACTTTAGTAAATAGCCCTACATATTGTTAAAAGTCTACCGAACATTGCTGTATTTTGTTACATAACAAAAGCATATTGATATTAAGAGAGAGAGGACCGTACTCCACAAAATAATCACCCATTTGTGGCTAATGGGAGATCCAATTCTTGTGATAAATAAATGCATTATACATAGATACTTAATCTATTAAGAACCAAGGGTAAGGTATGGTATGCATTTTGTGTTACTGCACTTTAAATGTTTTATAATGTCAAAATGCTACGTAGAGTTGATTATATCGTGTATTACGGTATGCTTTTAATATCTTTTATCATTTTATCATTCTTTAGAATCTCACAACTTGGCTTAGCAATTTTTCTATCACATTTTTCTCCATATATGAGCTGCATCTCTTGTAATTTTAGCTTTAATTGTTAGCTAGGTACCAGTATTTTATTAATTCTCTATATTGAATTGGAATGGGGAATATTGTATCTGTGAAATTGTCACATTGAAAGCACAGTCATATCCAAACATGTTAATACTTTAAAAGATTTATTTCGAAGGCACTTTATGAGTTCACTCTGTGTAATAATAGCTTGTGAGAGCTGGGCTAGATAAAAGAATTCTACTTATTGAGATTGCTATTGTCCTTTCCAAGATGTCAAATAAGCCATTGACCAAGAAGGTAAACAGTATCTTGGCAGCACAAAAAGAGATCCAGTAAATTGGCACACCCAAATCCTTCTACAATCTGGCAATCACAGACTATAATTGCATGGCATCGGCAGGCAAGGCAAGATCACTATGTCCAAATATTTATACAGAAGTCAAATTAGGAACCTGGCATAGCCTTCCAGAAGAAGACATGAAGGCTAATACAGTAAAGGAATTCTTAGGCGATATTAAAGGTTATCTTGAAGAACGAGTTATGCAAAACAATAGGAAGACTAGATAGGCCTGTTGTTCTTTTTACTTGTTGTTACATTTGTGTTGGTATTAAAAAAAAAAATTCACAGAATCGCGTCACATGGTCCTCAATGTAATATTTTTGGATAAGATTTTAAAAGTATTTAAGATTTTTGGATAAACTTTTAAAATAATTTTTCTAAATATTAAAATATCGAAAAATATATGATATATTAAAAAAACTAATCAATGTATCAAAAATATAAAATTATTAGAAAATGTAAATATTTTTAATAATATTAAATCAATTTAACAGTTAATTCAAAAATATTAAATCATTTACATTTCTTATCCAAGCATATTAAATTGGGGCATTGATTAAGAAAATTACAATCTCACATCTGACATTAGTCGTCATGTTTATGGCTGCTGATAAGCTGATAATGTTGTTGAAGCAAATACATTTCTACCAATTCATTTCTTTTTTTAAACAGCATAATTAACAAATACCAGATCAGTGAAAATAAGTCCTATACCTTACATTAAAGGGACACGATAGTCATCTAAATAACTTTGGCTTAATGAAGCAGGGTATAGATCATGTCACTGCAATCTCACTGCTCAATTCTCTGCCATTTAGGAGCTAAATCACTTTTGTTTCTGTTTATGCAACCCTAGCCACACTTCCCCTGGCTGTGACTGGCACAGCCTGCATGAAAACAAAATGTTTTCATTTTCAATCAGATGTAACTTACTTTTAAACTTTTGATCTCCTGCTCTGTAAGTTGAACTTTAATTACAAACAGGAGGCTCCTGCAGGGTCTAGCAAGCTATTAACAAAGCAGGAGATAAGAAATTCTAAATTAAACAGAATGTGCAATAACAAGTTTAAACATTAGATGACTCTTGACAGGAAGTGTTTAGGAAGGCTGTGTAAGTCACAGGCAGAGAGGTGTAACTAGGGCTGCATAAACAGAGTGATGTATCTCCTAAATGACAGAAAATTGATTAGTGAGACTGCAGGGACATGATATATATCCCAAAACTGCTTCAATAAGCTAAGGTTATTTTGGTGGCTATAACATCCCTTTAAGAACTGAAGTGATTGCAATTCTGCGTAAGAGTTATTTATGCTTTTACAAGACTTTTGAAATGAGAAGCAAATCCAAAAGACTTGCAAACCATTTTTCCAATATAAACTGACACATACGTTAAATGATCTCCTCACCTTCTTTGACTTGATGACACATACAAACAATGTTAACGAACAATTATTTGCTAATAGTGATGTCCCAAACTGTTCGCGGAATGGTTCGCCACGGTTCGCCACGAACGATTCGCCACGGTTCGCCACGAACGATTCGCCATGAACGGTTCTCCGCTGACTCCAGTCAGCAGACACATTCCAGCCAATCAGCAGTAGACCCTCCCTCCCAGACCCTCCCACATCCCGGACAGCTCACTAAGAATGCAGCTTTAAAATGGATGCTGTCCAGGAGTTGGGAGGGTCTGGGAGGGAGGGTCTGCTGCTGATTGGCTGGAATGTGTCTGTTGACTGGAGTTCGTGGCGAACCGTTCGCGAACAGTTCGGCGAACAGTTCGGGACATCACTACTTGCTAATCATTTATATCAAGTAAAAGACCAATAAGCACTGTAAAATGTAACAAAGCAAAATTGATAACATAATAAGAATACACGCATGCACATTACTTGAAATGTCCTTTTAGTTCAGGCCTGGTTTAAAAACTAGAACATTTTCTAACTTTTGTGACTTTACTGGCAGAAAAAATAATTAGTGAATGATATCATTTTGATAACTGGGATATCTGAACTAATTCATCTGGGGAAGAGGAAATGAACTATGTCTTGCTTTAACAAACATTCTCAAGCCAAAACGATAATAGAAATAACTATATACATCTATGTATGTCTAAAATTCAATTGGGAAAGATCAGCAGGTGGTTAGTGAAAAAAAAACCAAATTGAATATTGCAGGTCATTATTCGGGTCAAGGGAACCGGCAAAGGATATTAAAGATTTAAAATTAGAACTAAACAAATTAAAAACATTTATAGAATAATGTTTCTAATGCTTAGGTCAACACAGTGAAATTAAGCTTTAATTCCAATTATCCTGTGAACTTTTTTGAAACATAATACACTATTTTAGAGATTCTTAAAAAAATGTTACAGATCTAAATAAGCCTCAAAGTAACCTAATGCATTAAACTTTCGGAAGTGAAGGAGTCCTTCGGATTGGCTAGGCATCATGTTAAATGCACTTATATCTCAGACACCTAAGTTAGCCGTCACTAATCTTTGAGATGGCTGTTAAATAAAAGATGCAATTATTCAAGGAGAGAATTAAGTGAGTTTCTCTCACTCAAGGAGATATAAAGAGGACACAAGAAGTTGCCATCAACATGTTGGACCGTGACATTATGCACACATAAGATCATGTCAAGAGCAGAAACCTGGTTCCCATTTAGTAAGAATGCAGCACACAGTACTGCCAAACTATTTTTTAGTACACAGCAGGGATTTATGTGAACTTTTTTTAAAACTAAAACCAGCAATATTTTCTTGCTGTCATTTGCTTATCTCTTTATTTTAAATTAGGATGACCATGTATTGGATTTCCGTGCATCCCAATAGCTAAACAAAAGTATGGGTTGTAGAATATTGTTTACTTACCTAAAGTTTATTTGTGTTTTTTAATGTACAATGTAACCTGGCTGTTCTGGCACAGCCAGGGCATAGTATGCAAATTAATCTACCCTCACTGTTCCATAATTGTGGTACATAAATGCCTTTGAAAGAAATGTCTACATGTGAAGATGTTTGTTTCAGCAGAGGCATCATGGGATGGTGATGTCGGTCTGGATATGTAAGCACTGTGGAGGTAAATTGAGTTTACACTATCTGCCCCAGTAAAAGTTTACATTATTTCAGCTCCAATATGCTCTCTGTTCTGTGGAGTAATGAAACAAAACTGGAACTTTTCAGCCTTTTCATGGATCAGCGGTATGTCTGGAGGAAGTAGAATGAAGCAAATGCTGAAAATAACATTCTGCTTACAGTTAAGAAAGGTGGTGGGTTGGTGATGTTCTGGGGCTGCATCCTCTGTACTGGAAACTTTAAGCGTGTGGAAGGCAAGATGGATTAATTGAAGTATCAGGAAATGCCAGGAGAAGCTTGGGCGTAATTGAACCTTCCAGCAAGACAATTATCCCAAGCATACCTCAAATTCCACCAAGGCTTGGTTGCAGAAGAAGTCCAAGAAAATTCTACAGTGGCTATCACAGACACCTGACTTGAACCCCATAGAAAATCTCTGGTGGGATTTTAAGAAGGTGGTTGTAGCACACAAGAATATTACTGAACTGGAGGTCATTGCTCAAGAGCAATGGGCTATGATTCCTCGGGATTGCTGCCAGAAGCTGGTGTCTAGCTATACATCTCATTTTCAACAGGTCATAAAAGCAAAAGCATGCTCTACTAAGTACTAAAGACACTTGCCGGGGGCAGAGTTTGCCTACTGCTCGGTTCAGACGTGTTTTGTCTGAGCTCCTATTTCTGGATCCGAAATCCAGGAACATCTGCAGGCCACATGCCAACAATGACCTAAAACTATGACCTACCTGTTCAGCTGCTGATGGTGTACACGGAGATACCTTTCATGACCCGATACGGCACCACAGTGACCAGATCAAGGCCCGAGGCCTGCCAGAGCTTGAGCTGGAGTGAGACGGCAGCTCCCCCAGTTCTCCGGCCGACGCATAGCTGCCCCCCCCATTTGGACCGGTGTGGGTTATCCCGGTCCCCTCAGACGACCACCTCTGCATACAGCTGCATACCGATATCCGCAATACCACAAGCTACAAATCGGGCTAGCCTCAAGATGGCGGACGCCCCACAACCTTGAGCACAGCTTCCTGCTGAAACAATTCAGAGCACCAGTGAGCACATATCACAGCGTCTGGCAGCAGCGTTCGATTGCCTCTGGGACAAGTTAACTGCCCACTTTGCGAAGCCACAGGCTCCGGCGGTAGAGAGTAAACTGAGGGAAGAAAGGTGGGAAAAGAGCGCCCCCCTCGGGCACTCCTATCACAGTAATTGGGCAGTCTCCCACGAAGGATGCGCCCAGGATGAATACCAACAGCGAGATACTCCCAGTGCATCAGCAACCGACGCAGAGGATCCAACACCGCAGGAGGTGAACGCCCACCAAGATCCAAAGCTGTCCCTTGTAAGGGAAGAACTCTGCCTCACATTTGAGCAACCAAGTTCGTGGTCCAAGGATGCCAGCCTCCGTGACAGCTATGGGGACTCTATCTGACTCTGCCCATTGATGTCACATTACCCCCTAAGCCTGCCACCAAGCCGGGTAATAGGCTGATCCAGGATTTTACGGCCCAAACACTCAGATAACTGGTGATATAGCCCATGTGCTGATTTACCCCATCGCTTACAGTATGCCAACTGACATATACTTTCTTCCATGAGGCTAAATTCACAGCGAACACCATTATCCTTGATTTGCTTAATTTTCATGTCCAGTTGTTAAAACTCATTTAGCCTATTATGTTGTACGCTCATGTTTGATAGGAATAGCTTGCCTACATACACTCTTTAAGCCAGCCGCTATGACACGGCCTACACCAAGCACACACATAAGATGCACAAACGACACTCACAAATGCCAGATATGACAGACATGTCCAATCACGAAGCATATACCATCATACCCATCTTGGGGGAACGACTTTTATACCATGCAACCATCAACTGAGAGGTGGTGCCAGAGGCTATACAAGTCTGTAAGTCTTAAGTCTAAGCAAACACAATACTCTCGATGTTAAGTAAGTATGCTATTTTTCTGTTTTGATAAACCTTATATGCTTATTATTTAACCTTTTTATTTCTCATAATTAGTGATGTCGCGAACCATTCGCCAACTTGCCGCGAACGGTTCGCCATGAACCGTTCACGGCGAACTCCGGTCAGCTGACACATCCCTGCCAATCTCTGGCAGACCCTCCCTCCCAGACTCTCCCACCTCCTGGACAGCATCCATGTTGAAGCTGCCTTCAACATGGATGCTGTCCAGGAAGTAGGAGGGTCTGGGAGGGAGGGTCTGCCGGAGATTGGCAGGGATGTGTCAGCTGACCGGAGTTCGCCACGAACTGTGGCGAACCGTTCGCGGCAAGTTCGCGAACGGTTCGCGACATCACTACTCATAATCATCAGTCTAGCCAGTCAAAACGTCTCCCCAGCTGGCAATGCATTGTGGGAGTTGTACGACAAATATGGATCTACCTTTTGACCCCCCAGTGATAGGAGTAGCCAAAAGAAATTACACACCAGGGCCCGTTCTATGTTAGATCCTCCACTGTTTAGTACATAACTCTTTCAACAAATGCATGGATTCATACTCTACATTAACTTCATATTTTGACCATTCATTGTATACAATAAAATAACTGTGAGACTTTATTCTGGTTTTGAGTAGTAACTGACTCTCAATATTTTTGTATATGTGTTTTTTTTCATTCTGTTATTTATAATATATACATAAGATGTATGGTATCTATTCTCATCATGTATCTTTATTACACGTATGCAGAATCATTAGGAAGCCAATTATTTAGCAAATAGCGTTTCTGTCATTTCGCTAGATTGCCGCTTAATATAAACAATTAATATAAACGGATCCTCTGAGACATTACAGATTAAATCTGGTCAGCTTTAAATCTTTATGTTTTTCTCTTCTAAACCGGTATTTATTACCATGTGTAGCATTGCTTTGGATCTCTCCTGACCCTGTCCTAAAGTTAGAGTATATTACGAAAGCTTCATGATGCTTTTACATAATCCAGCACTACAAGAAGGGCTCATGCAGGACTGGGATCCCCTGGTTGCGGTCAGGTGTCTATAGTCCCTACCCCAGCACAGCGGGTCCACCTCCTGTGTGAGATGAGCTACGCTACAGGTGTGAAATTTAGCAATCTTGGAATTTACATTTGGAATTTGTAGAATCTTCTGCTCCTTGATGACATAAATGTGTTTTTCTGACTTCCACCAAATAATCCTATAGCCAGTTACAGGTATATAATTAAAATCGAATCGCTAAAACAGGGGTGAATAAAAGATATAAATAAGCAATGGCAAAAAAACCAAATAAACATAGATGAACAGTGTGGCAAACCTAGCCACTTGGACAATATAAAGAGACTGTGCCTTTAAGGGTTGCCTGTATGTCTGTGGGGATATGTGTTTAACTAAGTGTAATGTATGCTGGCTGTAATAACGTGTATTTACTGTATTGGCTATCTGCCGAATGCAGATAGCTGTATTTCCTTTCGTTTCACGAACGGCACTTTTGCGGGCCGTTCGTGAACCGAAATAAACCACCATGTAGTAGCCCACACACTTAGAGACGAGTGGCGCTTGTTAACCGATTGCAACAATGTTGCAATTGGTAATTAGAGGCTCTCCTAGGTGGCCGCCGTTCGACTACCGACCATGCAGCGGTCAGCCATCTTGGATCCTTTGTTCCCTCAGTGGTGTTTGGTCGTCGAGCGGATGTACTAAAAACGGCTACTCGACGGTGCGAACACCGCTGAGCTTCCAGGCCGTTCAGGAGTTCCGGGCCATTCGGTATTATGTTCCCTAGACTTCAATCGGTCTTTTGAATATACATTTTAATGAATGTGTTTTTCGTGCGGCGTTCGGTTGTTTTAGCTGGGATCGGAGCGGTAATCTCACGAATGATGCGCTCATACCCCAGCTATCTACCGAACGTCCATTCGTGCAAATAGACTGCATATTCGAAAAGTTAAGTATTTTAATACAAATTGTCGGTTCTGCTGCACGGAGGGATAATCCACTTAACAGTACATTCCTGTGGGAGGATCCCTCTCGTGCAGCAGTGCCTGATGGGGGAAAGGCTCTGTAATGGAAGTTCCAAATGTAGTCCAGTCTGGGAATGCCCCTGGGATGGGACTCGGGAAACCCCTTGCATGGGGAATTGTATAAATTGTGGAGCTGAAAATAAAGACCTCAGTTGACTCTCAGAACTGTGTTTCGTCCGGTTACTGGGAGATTTGGGATATTGCCTTGCTTTTCAGCGCTTGTCTGTGGATTGCTTCCTGAACCAGCGGAATTCGTGGATTTAATACTGCCGATCCGCTACAAACAGGAATGATAGGGGGGTGTATCCTTATAGTCTTAAGGAACAGAGAAATAATTGCAAAGAAGTATACATAGGAGGTCGCAGATTCAATTCCTGGCAGGGTTGACACAGCCCTTTGTCCATCCAAAGCAGATAAAATTAGTACCATTAAGTTGAGAAATAGTAACATCTCCTGGATTTGGGACAAAAAGAACATCCTAGCTTGAATATCTGACTGTACCTTTCCTGGCAAAACACTTTTTTATTATACAGAAAGTGGAAGAGACTATAGATTGACCAGACGTACAATCCAAATGTTAATGTATACATTCTATATATAAATGATAATGATATTCAAGGCAGATAGTACAGAGTAAAATGATGACATAGAATTAGAGAAGACATTGGAAGTGCAAGTCATGTAAGACAGGAGTAGAATGCTATGGGGAACGCATTCATTTTTCTAGTCAAAATCATGACAATATTTATTAGCTGACACATCAGAAAAAAAAGACTTGCATCTGGAGCAAAAAAGCTGGATAGGAAACCATGCAAGTCCTAAAAATACAAATTTTTGGTGAAAACCTGTTTCTATTGAAACCAAGAGTAGGTTTCCACAAACTGTAAGATGCCGATCAGGTTACATATCACATGATGCTAAAATGATTATTAGTAGGGTCCAAGAGACCCTATTTACCTGAGCGACTCTCTGACCACAAGCACTGCATGATGGATAAAGGATTTAGAAAAATAATATGTGGAGTACTCTAGATTCAAGATTAACTTTTGGCAATTTCCACTCCATTTCATCCATCCATTTGGGACATTTTATGGAAATAGTAAACCGGGTAGGAGTTTGGTGAATTTCGCAAATTATTATTTTTTCGCTATCTGGGTTTTTCATCCATCTTGTAAATGACCCGTAATGTGTCAAGGTACCTTAAAATAGTTTAGTTTTTTTTTGTATTCCACTTTAAAATTGTATTAAAGCCAAATATTCTCAAAGGCTTTTAATGCAAAATGTCACCTACCTCTTGTCTACATGATATGACATTTTACTTACGATAAACAGCAGCCATACAATGGATCACTGTAGTGGTGTGTAAGGGAATACATTTTTATAAGCCACCAAATAGCTCTTGGGCTAACAATTCTTCAGACTAATATTACATTCAAATAGGGCTATTCATTAAAATTAGAATTTGAAGTGTCTTCCATGTGAGTAAAATATTTGCTATTTTGGCTTAACATTTTGTAATATATTACAAATTATATCAAATTCACAATAAATTATGCATATACCAAAATTGTGAAGCTAATTCCAGAAAATGATAACTTTGGCAACTGCATCATGTTAAAGGCAGCATAATCAGAGCTGAATTTTGTCATTCGTACTTTATTACTACATAGTTCCAGTCATAGTAAAAAGACCATAATTGCTGTATGAAAACAAACCAAAAAAGACAGTCATTTTCAAAATATTTAGCCAGGGTTACTGGAAAATGAAAAACGTAAACCAAGTACCGTGAAAAAAAAAAGTTACAAAATAAAACATTGCAATTTGTAAGGTGGTAAGAAAATGACGTATTGATATGAATATTTTTTTTAATGATGATGAAGAATATATAAATACAGTGATTAATAATAATATTAATGGTGAATATAAGACATCACGGAATTAAGTTTGTTCCATACAATCTATTTATGTATCTTTCCTTCTTTCCAATTTAGAAAACTTCACTGTACACGGAACTACATCCATCTGAATTTATTCCTTTCTTTTATTTTGAAAGCCATATCAGTTTTAATAAAGGATGACTTTCTCTTCTCTAATGAAATGTCCTGCCCCGACTCACTGGTAATTAAAACTGAATCGCTAAGGTTGTAAAACTGGGCAATTAAAGGGCAACTGTCACCTTAAAGCTATTTTTTAATATAATATTCCTTTTTATCAAGTTTTGAAATGAAATATATTTTTCTAATAATAACGTAAATGTAAGAAACTGAGAAACTCATCCCTACCTTCAGTATATGACAGGATCCTTTAGCCATATATGTACACCTTGGGTCAGACAGTGTTTGAAAATAAACACGTAGTCTCTATCATCCTCCCAGCTTCACTCCCTGCACAGAAACAGGGAAGACCATAGAGACTGACTGTCTGTTTTCAAACACGGTCCGACCCAAGGTGTATGATTATGGCTGAAGGATCCTGTCCTACACTAATGGTAGGGATGAGGTTTTTTTTGTAGTTTTTTTTTGCATATACTTTATTTAAAAACGTATGTATCTAATTGAAAACTTGATGGGAAAATAAAACTTGATGAAAGGGTTATTATATTTAAAAAAAATAGTTTTGTGGTGACAGTTGTCCTTTAAGCAATACACTAAGTGTAGAAGATGTTAAAACTCTATGAATCATGAATGCGATATATCAACGGTTTCTGGGAGTTTTAGCTCAATTTACTGCAAGAAATGGTGGTCGTGATTCTGCTTTTCTCTTTAATTACTTTAAATAGCTTCAAACACATTTTTAAAACAAGTGAATCAAATTTGTCAGTTCGGACAAATTTCAGCTCTGCAATCGTTCCAGGAAAAACAATTCGGACAAACCAAAATGGTGCAAAAATGTCCAAATTAGTTTAGTGCAAAATATGTACAACATTTTCCCACCATTTGTTTCACAGATTAAGTGAGAAGAAGTAACCAATAGTGGGAAAAAAGACGAGCAGTAAAAACAATCTTTATTTACATACTTATTTTTTACATACTTATTTTTTTTTACTGCTCACTTGATCTGTGTATAGAATCGACATTTAGTGATTGTCCCCTAACCATCAATCATATTTTTTTCCATCAGTCATTTTCTTTTTGCCTCCATTGACAGAACCCCGAATCACTAAACAAAGGAAATGATTAGCTCATTGTCCGTTCCATTTTCGTGACTCATCCATGTAGCATTTCAGATTTTTGGTATAATGCTAACCAATCACATCACATGTAATAAAATGTCTGCGTGGACATCCCTAGTTCTCTTTCTTTGCAGCTCCTTCACAGAAACAGATGAGTATTGCTCTCCTCAATATCTTACTCTCTACCTCATTTCTGTTCTCTAAATTTTATATTTTATATTCTTCATTATTTTGTTCTTTCTTTATTTTTTTTCTCTCCACTGTGTGCCTTATACTGCCATATATTGCATTGTATGTGCTTTTACTTTTAACTCTACATTTTATTTTGCCCTCAATCTTGCACTGATCTCGTGTTAAAAACAGAACAGAAGCTGGTTAATTTGGCAACCTCAGATGCAGGGAAAAAATCAACACTCTCTTATTTAGAGATGGTTTCATTAAATAATTGGTTTTCTTTGGTAGCCCCTTCACAGCCCTACAAAAAAAAAATAAACAGCAAAATCGAATATGTAGAAAGTTTCTTCTCACAGTTTTTTCAAAGTCTTACAAAGTCTTGCAATGCAGGTCTGTTTGCTTGGCCATAAGTTCAGAGGCCAGTTCCAAAAACTTTCAAGAGTTTTACCAACTTCTTTTCTTTAAGAGGTTGTCCCTGAGGTTCCAGGGAAGGGCATCAATCCTTTTTCTAGCAGACGTGGGTGGCAGACTCACCAATTTTTCCTATGCTTATGAAACCATTACTTCTAAGATACCAGATAAAGTTTGTATCTGTTCCCATTCAAAAATCCTTCCTTTGTCCAATAACATTTTCTCAGATGAATGTGAACCTAATCTAGAAGCCAATGATTTAATTAAGAAAGTAGCATCTAATGGATTGCTTTTCTAATCCATAGGCATGAATGCATTTGCTAATCAATCTAAAATCCCTAAACTATTTGTTGAGATATTGTTACTTCAAGATGGATGACATACATTGTCTTAAGAACGTATTACAAACCAATGACTGGATGGTGAAGATCAATCTGTAGGCCAAATACCTGACAGTACCCATTCACCAAACCTCACATTTTTTCACATTTATTTGAAGGTGAAGGAAATGACAATTCAATGTCCTTCCTTTCAGCTTGTCTTTGTCTCCCTGGTGATTTACCAAACTAATAAACCAATGGTCTCTCTACATTGCAGCAGGGTAGTTAATCTCATTATTTGTTTAGACAACATTCTCCTTCTATCTCAGACAATTCTTAGAGAGCACATCCAATTTTCTTTAGACCTCCTCGTGGATCTATTTTGGTTCCATTTTAGGGTTCTTAAACAACTAGGACAACTTGGGCTTCCCAAGACAAAACTTCGAAATCTAAAGATGGAGATTTGTCAAATGTTGTTTCGGGAAGTTCTAGCGATCAGAATTTTAGCAAAGGACATATGGTCTTCTTTCATTTCTAATCCTAAACCATCTTTCCAGGACCCCTTATTACCAAGTCCTTCAATGTTTAAAAATAAAATTATACTGTCATTTGTCAATTCCATCGCTTTTGGTTTGGAAAGCCAAAGAACTCCTTTAGTAGCTCCATCATATGGATGCTTGGAATGGGGAAAGAAATTTTTGGCACGACTTCCGTATTGATCATTGACTCTCATTCAAGCATGTACAGATGGTGAGCCCACTGCAGAAATAGATGACCTGATCAAGAACCTGATTGTCATATCGGCTGTTTGGAACTTCTTGCTGGATCCTTTGCTCTTCAGAGTGAAGTGAATTGCTATACTTTTTATATGGATGGAGAATGTATCAATAGTAAGATATATCAATCATCTATAAGATAATTAATCAGAAACTTTAGCCTACCTGGAGAAAGACTTTTAGAATGCTTGCTTTAAGAGGATTATCTCAGTTCCTATGGAGTGCATTTCAGGTTTATCAGCCAACTAGAATTCCAGATATCTGGACCACAGCCATTAATGACTAGATTGCACAGTCTTTAGAAAATTTCTGATTTGTGGGGCCCTTTTGCCACAGACCTCTTTGCTTTTAGACAGAACTGACAACTTTGTCGCTTTTTCAGTTGGAGACCAGAGGCAGAAGCAGTGTATGCTTTCCTTCAGTCTTGGTGAAGAAATAGCAATTATACTTATCCCTCCACTTTAGATGATTTCTTTGTCTTTCCTTCATGTATGACATCAGAAAACATCAACTGTATTAATAACCCCCTTTGTTCAACCCAACCTCACCTACTGGACTTATCATTGGATCTTCCGAGTCAACTACTGATGGATTCCTGGTTGTTGACAAACCAAATTATGTATTACTGCTCAATCTTATAACCCAGATGGTATTCATTTTGACATGTCTAGATCATAGATGCACAGAAAGCAACTTTTTTTGTTTTCTATCCATCATTCCTGTCTAATCCATTGCCTTGTCTGTGAGATTCTTGAAATATTACAAATCTTGTACTGAACCTTTTCATCAGGCTAATTTTTTCCCCAGCATTTCCTGTCTTGTTTGAAGCGTTTCCATCTTGTTTCTTCTGTTACACTCACCTGATGGTTGTCATTTGGAACACATGAGGAAAACAGGGGGTTCATCTATGGAATCTATATTTGAGGAATTAAATTTTAAACCAATTCAACACATTTCTACATCTGTAATTATTCAGCTTTAAAGTCGCCATGTCTTGAAATAAAATTACAGGATTTTACAAAGTCCTTTTGTAACGTCATGATTTTATTAAAGACATGGAGACTAGTATTATCCCTCCCAATTTCTAATCATATATGTTTTTTCTTGCCTTTCCTTTATTTAATATGTGTCTACAAAAAATGTTGAGGAGAAGTTATAAAGAAAGAAAACTTAGAACGTTCATGCACACTTTATGTTGCATGTGATGTGATTGGTCAACAACTGTGGTATCACTTATGGTTTTTCATTCAGATTGTATTCACTTGTTTTAAAAATTTCTTTGCTGCTATTTAACGTAAAAAAAAGTGAAGAGAATAATGTCTAGTTCTGTGTGTTTATTAAAACCATGTAATTGTCAGCTTTCTAGTATAGAAAGAAAATGGTCCTAGTGAACTGAACACAGAGCGAGTGCTCATGATGCACTCACTGTGATAGCAAGCTGTCCTGATTAAGGTATCGCTATAATATTTTATTATAAGCTTTTAAAATGATTAATATTTTCAAAAATGTTTTTTAAGTATTTCATATTTTGAAAATAGTTTATCTTTTTATATATATATATATATATATTGGTATATTGTTATATATTAATTTTTTTACAATTTTAATATTTTGAAAAATAATTTTAAAAGTTTATCCAAATGTATTAAATCACTTGAAAAGAATATGCAGAAATATTAAATTGAGGCGTAAATTTGGACAGGTGACAGTCCTGATAATCTATACTATGCACCTATGTTATGTGGGTTACCACTTTCTTAGCAGCAAAGACTGCAGGGGATTAACAAAGTTCTCTGCAGAGTCCTGTTAGAATGAACTGGAACATCTTACATGGAATAATAGATACTTAGAATATTTTTAAGAAAAAATTATTGTTAGATTTTGAGTTTATTTATTTATTTTTTATCTTTGTATTACAGATCGGTTGTAAAGTTATCTTAGTAGTGTTTCAGTACTGTGTGACGGCAAATTTCTATTGGCTGTTGGTGGAAGGTCTCTATCTGCACACTCTGCTTGTGGTTATATTCTCTCCGAACCAACATTTTAGAGTTTATCTGCTTATTGGATGGGGTAAGGAGTCCCATTCTGTTTGATCTCGATTTAACCCAAGCTAACCATTATTGTTTTTTGTGTTTTTTTAATGTTTGTAACTATACATTGTAGGCCTCAATTTAGTGTTTTTGGATAAGCTTATCAAATTATTTTTGGATTTGTTTTTAGTAGTAAACTATCAAACAATATATAATATATAAAACTATATGAATATATAAAAAATATATCACAATAGTAAAAAAATTTATTATTTTGAAAGTTTATCCAAAAATATTAAATTGAGGCAATAATTTGTTCTCCTGTAGGGATTATTGCAAATGTGTACCTTTCTAAAAAAGATTATGATAAAATAGATTGTATAAAACATAGTCCTTTTTAACTTATTTAATATATTTCACTTTTAATTACACACATCTTCTCTTTATTAGGTATACCTGCTGTATTCATTATTGCATGGATATTGTCAAGAATTAATCTGGAAGATACCGGGTGAGAGATCATAAGAATTGCTTTATTCAAAAGTTTTATTTCTACAAAACCTGACACGTTTTTAGAATGTTTTGTTATCATTTTGTTGTAGATGTTGGGATACAAACGAAAACAGTATTCCATGGTGGATTATCCGAACACCTATATTTATATCTATTATTGTAAGTAAACTTCCCATTACCATTTCTAATTCTGATTATGGGGTTATTTATTACAAATGTTTAAATACATAATGTAACGTAATGTGTACAGATCCCTTCAGTCGTTATGGTGCTCTCATGTAGAAAGGGCCCAGGAGCAAGACATTTTTCTGAGCCACCCTGTACTTAAATGTTATCCAAAAGTAGATCCTCAACTGTTGTGCACCTCCCAAAATGTTTTGCCAACTGTGGATCTACCATTTACTCATCCTTGCAGGGTTGTATTTGGGAACATTGTTTTGCACATTCGACTTTAAGCAGGTTGTTTGTATATGGAGTATGTGTGTGTGAATGTAGGAGCTTATTTGCTGTTACCATTTGAATGCAGTGATGTGTCTGTATGTAGTGTTGATGCTGGACTGTAGGCGTGTGTTTGTATGTAGTGTTGGCATTTGAATGCAGGTGTGTATTTGTATATAGGTTTGTTTGAATTCAGGGGTATGTTTGTATGTAATATTGGTGTTTGAATACAATAGTGTGTTTGTATGTAGTGTTGACATTTCATGCAGGGGTGCATTTGTGTTAAATGTTTCTTTATTTTGATAGTAAAGTTAAAACAGACATATTACAGATTAATATATAAAGCATACAGTCGCCTGCACAGAGGCTTATAAGTCAAAGTGAGTAATCATAATGAAAGCAGTGATATAAAATGAACATGCACATAAGTTGTGTGATCATATAGTTTATATAATGCAGTGGAAAGTATAGCATGTAACAGTACGATAGAATTTATTTCTGAAGTTAGGACCTCCCTAATAATCAGACTTCTGAAACATGGTACTTTAATGTGTTAATGTGTCTATGTTTGGTCAAAAAAATTATGTAGGTAATCGCCAATTCAGCAATCTAATACGATGCTGTAATATAACTAGGTATCGATGTCTTGAAAAGCAATAATGTGAACTGTACTGATAGCAGGCGTTCAGGGTCTAAATGAAGCAATATGCGCAGGTAGGCAATATGTAAATACATGTAATTTAACCTGAAATGGGATTGCAATGCTCCATAGGTTGAGAGGGAGTAGTAATGGCTGGAAGGCACTTATGGTGCATATCAACATCACTTTTATACCTATAACAAGTATCGTAAGGCAAATAAAGGAGTTTAAGGTATCATCTCTCAATTATACAATTGATCATTTGGGTTAGACGTTTAACTATAACTGTTGCCACTCCGAACACATGTAGGTCGATTCTGACTTTGAGCTTAAAGAATAAAATATTAGCAAGAAAAAAATATATATAAACCAAGAATACAAAAGAAAAATTGAGTCTCTTCGGATGGGATGGTGGTACAGTGTCCGGCACGACAACGGATTGTAAATAAAAATAAAAGTGGGTCTCCCCATCCCGCAGAAAAGGTATCAGGACTTAACTGAGCATGGTGTATGCATTTGCATCTTAGGTCTGTTCGCAAGCAATGCGTTCAATGCCCTCTAGGGTGTCAGACCCCCTTCTGTCTCCCCAGGACCAGTCCAGTCCATCAGTAAAATGCTCCCCAGCACTGCAGATCCTCGGAGGTCAATCAGTCTGTTGGACTCCCACCACCTTTAGTTCACAGACCACTCACCTCCTGCACCTCCCCAGTGCCTCCAGAGTCATCATGAATCGCTAGCCCCCAATGCCTCACCCAGCTCCGGCCTCTTGTATGCAGGGGTGCATTTGTGTGTAGTATTGGTGTTTGAATGCAGGGAAGTGTTTGTTTATAATGTTGGTGTTTGAAAGCAACAGTGTGTTTGAATGCTGGGATATATGGATATATACACATACACGGCCATAATCAAATACTATCACAGATACACATACACCCTGAAACACACATATATGCACATCGATTATGTCACAAATACACATACATAATGCCACGCTCATAGAGGCACACACAAATACAGACACTGACACAAACGCACAAGACTTAATTTACATGTTTTCAGCCACACCCAGGAGTGTATTTACCTCTTGGTCCAGATGTGCCTGGTGGCTGAGGCTGGTGGGTGTGTCTGGTCAGCTGTTTATATACAATGTTGTGTTTGTATGTAGTGTTGGCATTTTGTGTAGGTGTGCATTTGGGTGTAGTGCATCCCTCCTTTCTTTGCCTCCTCCTAGCTCGTCCATTCGGCAGTCTGTAAGCTGGGAGGAAGTGATGTGACCTCACTCCCTCCTAGCACTGATGATCTGATAGGGAACCTGGTCACAATGGTAAAGGGCATCATCTGCTCAGAGATGCCCATCAGGTGTCCCTAAGTGTGAGGCACACCCGATGCCCCCCCCCCCAAGATCTTAGGCCCTCGTGCAGCTGCACCAGCTACACCACCGATAGTTCATTCTTTGTAATTTTCAACCATATTTCAAGGAATAGTCAATGTATCCTTAATTGCAAAACACTTTGATTACAGTTCATTTGGAGACCTGTATTTTTTAAATGAGCTTGTAAGTAATCTGAAATAATATATATCAATATGGTATCAGTTCTAAAGGAACACTGGTTATTTTGTGAAACCATAATAGGTGGATCTAATGTGATATGTAAATAAAACATGCACAAATACAGATGTGTGTCAAGTTTTACAATTAAATAAACTTGCTGTGAAAATGTGGTATTTTGTGTAAGATTAAATTGGATAAAATAACATTGTGTGGAATTAATTGACAGTTAATATTATGTGAAAATGTTCATATAAATGTTTACATGAATCATAAGGTCCTAAAACACTGTGGCTGAGGGGATATTTATATAATAATATTTGTGGTCTGTATTTAAGCCAAATCATGATTTTACAACATATCATGTTCATATTAAGTAAATACATTCTTATAATACGTTATCTCAGTGAGCGCAGCCAGTTACAAGCCACAAATAGTTGATCTGTCCTATTCAGTGTGCTAATACATCATCAGTAGAATCTGTTCAACCCTTGGGTTGCAGGTTCAAATCCTGGCAGGGTTGACCCATCATCCTTCCGAGGTCGATAAAATGATTACCAATAAATTGGGTAATAGTAACAACCCCTGGATGTTGGGCTAAGGTAACATCCACAGGACGTACTTGAACACCAGAGTACTATGAATGTACCTTTCCTGGTTAAATACATTGTTATTATTTTTTTCTTGAGTACAAAATAAATGACATACAAAACCTTTATTGCAGGTAAATTTTTTCTTGTTTATCAACATTATCCGAATTTTGCTGCAGAAACTAAGATCACCTGATGTCGGGGGCAATGATCAATCACAATTCAAGTATGTATTGACTGCTTAGTCTACAGACAGTGATAAACAGATGAATTGACAGTAACGGGGCAATACCAGACTTTGTGTTACGTAGGAATACCTCTAACATGATGTTTGGCCATAATGGTTCTTTTTCCTTTTTTTGTAATTTTAAACTTGTCAGGTACAACATGTTGAAATGTTAGAACTGTGCGTTTATCAGTTTTTCCTATTGCCAAGATAATTTGATTTTTCCAACCTTAATTCATTTGAGGTCAGGGCGGGATAGGGTATATTTGGTGATACAGTTGCACCAGGCTGTCAGGCAGCCAGTGTGCAGAGTAATGCTAAAACATTTTCATATTGCTGGAATTCTCTGGCATAATCTAACAGAGTTGAACGCATGATTAGGGATACTCTCGCACTGTGAGACAAGGACATAATGACAGGACAAGAACCCAGATCAGGGCTACCATGCCCTATGTGAAATAGCTTTTAGGTATAACTGTCAGTTTTGAAGTCACATATGTATTTTTCCTAACATGTCAATGTTCTTTGGAATATGTGTATTTCATTCTGTAAATATTTTCTTGAAACTTGTAATGATTTAAATCTGTCCTCTTTATATTCCGACAGAAGACTCACCAAATCGACGCTCCTGCTCATACCGTTATTTGGAGTTCACTACATGGTGTTTACGGTTTTTCCGATTCCCAGTTTCAACGATTGCCAAATATGGTTTGAATTATCCGTGGGATCTTTTCAGGTAAACAAATGGAAAGATATAAATTAGTGCAATTGAAGGATTCATGTATAGATTATTAGAAGATGATGTAATGGTATATAAATAGTAAAAAACAAAGAAAATAAAAAGTTACCTGCGCTTTCTCCTTAATCCCTATGTATATATAGGACTTCTCTTTTTGTATTGGTATATAAATAGTGCCCCATGTGATGTCATTCCGTGACGTTTGTGATGTCAAATCTAGAATGAGCAATTAAACTGGTGGAAGACGAAAACTCTGCAGTAATTATTTATTATATAAATCCATTCACACATGTATTAGGCATTTGTGAGACGGGCTGCAAGTCAGATTGCAATTCTCCTCTACACAGTTATCATGACTATGAGTATAGGTGTGGTATAATCTGCATCAATATACACAAGCAGGGCTATTTATTTATTATTTATTAAATGGGAATTGTGAGGTATAAGTGAAGATCAAGTTTTACGGCCACAATAGCCAAATCGAAAAAAATTCTTCAAGTCAGCTTTGTTGTCAGTTCAGTCACTTTGGCTTATACTTCAAATTCACTTTGAATTCACTTTGAAATCACCTTGAATTCCTTTCACTTCCCAAGTCACACTGTAGTGAATGGACCTTACTGACTTCAGCTGTTCATCATTCAGATTCAGGTACAGGAGGGATTCCTAGAATTTGCAAAATATTGATGCCAGTTGTGAATCATTCCTATCATCATCCATTTATTTTTCTTTCTGTAGGACCCTTAATGAGATGATAGACATGTAATTTGCACTTAGGCTTCTCATCATAATTTATACCCATCACAGCATGTTCATCACCATTACTTAAACACCATCAACAATGACCACACATATCTATTAATATTTACTTTTATAAATTAGTATATTGCCATGCTTTTGTTTAGAGGACCACCAAAATCGCTTAGAAAACTTTACCTCGAACATTATAATTATTACTGGCAGTTATGAAGAGCCAACGTATTCCACAGAGCTGTAAAATTGGGTAAAAAGTACAATACACATAAACCAATACAAAACACAAAGAGGGTCCTGTCCGTGAGCTGAGATCTAGCTTTTGAAGCTCTTTTACTTAGCTAGAAAGTCTGTGAGCTTGCAATCTAATGCAGGGTCTGGCAACCTTCCGCACTCCAGATGTTGTGGACTACATCTCCCCTGATGCTTTACCAGCATTATGGCTATAAATGCCTTAGGGGAGATGTTGTCCACGACATCTGGAGTGCTGAAGGTTGCCTATCCCTGATCTGGTGGTTAAATAGGGAGTTGCGATGTGAGGTAGCAGGTGGAATTTGGAGGTGATGGTTGAGAGAATTAAAGGATAATTGGAGCCACCAGTAACGTTTAAAGGGAATGAGGAAGTAAATGTGTGTGATTTCAATCAGCTGGGAAAGCATGATATAAAGTTAGAATGAAGCAGGCTGGGCAGGTGGGTAGTAGCTAAATGGAAATGAAGTGGCTCTGTTTTTGTTAGATGGTTTGTGGGACGAGGCCTAACTACCAGAAATGGAGACAGACACAGTTATTTTACGAAATGTACTGCTGTGAGGGGCACGGAATTTAGAGAGGGGGTGCTAGACAATACATTTGTTGCATACAATTGAAATATATGCAAATCACATTCTATCAGACAAAATATTACTAACTATATGCCCAGGAAATAATAGCATGCTGTTTGTAAAATGAAACACTGCTTGTGTGGAAAGTGGTCTAGGTGTAGTGACCCTTTAGTTTTTACCATACAATATACAGCATTGCAGCTGAGTAGATTGGCACAGCATGGTTATTTGTTTCACATGTGCACTAGCCTTCCAGTGCTTCCCTATAGGGAAGCATTGGATCAGGGAGGTGAGGCGGCCATGGCAAGACCAGCTCGGCAAGTAAAACTACCTTTTAAACTTTCACAGGTTTATGTTCCTAATGCCATAGTGTTCCTTTAGACTTAGCTTAAAGATATAAACACATCAATACTGGCTTCATGATAAAACTACCTTTTAACTGAATTAAGATATTTATCTTTCAGGGTCTGGTTGTGACGATTCTTTACTGCTTTTTAAACACAGAGGTAAGACATCTAAAATATTGAAAATATGAGGTACTGTTATTGACTTATAAACTTTTTTTTAAATTATTTATTTTTATAGTGCAAGTGATAACAAAAGGCTTGTTAAGCAAGCAAAGTGAAAACCTGCTAAATAGATCATGGCATTCAGATAAACGGCACATTATAGTATTATTGGATGCTAGGAAAACATGTCTAAGCTAGTGGGAAAAAGTATTCAATGTTGCGGACTCTGCTAGACATGGTAATTAATGCACAGTTTAGAGAGTGGAAATTAAAAATAAATTAAATAAAAGTCAAGTCTAGCTTGAGATATGAGCATGATGCACAATAGTAATTTTTTTATTTGAATTAAATTGTATTGGTTTGGAGGTTTGTATGGTCTCAACACAAATTATTTTGCACCTAGCTCTGTACTCACAGAGAGGCTTCAACATCCAGACCGGATGTGATGGGACCCAAAAGGTCTTAAAGGACCACTATAGTGCCAGGAAAACATACTCGTTTTCCTGGCACTATAGTGCCCTGAGGGTGCCCCCACCCTCGGGGTCCCCCTCCCGTCCGGCTCTGGAAGGGGGAAAGGGGTAAAAACTTACCTTTTTCCAGCGCTGGGCAGGGAGCTCTCCTCCTCTCTCCTCCGCCGCCACCTGCGAAGCTGCGCACAAGATTCAGTTCCATAGGAAAGCATTCATAATGCTTTCCTATGGACGCTGCGTCTCACTGTGATTTTCAGTGAGAAGCACGCAAGCGCCTCTAGTGGCTGTCAATGAGACAGCCACTAGAGGATTAGGGGGAAGGCTTAACCCATTCATAATTATAGCAGTTTCTCTGAAACTGCTATAATTATGAAAAAATGGGTTAACCCTAGAAGGACCTGGCACCCAGACCACTTCATTAAGCTGAAGTGGTCTGGGTGCCTAGAGTGGTCCTTTAACTGCACAGTCTGGTCACTGGTCCTTTTGGACCATAATCCATGCTTTGGTTTAAAACCACCATTACATTGCTAAGGGTACCTTCTAAAAGTCCAACTTGAGATAGGCAGATATAAATACAACAGATAGAGGATGCAGATATGGAGGAGCTTCCATGAGACGTTTCAACGCCAGATAGTGGATGTGGTGCACATTATGAAATCTTACGAGTAGTTGGAAAAACAAGGCTGAAAGACAGCACTGAAACACTAATACCCAGTAGCATAGGAAGAGACCCTCAGCACCAGATCAATAGAAGCGTGGATCTAGCACTCCAGATAGGACCCAAGGTGCAGACAGTGAAAAGGGGCCTTAGATACATCCAAACAGGTGTAAGATGTTAGCAGAAACAGCATACACTGAGAGTCACAACCAGGTTGCTGGGATTGTGTACCGAAAAATCTGCACAGAGTATGGGTTGGACCTGCTTAAGTCTAGCTGGGAGGTACCATAGTTGAAAATTACAATCCTCATATCCTGTGAAACCTCCAGATTTAGACGGACAAGCAAGTACTGGCCAAACCAATCTTAGCCAGGCCTTACTCTCCTCTGTAAGCCTAGAGTCCATGGCACACTAATCAGGGATTAATTTCTACTTGCCAATGGCATGTGGGCAATTGAACGTTTTGAGCCCTGCGTTTTGCAGTCTATTATCTAGCACAAGCATAGGAAACCTTCGGCACTCCAGATGCTTTGGAATACATCTCTCCATATGCTTTACCAACATTATGGCAGTAAAAGCATTATAGGAGATGTAGTCCACAACATCTGGAGTGCGGAAGGTTGTCTACCCCTGATCTAGTACAACATCCCCAATAAGTTTGTTATAGTTGGTTATTCTTGTTCGTTTTGGTAAAAGAAATAAATTAAATAATTGCTATTTTATCATTGCTATAACCCATCCATGAGTACATGAGTATACAGGGATACTTCAAGCATTATAACTACTCCAGATTATTGGTGTGTTTATGATTACAGGTCTCTGGGTTCTGTTACTCCAGATTTGTCAAGCCACTTTTCAATAGTAATACTGCAAAAATGTAATAATAAAAGCATTTCACTTCTTAACTATCTGGCCAACGTATTTGTATTGAAGGATCATTGAAACGTTGCTTTGATTATAATTGTACAAAACATAAAACCCAAGGTAGAAAAGTTTTTTTTTAAATGTAAAACATTGATATTGAAAATGGCTTGGCCAAGGTAAAATGCTTAAGAAAAGAAAATCCATGGCAACATATTAAATCAGAAAATGAAATTATCAGGTTTTAATTTCTACGAATTACTTTTGATAACAGCTCTATGTTGTTTTTCTACACAGGTTCAAGGAGAGTTAAAAGGAAAATGGAGAAGCCTCTTTTTAAACCGTAACATGAATCGAGATCACCGTTTGCACAGTTTATCTATTTCCCGAAATGGATCTGAATGTGTGGCGCAATTTCCCCGCAACCTAAGGGCGCTGTCAATTTTGCAAACTGAAACCACAGTGATTTAATCTCTGCATATATTAAAGAAAAAGAAAACTATAACTTTGAAGACTATTAAACATTTTTACGCAGCTATATTGATTTTCTGTCAGCAGGAAAAACAAGACTTCATCTGTAAAAAAAAGATACATTCTTTTGGCTTAGATGACAAATGGACTTTTATATAAACCTTTGGGTTTAGTACCATATTGCACTTCAATGTTCTATAACTTTTTCTATCATGCATATATTTGAATTTAAATTATTATAAAAATGTTTGTGATTGTGATATTTGTTTAAATACATGTGCTATTATTAAAAGAGCATGAATGCATATGTGCATATCCAAGTGTAGGCTGGGGTAGAAATTAAATCAGCACCTTTGCTACGGTGACCTCAAAAATGTGGGATGTGAGTTGCAACATTATTTTGTAATCTGTAGCTCAATATACAGCCATGGGAAAATTGTGGATACAATGTAGTCTCCTCTTGCTAAACACTTCTTGCGCTATTTTAATGGACTTTCTGTGCAGCTTGTTTGGTAAGTAGGAATGTGTTAGGATGCTGTTTAGTAGTTGGTGCAGAAAAGTCCGTGGGCACAATCAGGTAAGCAGTACAAAGGGGTCAGACGAAGAATGATCAGGAAAGCCAAAGGTCAGGGCAGGAGCCACAGGATCATAGTCAGGAGTCAGGCAGGAGTCAAACACCAGGAAGCAATAGGACATTCACTGAAGGTATACACACAACAGGAGCACGGTATAACTGAGCAAAGAGTATAGGGTTAGTGGGGTTTAAATAGGTATTAGTATGTCCACTTACTGCAGTTCTGCCTTCATGTACCCTTCTTGTGTTTCTACTGTCCCTTTAAGAGGGCATTGCTATGGCGTGTGAGCCTTAGGAGCTCCTTTGGGGCTTTGTCCCTCTGCCATGAGGTAACGGAGAAGGTAATTCCCCGATCTGCAGTGCCATGCCCAGAAAGTGGCACCGTCTGTCATCTGTCCCTGAAGGACTGTGAGCAGCCGGAGTTGATGCACAGGCCAGCTTACTGTACGGAGGGACGTGCTCCGGCGCAGCGACTCCATGGAGAGAGAGGGAGGTGCAGCAGGGGAGCTCAAGGCAGGTAAGCCGGGGAGTGGTGACCTGATAGAATGTTTGAGGAATGGAAATGTATTGTGCTTTTCAGAGTACCTAGAGATAGTTTTCTTGTGTCCAATTTAATTTGAGTTACCATTTTCTTGTGTCTTATTTTCGGCCATACCACAGGGCTGAACCGAATACGCCAATCCTGTAGTCCATTATTTCTGAATGCTAATGTAGATTGTTAAAACTTTGAGTATTGCATATCTTACAGAAAACTAATGTATGGGAAAGAATAAAAAAATATATTCCTATTTAGGAGGCATAAAATAACAGCCACTTATGTTAACATGAAGTTTGTGATCTATTTATTATTATATATATTTTTTAAATATAAAACAAAAAGCCTCTGCTTCTTAAAACTACATGTGTAGAACATAATTCACATAATAATTCATTCATATCACATGCTAACATTAGTGATTTTAGTTTGCACAGATGTATCTTTCATTATCAAATATCACTATTATGTATTTGTTTATTTAGAAAATAAACAGAAAGCTTGCATTTATTCAGTATTATGCAAACATGTGTATTATATTTTGCATTGCAAATATAGAACTTTTGAAAAAAATGTATCTTTTGAAAAAAGTATCTTTTATTTTAAACTGGTTTCTGTGAATGCCATAAATATGCGAAATGCGTTTATGTTCCATTGCAAGGATACAGTGCAATTATTGGTCCAATTATCTATTGGATGCAATGGCCACACAAAGGTTAAATTTACGCTATTTTATTAGTTAAATTTCACCCTTTTTTTAAAAAGTGGCAAAATTTGCCAACGTACATTACATTCAATATCATTGTTTAACTGCAGTTCAAAAGCTGTTCTTTGAAAATTATATTTATCCTGGTTCATGAATATATATATATACTATAAGCACTGCGCACAGCTACCCACCACGACCCCCACTTCCGGAGGTATGACTAACGTGTTCAACTGCCTTAGACTTACCAAATTAAACTGGCAAGAGGCAGCTGACTCTTTAAAATATTAATTGGTACCATCACTGCTTGAGCAAATGCCAAACCATCAGCTTGACAATAGAAAGGGACTGGGCTGCGGGCTGCCAGTGACCATCATTTTATGTTAATACTGAATGGACAAAATCAGAAAAGGGAATGACAGAAGGGTTAGAATAAACTGACCCTGGAGTCAAGGGTTGGACTAAGTGGGTCAAGATTGGGCATAACCCAGTTAAATCATATATGAAAAGAAAAATATCCTTAAAGCAGGTATATTGAAAAAGAGAACCTAAGTCGCGCTCAGATACTAACTCTCAAAAACCGGCAAAAGGTTTACCCATACAAAAAGTAAATAACTCAACATAAGGATATAAGGTTACAATTGTTAAAAATAGTCTTTAATGTTTTGAGACACTAAAATAATCTACAATGGTATTAGACACGTAATGCTAATATGTGAACCAGTGATACAAAAAATAAATTGTGCGGAAAATGTGCAAGTGCTGCAAACGGTAGGGGTCTTATCAAGCCTGCCTAATATGTCTTCAGTATAGCTATTTAGACAAGTGTCCAAATTGTATTTATTTTTTGTATCACTGGTTCACATATTAGTATTACGTGTCTAATACCATTGTAGATTATTTTAGTGTCTAAAAACATTGAAGACTATTTTTAACAATTGTAACCTTATATCCTTATGTTGAGTTATTTACTTTTTGTATGGGTAAACCTTTGGCCGGTGTTTGAGAGTTAGTATCTGGGCGCGACTTAGGTTCTCTTTTTCAATATACCTGCTTTAAGGATTTTTTTTCTTTTCATATAATACTGAATGGAGGGTTAATGAGTCTTTAGGGTTTCAAAGAAAACCCCTTTCTGTCTCATTGGAGATTTTGCCTTTAAGTTGAAAGCAGAAAGGTGACCTGCTGACACTTTGATGTCCAATGCGGTGGTGTTAAAAATCTGTTATTTAAGTTTCTACTTTTGTAACATCTATTACATTTTACAACTAACTGATGCCCAAGCCCAAAAGTGCAGAAGAATTCCATTTAGGGGTTTGTGCTTATCCCATAAAATATCTTTGAGATTTGGGAAATTTACTAAAAAGTGCTTTCAGATCATAAACAAAATGTGTATTGTGTCAATATTCTTCTTTATTTGGTTACAAAAGCACAACTAGTATAGTATTTGAATGAACTAGGTATGTTTATATACATTTTATCAGTTGATAGTTTGTTTTTCTTATTAATATTAGTTTTAGTTGCACAATTTAGGATAACCTTCAACATTCCATTTCATATTCCACTTTGATTAAAAATGGGTGTAGGCCTGGTTTATTGGATATATTTTTCTTTAAAAGTTACCATTGTTGATTCAGAATTCGCAGATCACCATAAATGGTCATAGCCAGCCCTTGCAATATCCTGCACCCCACTATTGCTGAACCCAAAGGCATTACACTTACATACATTTTCACAAACAAGACTCATTAGCAATGTAAAAGTACAGAATGAGGTCAAATAGCAGGAATTTCATGGAAACAGAACTGAGGACATCATCTGCTCGTTAACGACTAATTTGATCTTTTTTTGAATTTATGGATGTGTCCAGTAGGCCCCATCCCCAGTTTTTTTTAATTTTTTTTAAATACTCTTGTGTATCACGTAGTCATACAATAAAAATCAGCTTTACACAAAGGACAAATAGTAGATAATGCAATACCATATCTCATTTCTATTATAGTTACAATCACAGGCTACTGCAGATAGCATGCTGTTATTGAATAACATTCGCTTATTAATTAAGAATCCACAAATGACATGGTGCTGTTAAAAAAAAACAGAATTCCAGTTACAATGTCCTCAACGCTCTTTATTTTTCCACGAACCATAATTCTAGAATGGTTTCAAAATGATTTACCAATTTAACCTCCAGATTTTCATTATGCCTACGCTGTCAATATATTCGAAAAGAATAAAATTCAATTTGTAATTGCATTTGGAAATAATTGTAAAATGTTGTTGTACACATTATTGAACCTGTAAGAAGCATTTATTTTAGGGGCAAATATATCGATGTTTTTCACTTCACAAATTCTCTGTTTTTGTTTATTTTCTCTAATATTGTATGTAAATATAATGAATGGACACTATTCAAAATGTAAAAAATATAATTTTTTTTTAATATCATTTGACGTTAAGAGTGATTATTCATGCAACCCATTTTCTTGCATAGCGTACGTTGTATATGATTTCCCATACGTGTTGCTAGGGAAACTTTGGGGGCTGAAGACATGGATGATGGACTCTTCAGCACCACATCACTACAGGTAGTGGAGTGGGCAAGATGATAATAGTGTATTATTTTTGTTTTTATTTGCATTACTTTTTACTTATAATTTAATTTCTTCAAATCAGTCGCCTGATATAAAAAAGATGGCTGATATAGTGTTTTGCAAAGAAATGGTCAAAAGGGGGCACTTGGGTACAACATTGTGCTACACACTCCTCTATTAATTACGGAGCAATTACATTGAATACTTGACGCTGCAGCATGCTTTCATGAACATTCTGGAGAGCATAAGAGACATTACACAAAGAGCAGAGATATATCATGGCTTATCCCAACCTATTTGTGAGAGATGGAGTTAAGTTTGCTTTAGGCTTACGCCCCAGGGGTTTCTAGAACCTAGCAAATTTCTGTATGAGAGAAATGGCTCAAATATTTGAAGTAATTGCTGAGTATTTGATATCTAGCCCTTTTATTAACTGAGCATTGCAGACTAAAATATCTAATATATATATATATATTTATATATATTTGACAACTGCATATCTATATAGGTATTGTATGTATATCTCTTCTGCTTGCAATGTGTGTATTGCATTTGAATTTGTGAGTATATTGAGTGTGTTTGCTTACATTTAGTATTGGGGTTTATGGGGTATTTAGTTTTCAAAATTAGATAATCCTAGGATGAAGGTAGCTTTTCCTATTTAGGCTTTGAGTGCTTCTGTTTGGGACTAAGGATGGGGTTTGTGTAGGTTTTGGGAGTGGTTTTATTTAGGGTCATGGAAAAGGGGTGTTAAGGTCATGTGGAGATTGACTAGTTAGTTGCCGACTATTCAACCTCCTACATCTACTGTAATCAAGTCAGTCTCCTATGATTGAATGTTGAGCTGCAGCAGCTGTTAAACATTGTGCACCACTCAACATTGTCCATGATCATCTGCAAGGCATTTCCTGTGTGAGAGGCTGTTAGTGGCAAATGGAAATTGGTCTCTTCCATTTCCTGTTCAGCCTCATTCACAGACCAAGGAGGAGCTGAGACAGCACTGAGTTTTACATCCTCTATAACCGTTCCTTCAACTCTGCTATTAAAGGACCACTATAGTGCCAGGAAAACATACTCGTTTTCCTGGCACTATAGTGCCCTGACGGTGCCCCCACCCTCAGGGTCCCCCTCCCGCCCAGCTCTGGAAGGGGGAAAGGGGTAAAAACGTACCTTTTTCCAGCGCTGGGCGGGGAGCTCTCCTCCTCCGATCCTCCTTCTCTCCTCCCCGTCGGCTGAATGCGCACACGCGGCAAGAGCTGCGCGCGCATTCAGCCGGTCGCATAGGAAAGCATTATCAATGCTTTCCTATGGACGCTGGTGTGCTCTCACTGTGAAAATCACAGTGAGAAGCACGCAAGCGCCTCTAGCGGCTGTCAATGAGACAGCCGCTAGAGGGAATGGGGGAAGGCTTAACCCTTTCATAAACATAGCAGTTTCTCTGAAACTGCTATGTTTATTAAAAAATGGGTTAACCCTAGCTGGACCAGGCACCCAGACCACTTCATTAAGCTGAAGTGGTCTGGGTGCCTAGAGTGGTCCTTTAAGCATAGGAAGCTGAATATAATATAGAGGACACTGGTCAAGGCTCCCAGTACTTATCTCCCCTCACTAGCCCACCTCAGCTCCACGAAGGCACATTAGAAGTCCCAAAAACATCCAGCCCCCACAAGGTCCTACATTGACCGCCTGAATCAGTTTGCAGAAAAGACCCAGGACTCCAAGGACGGTGGAAGTATTTTATTTTATCCCAACAAAAGGTTAAGTGACTTAAAGAAGCCTTTAACAAGTAATCAATATGCATCAAGAGGAACTAACTCCTTGCTTTTGTTGAGTTTATCTATATCAACTGGAATAATTGGGTGTTTATAATCACATTATAAGTACTTACACATATATGTAGTTGTGTGTGTATATATATCTCTCAACTCTTGTTTCTTCAAGTGTGTCCTGCTTTATTGAAGCAGTCTGTTGCAAATACAAAATAATATAAATGTTTCAGTCCCAAATCAGACATTTAGCAGGATCTTGATAAAAGCCTGATTTATGACTGAAACGTTGATCTGTGAGTGCTCTCTTTATTTACCTTATTCTATTGACTGGAGCTTAGCATATATATACAAAATGAGAATGGCTTGATGGTTTGTCTACTCCCACAGGTTTCCTTTAAAAGATGAACCAATAATGTGTTGCTTATTATACAGACAGTTCAGGCTACAAATGGACTACAGCATTACATAGATAAGGTATTATAAATATAAAAAACAAAACAATAAAATAAAAAATAAAATAAAAAAGATACTCACGTTTAGTGAGCTGAAGTTCATTCACTTGCTGCAAATTCCTATGCAGCATCTGCATTGAGCTCTCACCAAGACAAGGCTTAGCCAATCCTGGTAGCCCAATTAGTTTCAATAAGAGGGGAGCTTATATTATAGCTCAGCATTTACAGGCAAATATGTTTCCCATATCACTTGGATAGAACTGCTGTCTAAGCTGATATCAAATCCCCCGAATCCCCCACTGTGTAGGCTCACACCAACCTTGCTGGACAGATAATCTATGAGGCCACAGCTGTTAAGCCTCTGAGTATTATGGGATATGTAATTTACAAACATCTGGTCCACCATCGTTCCCTATCACTGTTTTAAACAAACCTGCCTTTTCTGATTCGGCCTTCATTGTTTACCACAACCATTCATATATTTTTTTTAGTACGTACATGTAAAAATTTCTTTGTTTGGATTTTACTATTTTTAAATATCATAAATTAGATGAACTGAAAAGATGTTTATTTTTTCTTATTTCCAAGGAAGAGATTCGGGTTCAATTTAGTGATTTACAATTGCATTCACTCTATACTCACAATAAATATCACAATTGCAGCAAGAGAACGCCACCCAATTTTTTATTTGAAATCAGCTAAAAGTGGACATTTTATAATGTAAATATTATTATAGATTACAACATTCTGTAAATACTTGTAGCTCAATGTTATTTTACGTTAGTGTGAAGGATTAAAATATAACTGGAGACAGAGAGATTCCGAGGATGCAGCAATATCTAAGATCACGTGAAATTACCTTAAAAGGAGTAGGCTAAACACCATAAGCACAGCTGGTCGTGGTCTTCCTTGTCGTAAGACCAATCGAGCAACACAGCTGCAGTAAACATTTCGAAAAAAATCACAAAAACTACTGTAAATCTTCCTTTTTTTTTTACAATGATTTGAAATTTGCTACACAACTAGCAAATAAACTTGGGCTAAATTTTGTGTATAGATTTCTTGATAGGGATCACTAAATAATATATATATATATATATATATATATATATATATATACAAAGTCATGACATCATGACATTTTAATTGTTTGCTTACTTTTAAAACATCGACAGAGATATATTGGTGACTTAAGAGGTTTTACAGGTTACGTTTTATCTCTTACTTTATCAGACTGTCGGACTTATATGATATTAGGCACGGTCTGAAATATTAGCACAGATGCAGAACCAAATTTTGAAAGGAACCTAATGGCATTTGTAGGAGTGCGGTGTCTTTACAACTCCACCAGCAAGTAAGCATTATGTCTGTACGTGGGAGTAATTGAAGGGCTATGAGTAATTTACCAAGTCTACTGATCTAAGCAATAATTCAGAACAGCGATGGGTTGAAATGCTAACAACCATTTAGAATATGTCACAATATTCCTCAATAAATTTAATGTGTTCAGTCTGATCTTTTACTCCATTTCCTAGTTTTAGGTCAGGCTCTCATTGTCTGCTTAGGAGAGAGAACATTGTCTTTGCAGGCCAATTATATTTTTTAATTATTCAGCAATTGGGGAGGGTATGTGAGGACTCTTCTTAACAACTCCTTAACCATATTTCGTATACTCCAAGGCAGTACTAATTTCAGCAAGTTGTGTTCCTACTTCCACTTGGTTATCATACACCACATGGACCACCTCTGCCCGCCTTCACCCAGGGCTTCATACATTCTTCCCACCAAGGAATAAGAAGGGGATTTCCAAACCACTGTCCCTTTAATATTCATAGATACAAATAAACTGGATTCAGACATATTATATACAATATAGCTCATATTATAACAATTGAAGGTTGGCCATTCCTGGCACATTCTGGAATTTTATGAAGAACTCAGATATAATTGTCGGAGTTGAAGTTTATTGAAAGATGGAGACCAAAAGTGTGTCAACCATTGGTAAAAGTTAGATTATCCAAAAATGAAATTGGCAATAATTACTTGTAATGCCTTAAAACATATAAATGTGCTTTTTAAACGATATGTATAAAATGTTTAAACCATGCAGTTTTTAAGTTTATATTGTTTGCAAAGATGCTCAAATAACCAGGTCTATCATTCTAAATAAATCGTCACTTAGCCAGCAATTTAAGCACCATGCAATTTTATATTCAATGTGGATTTATCTGAATTATAGCTTCCAAATAAATCACAGGTTTTTCTAAGCTAAAATAAATGCCTTGTGCAGCTTTCCTTCACTGTCATTTATTCACCTCGTGCCTTGTAACAAAACAGCAACACCATTTCAAACTGATTGAGACTTGGTCAAGCTTACAAAAGACCTCTTCAGGTCAAAACATTGCTTGGCTCGATACGAATGAATCATACTTTTGGTATTAGTTATTTCTTCTACAATTTGAGGGGGGCTGGAAGTGAACCTGCCACGTAATTCGAAAGTTAGGAGATCCGCTATGTGATGTGAATGCAAATGTATCTTCAATCTATCATAATGGGTGTGAAACAGAGATTCAGAAAGATGGGTTCCTGTCA